ATCTCCACAAAAGTGGCGGCACTGTAGGGGCAAGTCTCTAGCGAGCGCACGTCCACATCCAACTGTTCCTCCACAACCAGCAAGTCGTCGACCTTTTAAGAAGATAATAATTGATCATGTATATGGTTTTTAAATTGTTTTTTATTTAGTAGTTACCTTCTCCTGGAACTGGGTCACACACTCCGACAGGCGTAAAACGTAGGGATCCAGCTTGTAAGACTCCCAAATGAGACCTATTCCCTCGGAGACCAGGTTCAAGACATCCTTACGCAGTCCTGCCACAAGTGGCACAATACTGGCACGATCTTCGATCTATATTGAACACAATATTTAATTAGTTAATGGTTCGAAAAGATTAACAGCTAGGTACTTTCTTTAGCATGCGGGAGTTGAACACTAAAAACTATAAAAATAAACAGTGGTTGCATTTACGGATTACTGAATAAACAAACTTTTGGGGGACAAACGACACTACCTTGAATACAGAATTTTGTGCTAGACTCCTATTATTAAGCTGCATGAAAGAAAGGTTGTTGGTTGTTCGGTTGGTTTAGTTCAAGAGCGGATATCGTGTCTAAGACTAAGATGATCGGTTATGGGCGTGTAGAGTGTTTAAAGTGTGGTGGATAGCAAAATTCAAGCTGCACGCCAGGATCAAAGCAATGCAAGAGAATAGAGCAAATGCTCCAGCATGGTGACATCTTGCGATAGTGGAGGGATGTGATAAGTGTGATTTTGTAATGTGTAAGAGCTGGGCAAGGGTGTACAAAGAAATGTAAGGCTGGTCTCAGAAGAATTGTTTAAGATTACATTCTAGCAATAATACATTTCCATAATTAAGATGATTAAAAGGTAATCATATCATGTAATCTTTTTTAATTCCCCTGATAACAGCCTTCAATTAACGGATCTTACCTTCTCCAAAGTGCGTTCGTAGGTACGAACACTTTCGATCAGGGATATAGCATAAGGATAAATCTGGTTGGCCTGATGAGCCTTGTTCACAATGGTCAACGGAACCCTGCAGGAAAAGGATTTACTAAAATCTATGCAAATTAAAAGAGTAGAGAACGAACCTGAATCCCAAGTTCTTGATGTTGCGAACCTCCTTGGCCAGGGTGATAATCTCCGGTAAAAAGTTAACCCTCAAGCGAAGCACATTACCACGTCCGATGCGAGAACGAGTTGACTCGATGGTAAAAATACGGCCAGTGCTTCCGAAGTTGCGCTCCTGCACTTTGCGAGCCCACTCATGGAACACGTCCGAAATGGAAAGCTTGGCACGGAAGCTATCACCGTCGGCCTTCAGCTTCTGGCCTTCGATGTGGGTCTCCCAGCCCTTGCCCAGAACATCCTCGACGCGTTTCAAGTACATCGTCAGCTGGTTGTCGATCTGACGGGCCCAGATGATGGAGCCAGCCACGGGCGGCAAATCTCGCACAGAGGACAAACGGCAGCTCTTGCTTTGGGGATACTGCACCTTAAACTTCTCGTGCAGAGCCTCGATGTCGTCCTTGACTCGCTGAATCAGTTGAGTTTGGTACTCGCGAATGGCACCTCGGATGTGCGGACGCACAAAGAGCGCGTTGAAGCGTGAGAAGATGCGGAACATCTCGTTGGCGTTCTTAGCTGTTCCAAGCTGATCGCGCAAGTGGGCCGTAATGCGGGTCTCCACGCGGTCTATAGTTGAAAGAAAGGTATTAAATATTTACTTAAATAAATACCAAACTTCCATAATTACCAATCTTCTCCTCGTATCGCTTGACAGCGGCCTCCCAGGCCTCCGAACCCTCCTTGGTAATGTCCAAACAGTCCACTTCCTTTACGTTCTCGTAGGCCAAGTTAACCTCCTCGATGGCGTTGGCATCGGCAGCATCCAAGCTATAGGGTTGCTTGGTTTCCACGGTGTTGCCGTCATCGCTCACAGCTGGCTTGGTGGGCCGCAGGACGCGAAGGATAACGGTGCGCAGCTGTTCATGCTGCCGGCGGAACTTACGCATGTGGTCCATGCGGGTTTGCAGCTTCTTGTGAGCCGGCGAGACGCGCCACACCATCTTGAGATGCTCGTCGCGCTTCTTCTTCACAATATCGCGGAGCAATCCCTGCAACTTGTCGTACTCATCATCCCAGCAGCTGAAAATCTCGAAGCACTGGTTCATCACGCGCTCGAATTCATCGAAGGGAATATGCATCAGGCGCCGGGTGCCCAGCACCTTGAGCAACTGCTGCGACAGATCCCGCGAGATGGCCTCGATGAGCTTGAGGCACCGTTGAATGGGATACTTGGTGTTGCGAACCTTGCGCAGATGCGAGAAGATCTGCTGCACGGCAGGACGGATCTTCTCCAGCTCGGTAGCCGAAAGTAGATCGTTAATAGGAAAATCCTTCATCAAAGGGTTGTAGTCGGCTACTGTGGCCAGAGCCTGTTTTAATCCGGTATCCGTATCAAACGAAACGGTGGCATGGAAACGCTTTCCATGCTTAAGAATGTCCAGTGTAAGGGCAACCTCTGGCGACTCACGCTTTTCCTGGATGCGATAGAGTGCGCGCTCCAGATTAAGCCAGAAGGAGATTTCCTTTTTAAAATAAGAATCAATTTAGTAGGTCTGTTCTTGCTAACAAGTTTTTCATGCTCACCTGCAGTGCAGTTCCCGAACCAGGATCACGATTCAGCTTGGTCACCTTCTTGATCTCGGTAATCCAGCGATTAACACCGGTCTGCAGCTGGTTCAGGAAAGAAGAGTCCTCCACCTTGTCGCCAAAGTCGGCCACCTTGGCCTTGCGGTTCTCTTCCGCGCACTTTCGGATCACAGTGTTGACGGTTTGGTGAGCCGTCAGTGTGATTTCCGGTATGTCGATGTTCTGCTGCAGGTGCAGCAGTCCCATCTCCAGCTCGGCCAGCTTCTTTTCTACGGATGGAGCCATCTTGTCGCCATCGCGATCAGCGCGTCCCGACTCCTTGACATAAGACTTGAAGTATGGGGCCAAGGATTTGCTGATGAACGCGTGCAGCGTCTCGTAGGGCGATCCGTCCGAAAAGTTGATCAGCCGCAGCTGCGAGTGGATCGACTTGTCCGCCTCCACGACCAGGCCACGCTTGATGCATGCCAGCGAGGCCATTCGGCTGTTGGTGAAGTGGACATCGTTGCTGATCTGGTAAGTAACCTGCTCCTTCTCCTCCTCTCCCTCAGCTGGCTGCTCAGTATCGTCCTCTGGAAAAAACAATTTTTTTTTAAATTATTAACTTAGGTAATTATCATCTATCAAATAGTCTTAGTTTCTTCTTCTTAAGAATCCATTAAATAACACTATGCCAACACCATATCCCTAAAGGAAACCAGAAACCCCTACTACAATCACTTATACTCAACATTCACCCCTCACTCACTTTCAGTACGGCCCATTTGGCATTGGAGCTCAATGCCACGGCATTGACATTGTTTCATTATCAAGGCGACGACCTCCGGAAATTCAGCGGCCAAGGGAGAACCTTCAAAATTCGTGCGCTCAAGGCTGGACCTTGGCGATGTCATTGCTCCCACGCAGTTGGCCCCGTTGCCAATGCCAATGTCGGTTCCCAGTGCCATTGCCACTGCTATTGCCTTCGGCCAATGTCAATGTCGGACACAAAGTCAACGAATCAGCGGAGGGTGTGTGCGCAGCCTCCAAGGTCGTTTCCGTAAACAAACTGGTTGCTCGACATGCGACAGCTGTTTCCCAACGATTTGTTTGTAAACAAAACCAGCCGGCAGCCGGCAAAACAGTTTTCATATTTATCGCTTGGCCAAAGTTATCGCTCTATCGGTATCGAAGTGTGAGTCAGCTGGGCTGACGTCATGCACACAAACTTGTTTTCATACTCTTGGTTTGAGCATGTTTCTTGCATTGCAGCTTTATATGCATAAGTTTACAACTTGCTTGTATGCCTTACTATCAACAAAAATATTAAAAAACAACAAAACAAACATATTGAAAGGTTTTAATGTACCGAAGCCTGATTTATATTTTAATAACCGAAAATGTAAATCCAAATCCAAAACGGTTAAATTCAATATTTTTGAACGTCAATCTAACAGCAGATTAGAAAATGACTTTTCATCATTTTATTCTTCTATTAAAAAGTAGTACATCGTACAACACTTCTTCAAGATTCCTTTTTTCCGATTTGTAGGGTAGGCAAAGGTCGCTCACATCAAAAAACAAAGAAACAGTCTTATTGGAGCTCAAACAAAAACATCTGCCGCATTGATTTTTAACAAACTGGTTGCGTATTCTGATAGCACACTGACAAATGACTCATTTTTACCTTACGAAACCAATATTTCTACTTCCTTAGCTGAAAAAATAACTCTTTGAAAGCTGGCCATGTTTTATCTCTGCAGAAAAGACGCCATTTTGTACAGGTGCGTGCACTTTTTTCAGCCATCTTTTCATTGCCAACAGGGCAGAAATTATGATCTCACCTTTAATGCAATTACGTTGGACGTAAAGCGCCTGCACCTGGGGATCGGAAAGGAACTTCCGGATGGTATCCTGGTTAATTGGATCATCCAGAGCGTTATTTAGCGATGCGGGAACCACATCCTCCTCCGGCAGCAAAATGGTCACCGCCTTGCGAAGATAGTTGGCAAATGCATCGTAATTCGCAATGGATAGGTTCACGACCGGATCCACCGATGTATCGGGGTTCTCCAGAGAGTCGCCCATGTCCGTCGATGGATTTGAATAAATAAATACTATTTAAAGTGTGTGCAATTGGATTTTTTCACAATGCCTCGCCCTGTGAAAAAATTACGTATGGTTTTTTTTTTTTGCGAAATGCACCTCGGGCCTTGCCACACAGTGGAAATTTCACTGCAAAAAGCAAAAAGCTGCCGTAGTTTCGGAGGGTTTTTAAGATACAACACTGGGCGAAAGGTTGCCAGTAAGCCAAGATTGTTTCCCGCCAAAATTTCTTAGAGCAAATACTCAGGCAGTGAGCAGTGTGGCAACTCTCTGCACTAAAACAGCTGTTCGGCTGTAGAGTGCAGTGGGTTCTCACGGTTTTGTTATTTAATAATTTTGATATGTGCAATTTAATCAATTAAAACAAAGAAAATGCAAACGCTGAAGAGCACTCGCCCCTGGAGAGGAGCATATTGGACCAGCTGGAGGCGTCTGCTGACCCAAAGCTGCACGGGAAACGAGGTGGGTAAATAAATACGGTCAGAAAAGCAATACAACGTTTGGAAAATTATAGAATCCAGAATTAACTAATGATGTCAAGCACCGAATTGAGGCTCACTGGCGTGAGCAACTTAGTGGAGGGCAGTTCAACCCCAAAGATTCCCAGGAAAAGTACTATGTTCTTTCCATGTTCCCGTATCCTTCCGGCAATCTTCACATGGGCCATGTGCGCGTCTATACCATCGCCGATTCGGTGGCGCGATTCCAGCGGATGTGCGGCAAAAATGTGTTCCAACCAATGGGCTGGGACTCCTTTGGTCTGCCCGCCGAGAACGCCGCCAATCAGCGGGGAGTGGAACCCGCATCGTGGACAGAACAAAACATTGGACAGATGAAGGAGCAGCTGAAAAGACTGGGTTGCTCCTTCGACTGGAACCACGAGCTGTCCACGTGTAGTCCGCAGTATTACAAGTGGACGCAACACCTGTTCCTTATGTTACACCGCCACGGATTGGCTTACCAAAACGAAGCCCTCGTAAACTGGGATCCCGTGGACAAAACTGTGCTCGCCGACGAGCAGGTGGATGCCAATGGCTGCTCTTGGCGATCGGGCGCTAAGGTGGAGAAAAAGCTCCTTAGGCAATGGTTCATCCGTACTAGTGCGTATGCTAAACAGTTGCTGGATGGCCTGGAAGATCCCACGCTGCGCGACTGGAGGGATATTATCAACCTGCAGCGTCACTGGATTGGAGAATGCGACGGTTATGCCTTTAATCTGCTTACCTCCGCCTCCGGCCTATTACGTGTATGGACAGCCCATCCTGAGCACTTAAAGGACCCCCATGCCTTCCTTGTCCTTCGCAGCAGTCATCATCTTTCAAAGCTAGACGATGCAGGCAGCCTCAGCGCGGAAAATCCCTTCGCAGGCACCACTATGCCTGTGGTATTTGGTGACGATGTTACCTTCCCTTCAAAGTGCGATGTCTACCTGGCAGCGCCCAGTTTCCGCGGCGAAGATAGGGAGCTGTGGGAGTCTCACGGACTGTCTTTTAGTTCATCTGGAAAAGAGGAAGTCAGCCTAAGTCCAGCCAACTGGGAATTGTTGAGAAAGGAGGTGCTCCAGGCAGCCGCACGTTTGAATGTGGGCGGCTATCGGGTGTCCTCCAAGCTGCAGGATTGGTTGATCTCACGCCAGCGCTACTGGGGCACTCCAATCCCTATTGTACACTGTTCTAAATGCGGAGCGGTACCCGTTCCCGAAGAGCAGCTGCCGGTGTCGCTGCCGCCAAAGGATTCGCCCAAGGAAGCGTTCCTCTGCGAGTGTCCCAAATGCGGAGAGAAGGATGCACGAAGGGAGACGGACACTATGGACACATTTGTGGACAGTTCTTGGTACTACCTGCGTTACTTGGATTCCCAAAACTCTGAGCGCATTTTCGACCCTGCCCTGGCCAATAAATTTATGCCCGTCGATTTGTACATCGGTGGAAAAGAGCATGCTGTGCTGCATCTCTACTACGCCCGTTTTATGAATCACTTCCTGCATAGCTGTGGGCTATCGCCCACTACTGAACCTTTTTCTCGACTGCTGGTCCAAGGAATGGTCATGGGACGCTCCTTCCGGGTAAAGGGCAGTGGACGTTATGTACCAGAATCCGAAGTAGAGATCGTGAACGCCAAGAAAAATCAGGCGGTTTTGAAGGAAACCAAAGAGCCCGTGGTCATGACCTGGGAGAAGATGTCCAAGTCGAAACTTAACGGAGTGGAGCCCAGTGATATGTTCAATGAATACGGCACGGACACAACGAGACTGATTATCCTAGCTGACGTAGCACCCACCTCTCATCGCAATTGGTCGAGTGCAAGTGAGTAATAACTTAAATAAACTAGAACCAAAGTAATATTTTATATCTGACAGCATTTCCTGGCATTCTCAACTGGCAAAAGCGCCTTTGGCTGACACTACAAGACTTTCAAGCGGCTCGAGAGGATAAAACTGCTTCGGAAGTTGTGGCCACCAGCGAGGAGTTTCTGGCTGAGGACGCTAAGCTCTTCGACGCCCGTAACTTTTATGTAAAAGGAGCCACTTTTAACTACCGCCATGCACATCAACTGAGTGTGGCTATATCTAAGATGCAGGGTTTGACCAATTCCCTACGAGTGAGTCGTTAAACAGATTTCATTTTGGAAACTTCTGCTAATATTAAGATTTTATAGCGCACACCGAAGCATGTTCTGCGACATGGCAAACAATTTGAGCGGGCTCTGGCCGCCCAGATCATCATGCTTGCTCCCATGTCTCCGCACTTCGCCTCCGAATTATGGTCAAAGTTTGTGGCTATACCTGGCAGATTAAATCCCGCCAGCGAGGAGTTGCGGTGGAGTGAAGACGTGCTGTCCCAACGCTGGCCAGATGTTGATCCCTCCTACAATCTGGATCTGAGTATCAAAGTAAACGGGTTCGAGAATTGTGTAATCAAAGTGCAGCGAACGCACTTGGATAAGGTGACGCATAGCGATGCCCTGGACATTGCCTTCAACACGGAATCGGTGACATCTTACCTCATCGACAAGAAAATAAGGACCACCAATTTTGTACTTTATCCGGGCATCGAGGCTATCCTGAATATCTACGTAGATAAGGCACAAAAGACTCAAAAGTCGGCGACTAGTGACGATGCGGAGGCTCAGCCTGGAGCGTAGGATATCTTTAATTTAAGCCGAATGGATTGCGGATGATTGTGAGAGCGGGTTGGACCCGCCCAAATGCATTTTCGGTGTTGGCCTGAAAGTCGCCATCCTAGATTGGTACTTTTTAATATTGTTTACTGTTAAATATTTATAAAAATTGGACTAGTTGTAAGCAGCTGCTTTACAGGATTGGTAAATGCCTAGGATCATAGGAATATAATGGTTGCTCTATCTGTGCGCCTCTATCTAAAAGCCAGTACGACTAATAAGTTCTCGTTTTATCTCTCGTTGGAAACGCACCTCACTTCATCAGCTCGCACATGAGGTTCCGCAGGTAGACATCCAACTGGGCGTAATCGAGCAGCGTGTTCCGGACGATGTCGAGCAGCATGCTGGGCCACAGCGTTTCCAGTTTGTGCAGCTTCTCCACGGCGTTGCAGGTGTTCTCCAGCAGCAGGGCAAAGTGCTGGCGACCCCGATCTCGGGCACTGGGCGCCATGGCAGTGCTCCCAGCGTCCGTCGCTGGATTCAAGTTCATGGAGGCCGCGGTTGCTGCTCCAGTATTCTTCTTCCACTGCAGTGCTTCTTTTCCCACCACCAGACGCAGGGATTTGTTGTCCGGCCGCTGGAGCCACTCTTTCGGAGACAACTTGCTGGCCGTGCAGGTCTCATCCAGTCGCAGTCGTGCCAGCAGTGGCTGCAGCATCACTTCAGGCATGGACCACAGCACCAGGTCTGAGAGTCCAACATACATGGCATTTGCAGCCTCCACTTCCGCTTCGGTGACCTCCTGACCGTTGAGCTGCTTCAATCCCCAGTGGGACAACCTGTAGATGGCGTAGGCTCGCCAGGATTCCTTCGAAGTGATGCCATTACCCTCGGCGTCGATGAGTAAGCTGCTGAGGCCCTGGAGCTCGGCCAATCCATTCAGTTGACCCAAACAGGAGATGTTTGTTTCCCGGAAAACGAAGTGCTCGGCATGGGGAAACCTCAACTTAATCCTGCCCAGCACACAGACGATGCTGTTGAAGTTTATGTAGCTGAAGTTTAAAGTGTGCACATCGTTGGCCTTGGCCGGATTCCACTGCTTGTCGATGAATCGGAGGGCTCCCTGGCCATAGATGTTGAGGTACCTTCCACATATCTCGATCAGATAGTCACCACCTTGCTCTCTTTCCCGTTCAGCGGCGCTTGGCTTGGATACAGTGATGGCGGCACTGGGAGTGGCTGTGGTTCCAGCAGCGGCTGCTCCAGTTGCCGATGCTCCTGCTGCTGCACCAGTTCCTGCAGAAGATTGACTGGAAGTGGCACTGGTTGCCGCCTTTGATTGAGTTGCCACTAAGGTTAATCCATTGTTGGTGGCCTTTCCTCTGCCCGTGCTGTTGGAACTGCTGCTGTTGCTGGTGCTGCTGCTCACGGTTTGTGCCCGCACCAGACTGCCGGCCATGTACCGCCTGGAGGACGCACCTGTTCCACCCCTCTGGTTGATCTGCAAGCCCAGTTGGGTGATGGGCGCATGACGGGAACGCTGTTTACTGCTCGTCGGACGACTTGTGTTGCAGGAGGCAGTGGCGGGCACTGGCAAGGTGGCAGTAGCAGCTGGTGGAGGAGTGGGCGCGGCTCCGGGCACTGGAGTTCCGGGAGCAGCTGGTGGAGTCAAGGTCACAGCCGGCGGTGAAGGGGAAGAAGCCACCGGAGCAGGAGGAATAACCCTAACCGCGTCTGGAGATGGACTTACTGGAGTAGCAGGTGAAGGTGGTGGCTTCTCTGCCAAACCCACTTTATTGCAGTTCTCATCGATCTGTGGCGTCAGTGGTTTGTTTTTAGCACCACCCTCCTCATTGTCTGAACTATAACAACTGGAGCAGGAGTCGACATTGGGTCCTAGGCTGGAAGCTTCCGAGGAGACACCGTCTTCCTCCTGCGGACTCTTCACATTCTTGGATATTGGTGGCAGTTTAATCAGTGCCTGCAGTTCGTCCATTAATTCCTTGGGTTGCTGCGATTCCTCGGACTCGGTTTCCGCCTCTTCGGCTGTTGGACCCTCGTTGGATTCGTTGATTTTGGCCAGCTCACTGGTCAGCCGACTCTTGGGACGACCCACCACAGTCTGTTGGGATCGTAGGAGTTCCCAGTTGGTCCTCGCATTGGATATCACCTCTTCCCGCCGGATGTTGTGATAGGCTTCGGAACTTCCAGGAGCAGCTTGTGCCTGTTCCTTGTGTTGACGCCAGGCAAGAGCCGCTCGACGCACTTGCTCCGTGATGGGCATCTGGCTAAGGGACTGCAGCAGTGGGAGATACGACACCAGGAAGGACACACAATCTCCGGCTAACGAGACAGGATTGTTCTCGATTGTCACTTCCAGGAGTTTATTGGCCCTGGCTATACTGGCCATATCGTCCACTCTGTGCAGCTCATTGTGGCACAACCACAGCCTTTCCAGAGCCACCAAATGCTGGAAGCCATTGATCCGCCTGAGTTTGTTCCTCTTGAGGTTCAGCTCCCTGAGGCACCGCAGCCCCAGGAAGTCCTGCTGGTTTATCTGACGAATTTGGTTCCCCGCCAGATTTAAGGACTTGAGTTGCTGCAGGCAATTGATGCGACTGCCCAAACTGGTGAGTTTATTGCCATGCAGATCTAGGACCCTTAGGGAATCCTTGAGCGAAGACAGCCCTCCAATATCCGTGATTCGGTTTTTGCCCAGCAGAAGCACAGAAAGTGAAGGCAGTCCATCCAGATTGGCTATCCTCTCGATCTGATTGTCATAGAGATCCAGGAAGACGAGCTGCTGAAAGATGCTTCCATAACTGGCGCTCAAGCTTAACTGCTTGTTCTTGATGCTTAGTTGGTCCAAGGCGGAAATGGAGTTCATCACACTGGGAGAATCCTCTTCCTCGCCACAGCCGCCGCAGAGCGAGAGATTGCTGCTGTGCAGGGCGCTGCCCTCATCGCAACTCTGGAGAAGATTGCTGGCTGCTCCACCGGCGACACCCCTGGTGGCCTTCAGAAATGCCCGCCTTTGGATGAGCTGTTGTTGGTGCTTCATCGCCTGCAGACTGCTGCTCACAAAGCTCTTGGACTTCTCCAGTCCGTAGCGCATGCGCAACGCCGGCGGAGGCGTCAGTTGGGCCTGTCCGTAGTTGTAGCCCCTTTTGGCCAGCTTGGAGCGTCCTGCGGGTCCTCCTCCGTTGATGGCCAGCGCCTGAGTGGTCAGCGGACTTCCTGAGCCCGGACTTCCACCGGACTTGGGCGACAGGCGATGGGAATTACCGCCTGCATTGGTCATGGCACGGGTTAGTCTTCCGGGATGATGGCCACGCAACCCGCTTCGTCCGCCCTCCGGTTTTCCATTGCCGTTGTACTCTAAACAAGAAGAGAAGGATAAAAACTGGAGGTAATAATTTTAGATTCGATAACTCCATGATACAAACCACCCAGCTTGTTGTTGTTGCTCTCCCGCGGAGTGGCGATGGGCGGAGGAGGAGCTGGAGGCGGTGGAGGTGGCAGCTCCTTGGGTATGTGAAAGGTGTTGATCAGGTTGTGCTGCAGCGACAGCAGGCGAAGATTGGGCTCCTGCTCGAAGATGGGAATCGCCGTGAGACCCCTTTTATCGTAGTTAATGCGATCGGGCAGCTCCTCGCGTTCCTTGGGCAATCTCTGGATCCGACAAATGCCATTTGGCTGCGGAGTGACTATGGCTCCGCTGACCAGAGTTCCACCCGCACTCCCCACTAGAGTGTTGGGTGTCACAGCCGCCGTGGCTGGACGACAGCTATTGGAGGCCGCCGAGGAGGAGGTGGACTTGGAGCGCTGACGCTGGATGCCAACGCCACGTGGCAGATTCCGTTGCTGCTGTTGCTGCTGCTGCTGGCGGATTTGGACGGCGGCGGCATAGCTCCGCTTGAGTTGTTGCTGCTGGCCAACTTGCAGCTCCGATTGCTGCTGCTGCTGCTGGAGTTGTTGCTGCTGGAGTTGCTGCTGCACCGGTCGCTTCGGGATGGCATTGTGGCTTAAGGTGCTATGGGAGCGACCAATAGGACGCCGGCGAAGTCTTTGATTAAAACTAGGAACGAACGGTTCGATTTTCAGCAAAGATGTTTGAGGTAAGTAGTTCTGTTGTTGTTGTTGCGGTTGTTGTTGTGGTTGGGGTTGCGGCGAAGGATTTGCAGTAGCTGGAGCTGGAGCAGGGCAGGATGCCTCCGGCGTGGGCGATTCATCGTTGAGAATGGAGCGACTGCGGCACTTGGCCATGGAGATCAGCTGGCGGCGCCTGGCATGAGTTGCCGCCGCCGTCGCCGGTGTCGCCCTTGGTGGCACTTGTCCTTGCAACGGCACCTGCACCTGCACCTGGACTGGCACCTGACCCTGCCCCTGCCCCTGCACCTGCACCTGACCCTGGCCCGTTGCCGTGCGTGTGGCACCTTCCACCTTCGAGTTTCATAATAGTTCGATGCGGGCAAGCGACTCCTGGAGAGCTTCGGACATGGTTACTGGGAATTTAAGATGGTCTCTGGGGGATCCTTTACTTCCGTTGCATAATATGCAGTTCTACAAAATCCTGTAATAGGGGTTTTAAAAAAATAATAAAATAATATCTATAAACTATATAAAAAATCATAAGCTCTATAACTTCAGAATTTTATTATGTTATTTTATGTCATGAAATTAAATACTAAATACTTTAATACTTTTATATGTCCGAAATCAAAACCAAATCTTCTGAATTTCTGAAGTTAATGATACATAAACTCTCTCTCGCTTTACAATTTCTGTATCACTGCAATATTATAAGATACTAAACCATAATTTCCACATTTAATCTCCTGAGGTGTACTTAATTTTAGCACTTTAACACACAAAGAATTCACTTTTTAATTACAACTGCCTTGCAGTAATTGAAAAGGGCTCACCCAGTTTAATAGTAAATCCCCGAATGCACGAAAAACCAGTCCTGGTTATCTAATTTGCAATTGCATTCAGCTCTCTGGTCGACGGATTATGGATTAGTTTGGTTCTTTTTGGGGACACACAAATAGATACAGTGGGAGTGCGGCGAATGGAATTGGGAGCGACTGCTCCACTTGAGCTGCTTTTCCCTTCAGTTCTCGTCGATTTTTGATGATTTATTTTTTTTTTCGGTTGTTTGGTGTTCAGTCTTTTGGGTTATATAGGTATATAGATACGGATATGGTATTTGTGTGCTCCTCGAGTGTTGTTGGTCGCCTCCGTGGCAGCTCTGAGCCAGGATTCGTGGACTCGCTGGCTCGGGCATGTGGGCCCGTTTTATTAGTTTGTTTATTCGGGTTATACATCCACGATTTTGGCTTGGCGCGGTTGCCATAGAATATAGTATGCGGTGCATTTGGAAGACAGTTGCTGTCCCTATTCCGCTCACTCTCACTCGCCTTCTCGCTCGCTCGCCCGTGATTTCTGTTATTAGTTTGTTTATTTAAAGCTCTTTTGGGGCAATTCGAGGCCCAAACAGCCAGGCCGCCGACTCACAGTGGTCGGTCCCATAGGCCAAAAATCAAAAAATCAATTTTGGAATTTTGATTTCAAGTTTGGCGCATCTGTTTATCAATAGAACAAGGCTTTAAAAGCAAGTATTAGTTTTGTCTTGCTCCACATATTTGCGGAGAAATTGGGGTGCAAAGTGAGCGCACAAACCCAGCGATCAACTGAAAGCGTGCGCATGTCTTTTGAAAGCGTTAAGTTAATAATTAAAAAAAATATAAAACAATCGTTTAATATCCGAAAGTGAAATGAATATTAAAGTTGAAGGTTTGCAGATTGTGTTTTTCTAATTTTTATTAATTTTGCATGCTATATGTGACTGTGACAATAATTGTTTATCCACCTAAATTTTACAAGTTCTGCAGAACTAAACATCAATATTCTGCAAAGGTAAAAGTTGTGTTCCCAAAACTTCTCAATAATGAAATTTTTTTTTAAATGTTAATCAATATTTAATTAGTATTATCTGTGAAAATCATCTGCGAATAGCTGCGAATTCGTTCAGAATCTGTAAAAGAAGACGAGTACCTCGTTCCTTTTTCATCAGTTTTTGATTTTCTAGAGTAACCATTTCTAATATATATTGAAAAATTTATTTTTTATTACTTTTATTTTACTATAAATTTATGTTAATCATCGTTTTTTGTTATCTTTTGTTAATTTTTTAACCAAAATTAAGTGTTTAATAAATATAATTTTTGTCAGTTACGCTTAAAAAAAAGTGTAGTATGCATTTGGGAGTCAAATTTTAAACATTTTATGGTAAACACGATGGTAGCGGATATATTTGGCTTTAATGGTGCTGATACTTAAAATATAACATTCATACGCTATTATATACCTACAAAAAAAATTTCAACTCGATATTCCTACTGGAAGTATTTTTGGCCGCCTTCTTCATACAAGACCGACCACTGTGCGACTGTCGACCCACCTGGCTAACTGACTGACAGTCGGAAAGGTGGAGCGACAGGCGGGCAGACAACTAGCGGACCCATTCGGCTTGTTGCTGCCACGACTTGCGCTTCTAAACATACCAAAACATTCTGATATCTGGGCAAAAGGGCGGTACACCGCACACGAACGAGTCCATGGGGAGTAAACCTTATAGCTTATACGATATTTACAGGAAATATGGCTATTTTAATAAAGGTTAATATTAACTATGTACACTATACCTTCATACCTTCAAATTTATACTAGATCAATCAGTTGTTAGAAAGAAAACTACCCACTAGTTAGGTAAATATAAACGTTGATATTTATTTGAATAAATTCAAGAAATATCCTTTAAAAACATGATCAGTTTTATTAAAAAACGTTTAAAGCCTTTTTAAAAAGGCTTCCCCCGCCTTTGCAATTTTCTTTCGTGGTCTCGGCCAGACTTTTCCAGCTTTTCATCGGCTAGCGCCCTCAGCATTCACCTTGGCCGTGTGCAATTGGAGGGAAAGTCGTTTGCATTAAAAACCCATTTCGTGGCTTTCCATAGCCGCTCTTGTTGTTATTGCTGTTATTGCTGTGGCTGGTTGGCTGGCTTTGTTGTTGCTGGTGGAAACTGTTTTGATTTGCGTATGGCCCCAACTATCAAGCGGAGACAGTGGGGCTGAATGGCTGACAGAAGGAGCGACAGAGACTGAGACAGTGGGGCGGAGCGGAAGAAACACGCACATAATTGCCTGCCATCGTAATGGATTCACGTGCCTGCTGAGCTGCTCTCGTTGTTCTTGTCGTAATGTTGTTGCGAAATATGCAAAAGTTAAGCGCCAACCGCAGGCGAGACAGAGACAGAAAAAGAAAAGCCACACTTGAACAAAAGGCTGTCTTGAATTTTGAAATGCATATTATAAAGGAAATTATTTTGAGGTAGGGTTATCTTTTTTTGAGGAACCTTTTACATTTTTTAAATGCAAAATATCTAAATAATTAATAAAAAACTTCAGAAAAATATTTCTCTGAGTGCATCCACACCTAAGCAATTAAGGTGCAAAAAGAGAGACGCCAACGAGGGATATTCGTCGCCTGGCAAATTGCCCGCTGAGAGGGCGGCACCTCTGTGAGTGCGAAAGAGACGGACGACTCAATCGAAGACACTGCAACAATTTGAGTTTAATTGATGCCAGTCGGCGGCAGCAACAAAAATCGGAGAGTGTGCGTGCGCTGGCATTTATGAGCTGAGCTTCGCCGGAAAGAAAGGCTCCTTTTGCCACCTGCCGAACGGACAATAACTGAGCCGTTGATTGGCACTGAGGCCAGGTGCAAAGGATTCTACCTCCCCCAATTTTCGCCTGCCATCTCACTTGATTCCAGTTATTAGTCTCGGCGGCGGCCATTGAACTCTTTCACGGGAGGCAACAAGTGACGGCAAAGTTTCCACGAATCGTGTGTGAAAATTTCTTTGAAAATTGAGGTATTTAAAGTTTCGTTAGTTTTGTTTAAGATTTCCATCTAAAATGTTTAGAGTTATGCTCCCTGGAAGAGTAGTATTAAGAGGAAGAGTATTATTATGACAAAATATTATATCAGAAACTTCAAATAAATTTCTATAAGCAGTTAAGGCCCGGTAGTTAATGATCGAACCCAGGGCCGGAGAAACAGTTTTGAGTGGGGTGATGACCTCACAAATTTTCAATTTTCAATAATTTTCAAATTATCAATATCATGATGAGGGAAACACTGTTGACATAATATAGGTAAGTATAAATTTTAATAAAACAACAACACCAATCAATCAAAATGCAACAGGTAAAAAAAACTATTTTAAATGTAAAATGTTAATTAAAATCCATTTAATATTAATGTAATGTTAATTTAATGTTAAAATAATGTTAATTTAATATAATGTAAATGTAATGTTAACTAAATGTTAATAAAATTAATATGGCCACGTCAGCGACAATGATAATTAATTATTTTTTTCGTTTTCTCGCACCTATAATTCCCAAGTGGTTCTGGCTGATTCGTAGTGGGATACCCCTTGATTTTGGCCAATTTCTCAGTTCTCCGGGATGACCGGCAGTTTCTCTAAGAAACTTTTTCCGGTCTCTGGAAGTGTGTGTGTGTGCGTGTGTGTTAGTGACGTGGTTCCAGAGTGGGAGAGAGTATCTGGCCAACTCCTCCTACTGGAGTCCACTCCCGGATGCAGTGCATCATGGGTCGACTCCTCCTACTGGAGTCCACTCCCGGATGCAGTGCACCATGGGTCGACTCCTCCAACTGGAATCCACTCCCGGATGCAGTGCATCTTGGGACGACTCCACCTACTGGAGTCCACTCCCGGATGCAGTGCACCATGGGTCGACTCCTCCTAGGATGCACTGCATCATGACCTGACTTGGCATGAACTTAAAGGTGCCCGATCCCTTCCTGCATGTAGTGGACTCCAGGATGCAGGGCATCCAAACCTGAAAAGGTGAGTTGCAGTTTTTTTTAATTATGTGATGACGTGGCTTTTGTAAAAAAATGCAGTTAATTAATTCAATTTTTTTATATTTTTTTCAGGTTTTTGGTTGTGTATTTGGCTGATTGCAGAAAATAATTGGTGACACCATCCAACTTGTAACTTGAAGTTCGACATCAGGATGCACTGCACCAAAGTTATTACGCAGTGAGTACATCCTTTAGACAATAAATAATTAAGTTATATATTTTAAAAAATCATAAATATTTTGACAAAGAAACTAAAAGAAACAGATAAAGATCTGAAAGTTTTCAAGAACATGAAAGAAATTTGAAAGGTAAATTTTTATCAAATATTGAACTTGAAGTACATGAAAATCAAACACAATTAATAATTGTAAACAAGTAGCGACATATAATATAAATATATGTAGTATATATATAGTAATAGTTGTAAGAATGCGGTTACCGGAAATATATAGTATGCTGACACCACATAAATGGACTGGACAACAGGCTGCAGGATCAATTATGAATGGCGTGATCTTCTATTGAACTCCACTCCAGGATGCAGTGCATCACCTCATTGGGGTATGTATTTTTTAAACAACCGATTTGTATAAAATAATTTAACTAATATTTTGGAATGCTTCTTTTCATTACAGGTGATGACTATACCTTTCTACTTGGAGTGTACTTCAAGATGCAGTGAATCAATAACCCAAAGAGGTAAATACCTTTTTTACTAATACCTTTTTTACTAAGAAATTTATTCTAACTATTATTATTTGTTACAAATTATTTATTATTATTTTTTTTTCTTATTTAATTTCAGGGTAAAGTGTAAAGTGTACATGTTGCGGATAAAGTGGTTGCAGTGGTTATCTTATTGAACTCCACTCCAGGATGCAGTGCATCACCTCATTGGGGTATGTATTTTTTAAACAACCGATTTGTATAAAATAATTTAACTAATATTTTGGAATGCTTCTTTTCATTACAGTGATGACTATTCCGTTCTGCTTGGAGTGAACTTCAAGATGCAGTGAATAAAAAACCCAAAGAGGTAAATACCTTTTTTACTAACAAAATAATTCTAACTATTATTATTTGTAACAAATTATTTATTATTATTTTTTTTTCTTATTTAATTTCAGGGTAAAGTGTTAAGTGTTAATGTTGCGAATAAAGTGGTTGCGGTGATTATCTTACTTCAAGAAGACGAAAGATTGCAGTGCAGATCAAGGAGCTAACTGAGTAAGTACCAATCTGAAAAGATTTATTTATGATAATCTCATAATTATTTAAGTAGTTTTTACATTAAGTTGGAAAATGCTTAACTTGGGAAGTATTTGGGAGAGTTACTATCTATCTATTTAAATAGAAACTGATTTAATTGCGCCGGGGTAAAGGCGGGATTTCTCTTCGTTTTTCTTCGATATACTCTGTATGCAGTCCCGGAGAAACAGTTTTGAATCATACATTCAACTGATAATAATGGATGTAAATAAATTTTTTTCTACAAGTCAAGCATTTTGGGGTGTTGAATTCCACACCCGCTAAGATTTGGCGTGTGGAGTGCTCAACACCCGGTATACACCTTCCGCCGGCCCTGATCGAACCTTAAACTCTGGATTTTAAATAACTTTTGTCTTTTAAAAAACTTCCTGAATAAAGCAGCGATTAAAAAGCGGATCGCTCGGATATGCAATTCAACATTGGTGAACTTCCGGTTCGGGTTGTTGCAAGGTTTATGAAAGCTGTTGCATGCTGCGATTTCTGTTGCACTCGGGGCTTTGTTTACACTGATGTCCTGTCCGTCCCGCTGTGCCGACTGTTAACCCGAGCGCTATTTACTGACGCTGCGGTGTTTCTGCTGCCTCTGTTATGGCCGCTTCAGCTGCCATCGACGTCCTTGTTGGCCATTAATTTCCCAGGCTTTCGCGTGGCCAAAATGGAAAATGTCCATGCTCACTGTTCCACCGCTGTTCTAGATAAAGAGTGCAGTGGGAATCGGACGGGGCCCTTCGCTCGATAGCGAAGCGTTCAACCTTTGGCCTTTCCTTTGTCTCTGCGCCAGGCTTTAGCAACATTTTCACTCTCGCTTTCACAATGTTGCACCGGGAGAAAAATCAAAACAAATTATATTTAATCTAATAAGGGTTTCAGCAAGTATACACATTTTATATTTATAATAACACATATTACACACATTAGTCATCAGTGTGTCATATAAATTTATATACAGTTATGAAAGCGAGTTTAATAGATCAAAAAACCAACTTTTGTTTACCTATTAGACTAATTAACCGACTATTTCAAATGAATTAAATTGCAATTATTTTAGATTGCTTTCTTTTGAGTGCATTGTTGCACTTGTGCTCATTATCGCGATTGTTGCTGCTGTCGCTGTGCGGTGGCCGTTGTTATTTACTTTTTAATAATTACAGCGCTCTGCTGCAATTGTCCCTGACCACAGGCTGAATGGTTCAGACGCAGTAAACGGGGCAGGGGCAAGGAGTGGGACAGGGACACGACACGGGCGGGACAGATAGCCGGTCGAGTTGATAAATTGCGAGCACAACGCAGAGACAAAGAATGCCAGCTTACGGACACCCACACAGAAACGGACACCTCGCTTATTAGGTACACTTGGGGGCATAATAATAGCATTAAAAAGAAATTCAAGATATTTGTAATGCACAAATGCTGCATATTTAACACATTGCAATTCATTGGGTTGTTTATCTAGATTAAACTACTTTAAATCCGGTCACAAATTAAATACATAAGATTAACATATCAAAATGTTCTGTAGATAAACCTTTTTATTAATAAGATATATTTAATAGGTAAACTGTAGTTGTTCTTGGAACCAATTACAATAATTTAACCTTTACTGTGCTTGCAAGACTCTGCTGCAAACTGCCCATCGCTTTCTCCACCCGCCACCCCGCATCCTTGGCCTTTTCCCAGCGATGGACGAGCAATTTAATCAGCCTGCAGAGCGCAGAAAAGCTGATAATACCGTTATGAATAATTTACCCACATACGCACACATTTGTCGACAGCAAGTGAAACGCGTTTTATTATTGTTGTTTCTGGTGCTGTCTTTTCTGGCTTTATTCATAATTAATAAAGCAGGGCCAGCGAAGAGTGCACAAACATCAAATAAAAGCACTTGTTGTTTACACTTTTGCTTTCGAGCCCTTAAGAAGCTGCGTGTGAAATCGTTTTAATTAGGTGCGGTAACTTGTTGCGGCTGACCAGTGGAAAATGAAATTACGGAGAGGGAAGCCCCCCGCCGAATGTCACATTCAGTTGGGATTTCCGCTCAACCGATGTGCTTTCTGTCAAAATCAATGCTCACCGCCACCGCAAATATCATGAATGCAAGATAACTGTGGCGGGGGCTAATATCGAAATGTAGCCGATACAAGCGACCGCAGTAAATGCAACAATCTGAACGGCAATTTATACAGAGTCATTTTGGTATAGCTTTCCATTAATGGGCAATCATATATTGAAGAAATAGGCGAAATAAAAAACCATAAGTTTAAATCAATTAATTTGACACGTACACCATATAATTGTCTTTATTTTTAGATGTAACACACAAAAGAACACTTGACATCTGTTAACGCCTTATAGTTAAATTCTTGTAAAAAACTGTACATTCAATGTTTGTATTTAAATTCAAATGTTTGATAACTCAATTTGTGGTTAGTGCAGTCTCTCTTATTAAGTTTATAAAATTAAACGATTCCTCAAAGTTGTCTGTTTATTATAGGAAATGGCTTTATTTAAAGATATGTGTTTGCGTTTAAAGCTAATTTGAAAAGCATTAACTATTTAATGTAGTTTGTTGTTGAGTGGCAGATTACAGTTTCTTCACACTTATTTCGGACTAGTTTTGCTCTCTAAGAGTTCCTTTGTTCGTTCAGCTCGTCTCCTACTGGACCTCCTGGAGAACCACAGTATTCTTGGCCGCCTTTGAGCTGTGACCACCTCGGATTCCAGCTTGATGCATTCGCTCTCGCCAGACGCCTTCACCAACTCCTCATCCAGTTCCAGTTCGCTGGCATTGAGTATTTGTGCGACGTGTGCCTCGTCGATTGTGCCTTTGAAGACGAGGGGATAGGGCCACTCGTGGCATATCGTGGGTCCACTGTAGTCCCTCAGGGCCTCGATCATCCTGTCCAGGCGCCGCATCTCCTCGTAGTCGTCGTTCAACTCGCGCACCTCGTCCAGCAGAGCGGCCACATCGGATTCGAGCACCTGCAACGGTTTTCGGTTGAAATTGGATTAGCTGGAAATCGCTTATTTTGCTCGATTTGCATTGTGGTATCCAGTGACAATGACAGCGACAGTGACGGCGTTACGCTCATTGATAGCCTTACTTTCCCTCTGGCCAAGTTATCCACCCCGCCCCGCCCCCTTCTCGTCATTCATTAGGCTACATTGGATCGGATTTCAGCTACCATATCTTCTCATAGTTAGGCCTCGTCACTAGCGTCTCTATTAGTGCCCAATTAGTAAAGCCTCGGAAACTAGCCAACTAAGCTCATGTTAGGGGTATGTTACGATGGGGGCTGAACGCCACCGCATACAACCACTAACAAAAAAATAGTTCCCAAGTGTCGTCTAGCTAAATTTAATAAATTAAATACTTGTTGTCATTGTTTAATACTATTAAATTACTTCGTAAGGAGTAGTAGTTTTTTTTAAATTTTTTATTTATTTTTTTGACATAGGTTCTTGTTAATTTCCCTTGACTGTGTGATACACATTGCAAACACGTTCCGTTGTTCGAACCGACGCTGTCTAATTAGCGGTGCAAGTAATCACTGCAAGCCTTCTACCCCCCATTTCAACCCACAACCCATTGACCAGCGAAACATTCTAACATTTCGTTCCCAATAACTGGCTATAATTGCATTAACATGTTCCAAATCGCTGCCGCAGCTGTTAGGAAAGTTGCCCGGCGAAATGTTAAACAACAGGTGATAACAAGTGGAATTGGAAATGGAGATGGAAAAGTAGCGTGGAGGCATTGCACGAAGGCCAAAAGGGGTTAATGAGTATAGTAGGTTGACAACTGATGTTAGACAAAGTGATAAATTCTTTTTCCAGATGAACTTTGTGAGGAGTTTAAAACTATTTTACTATTTATTGAAAACTAACTTTTGAACAAGTGAAAACACAATATTACGTATTCGACTAGTTGCACCAATTCAATTTGAGCTTCTTATTTGTAATAAATTTATAAAAAGACTAACTCATTTGAGCAAAGCTTATATCGATATCTTGATGAAGAGACTATTTTTAGAGTGAAAGCTTTCTCTTACAGGAAGTGTTTGTAAACCAACGACCAGATAAGGAGAATAACATATAGATAGATGGGGTTGCACAGATAGCAAACACAGCCGCCCGTCCATGTGTATGAGTGCAGCACTTTTGGCCCGTAACAAATGCAAACAAGTGTCACTTTGTGGCCGAGTGGATTACGCTTGTATGGTAAAAACGGTTTGAATGGAGGGGTCAGAATCGGATGGGGAGGGCACTTTCACGGGAGAGGCTTCATCGGTTCTATTACCAAAAACTCAATATGCAGATTAATAACACATTTCAGCACTTGACGAACACGACCGCGCAAACTTTCAACGCTCCGCAGGAGTTGCCGCCGCCGCTGCACCGCCGCACTAATTGGCTCCGTCATCGCGGCATCTGCGATGCCCTGAATTTTATTTTATTTTGTTTGCCCCCCGATCGCCGACGACACTTGTCCAATTTTCGGACTTTTACATAGCGCTAATTTGTGTAGATTTTTTTTTGTATTTATTTTTTTGTTGCGGCTTTTGCTTTGTTCTATTTCCGCGGCAGCTGGAATTCCGCTCGCGAACAGCGCTCTCCGTTGACTGAGGCCTCTTCTTTCAATGAAAAAATTGTTTACGTGCGTCAATCAACCGAGCACTTGAGTGTGTAAAAGTGGGTGAGTGTATGCACACACTCTCCCACCCACACACACATTTGCAGGGCGAAACACAAAGAATCAAATGAGAACATTAGTCGACCAGCGGAGCTCTTTATCACTGCAGTTTTCGATTTACATCGAAAAATATGCCACGATTTTTTTAAGCGAACAGTTTTTGTCACACGAAACACAGCAGCTTTGCTTTATTTTCGACTGTGTTCGAAATTTGTCTTCTTGCTCCATTTTCAAACACATCTTTCTGATCAACAAAGGTATGATTTTCATACAAAAACTGTTTTTTCAGTTTATATTTTTGTGGTGGATGAAAAATTGTTTTTATTCTTTTTTTTGTGATGTGGGTTCAAGCAATTGCCACAAAGATATACAATTTTTGATATTGTTGATATTGAGCTAAACAGATTTCTAACGCATCCCAGAAGCAGCCACTGTTATTTCCAACTAAGTTGAGCTACATATTTTTTTTTTTTTTTCGTTAAAGAAATATGCAACATTTTCCAACTTCTGGTTGCAGCGCTGAAGTATGCAGCAGATTTCCGTATTCATATGCACGCTATGGTTTTAGAAATGCTTGTTGGCTTGGCTTTAACCGTGCTTTTCTTTGCCCCAGCTCAGCCTCATCCCTATTCTATTCCCATAGCCACCCGCAACCCATTTTAGTGAAAGCCAAACAAGCATCAGCTGCTAGCCATTAAAATTTTAATTTTGTGCACCATTTGCCACCATCTTGGACCACTAGGCACCGATCCTATCGCCATCGCCATCGCCATTGCCATAGCAATCCCGTCCAAAGCCCTTGGCTTGAGCGATTATGTTGATGGCCAAGCCGGGGCTGCTTACCTGCTGGGTCACGCCCCCTCGTTGCTACTACTTCTCAACCGCCTCCTCCTCCGCCTCCAGCTCCTCCTTGCCGATAATACGCTCAATTCAATTTGCATATTCAGTTGTCCAATGAAGCGCACACCACACAGCGATGGTGCGATCCACCATCCTTGCAGCTTCCAATTCAATCCGGGGAATCCCCCTTCTTCGCCCGGTGGCACGTCCAAGCAAATGGTCTTTTTCTGAGCCATCCAGGTTGTTGGCCACTTGAAAGCAGCCAAAATGTGCCGCTGACAGCAGCGCACGCATGAGCTGCATGAGCAGCTCCAGAACAGTTTGTACACTGCGAGAAAATGTTAGCTGAAAACTAAGATGAAAATCACTTATCAGTTAGATATTTTTGGGTAGATTTTATTTTTTAATTTGTTATGAACTTTTTATTAGAGTTTCAATACCCTGTAGTAGTTTTAATAACAAGACATTTTTTTACAAATTGAAGAAAGTAATATAGGAAATTAAAATTTGATCTTGTTTTGCCTTTTTTTGCTGTGCACTTCGACCACCCAGGAGCGCAATCCTGCTCCTTGTATCCTTCTAGCGTGGAGTCGTCCTCACCTGCTGTTAGTCCATTACGTTAGCAATTTAACTTGCGCCACGTAAACATGATTATCATCTTAAGTGCAGTGTGTGTGGGCGGTGCAGCGTGCGTGCAGCGGGTGGGAAAAACTTCGCCGCCAGTTTCGGATTGTAAGCTCGTTGGCTCGCTGTTTAACAAGTTTCAATCTGCTTAAAACTGCAATTAATTTAAACGATTTCTTTTTTTTACCCCATTATTGCCGAAAACAGTGTTCCGGACCGCCACCCAATCGGGAAATGCGGATTTCAATCCAGTTTGAGTGCGCTGCCCTAATTGAGCTTGTCAAAATCAGCCAGCAACGTGAGCGAATTTTCGGGCAGGATACCCGTGAAGGATCCAGCTCCCAAGCGGCACTGGTGTCCTGGCCAAAACTCGGATTCGGATTCGGTCGTTGTCACCAGCAGGTGGTGGTGCTGTCCAATGCTGCTGCTGATCCTGACGAAGCAGATTGCAGCAGATTGAACCGCACGAGGAGTCGCCCACACATCACACACATGCCTCGCAGGAGTTGGGGGAAAATTGCAACAGCCGCTTGATTAATTTGGGGGCGGGCTCAAGATAAAATTTGTGGGCGTGCCTGCAACACAACACCATTTTATGGTCTTTCATTGATGGGTGTAGCGAGGGTGTCGCGGGAGAACGGGTATATTAAACAAGGTTAAAGACAAGAACATAAATATTTTTTAGTTTTTATTTGAAAATAAGGTAAACTATTTAGCTAACAAGATCTTTACCATTGCTTGCAATTAAAAATGGTAATAAATCGATACATTTTATTTATTCTCAGGAACAATTTATTAAAGTTTAATTTGATTGAGTAAATCATAAGAAATTTGTTTATATTCCAACATATACTTTTTTGTATGCATGTATTTCCAATTAAACAAGTATATCCATTGCTCCATTACTTCCATAAACTTTTTGTATCACTCTCACTTGTTTTACCGCTTGACAGGGTAAATACGAGGCCAAAAAACAGGGACCAACGGCAAAGAGTCTATCAGACAGACAGTGAAAAAAGGGGAAAGCTCACTCACAACTACAACTACATTTATGCAAATATTAATATAGATATCCACACACATACATACACACTGTCACGGACAGACAGAAAGAGAGGGCATCACAAAGTACCGTTGACAAACCCATTATCAGGAAAACAAACCGGAGATTAACTTGGCAAAATGTCTGCAGACGTCAAAAAAATCCAGAGTGGCCAACGAGTGCGAGCGAGAGGGCAGCAAAAGGATAACCACCAGATGCTGAATAAAATATGGGCACACACACAGATGAAAAGGGAGGGAGCGAGAAAGCAAGAGGTTGCAGACACACGCATTTGGTCCTGCAAAAGTGACACATGAGCGTAATAACAGCTAAGACCTTGCTAAGCATCCGGCAGTCAACAACCACTTGCTGAATGCCCATCCTCATCCAGATCCTCATCCTCGTCCTGCTCCTCGTTGTCCTGCTCGTCCTGGCTTCCAGCCCGACCTGGTCGAGCATCCCCTCCTGGTTTTTGGGCCGTCGCTGCACTCAGCATGATTACAAATTATAACGTCTGAGCAATCGCCGCCAGTTCTGCGAGTGCGAGTGTGTGTGTGTGCATAAAGGGGCGGTCCCGTCACCGCCCATAGGAAATATAACTCCTCAACTTTTGCCAGCCTTACTGAGGGAAAAATACTATGGGAGTGTATAAATGGGAAGTTGAGAAAAAAACTAATCAGATATATTGACTTTCAGATTATGTATTTAGTTGCTTATGTTATTATTGATTTGAAAGGTATCATTTATGACTTTTATTCCTGGTTTCATTACTAATTATTTATATGAGGAATTTAATTGCCATCATACAATTAGTGGGTGTAAACTATTCTTAAAAATGCTGAGCGAGCATACAAGCTTAACATTAGTTTTTCGAGTGTATCTCGATGATGCCGCCGGCTGCAGTTTTGGTTTGGGTTGGGCGGTGGTTGGCAAACGGTTAACGAATTTGTTGCACGCACCGTCGGCAGGACTCCGCTCCGTCCTTCGTCCTGGTCCGCGGTGTGCCTGCTGGTGGTTGGCCAGACAGGATGCCCGGCTGCTAACCTTGCCCCTGGTTGGTCCTGCCATCCCCGATCCTTCATCCCCGGCCAGCATCCGCATCCGATCTCCCCTATTCCCTGGCCTCTGCTTAGATAATTCCGTTAGCTTGCAGTGTTTTCGTTGTTGTCCTAATAACTTAATTATGCATTTGCCAGCAAAGTGCTCTAAGCGCTCTTTTTTTGTGCAGCATTTAAAATGGCGTCTGCGCCCCCGGAAAGAAAAAACAGGGAGGTGGAGGCCACACAGGTCATCCGTCTGGCGGCGGCTTTCCACTTTCCACTTTCCACTTTAAACCCAAGAGAGCACCACGAATTGGGGGCAGAAGTCAAGGTGAACAAGTGTTCTCGGTGTTTTCCTAAAATCTCGAGTGCTTTGAAAACAATGGTTTAATTGTGTAAAACTATGGCGCTAAATACTAAGTGTGTTTATATAAAGTGGCACAGGGTTTCTCAAATTTAGTTTAAGCTGTGAGACTGTGCTCTATATTAAATATTTCTATTTCAATGCTTAAACTTATTTTTGGTTCTAAGTTTTTAAGCATTTTTTTTACAGCATTGCTCTAAAACATTTTAAAGTATGAAGTCATCAAGGTTATTGCTTTTTTAGTCTAAAGAGAATACTGCAGCATAAAATGGTTTTACCTCAGACGTAGAATGTCCTTCCAAATTGTTCAAGCACTAAAATCCTTAAGCCCGCTTTTCCCCAATTTGAATAATAATAACACGAACTATTTCGGGCGGCAATTGAGCAACCTTTTCAGCTATCTGGACATGATGTCCTGACATCTACAACTTACTTTTACTACTCCACTAGTTTTATGACTACTTTCGCTTGGATTCGCGAGGGTTCGGGTGGCTTTAAGTGGGCCGGGAAAAAGAGGTGGCACGTGTCAGGGTGCGCGATTTTTCAAGGCGCAAGGTCAAGCCAAAGTAACCCATTGTGGCTGCAGAAGGCGGCCCACGCGGCAGAGACCTAAATCCTTTTTGATTAAATTCAATGGTTTATATCCAATATCCCCCGAACATTTTATATGTCTTTGAAACGCATTTTTCTCAGCAGAATCCCATTTTTGTTTTGCTCTTCTGGCGAGCGAACACACACACGCACACTCACACCGAAACACACCCACTCACACACGGAGACATAAAACAAAATGGAGACAGTCGACCGGAGGAGAAAATAGATTGAAGTGTAATCATGGTTTTGAACTGCTCCTCGGTCATACATTTAATCCGAGCCAACGTAGCAGACACAAAATGGCCAAAAACGGCCAACGAAGTGAGAGAGAAAGTAAGCGTTTAGGTTGCCGCTCCTGCTGTTTTGCTACACTCAAAGAAATCGATTAAACATATAATTCTAATAATTAAGGAACTAATCTCTCAGTACAGAAGTAGAATTTAACTTTTGTGTCATCCGAAAATAATGGGTTTAAGTTATTCTTTATAATTTATTACAGATTTTCAATAGTTTTGTATCCCACTTAAGTTTTCAGTGCAGTCACATATATAAAACAAAAGACATTGTAATTGGACGATATTGGAATGGGCAAAGGGACTGGGAAAAGTTCGAGGGCTCGTGCGGTGATGCTTATTCCGCCTGACTGATTGGTGGCTCCTTTGTCTCTGCTCCCTGCTCCGGATGTCTCTGTCTTTGTGCCCCCATCCATTGCCCTCCATCTCCGGAGCCCCTTGTTCCCCCTATTCTTCGAGTGTTATCTAAGTTTGTTTGAATAAACTTAAGCGAATGTTTTGTAAGAAGATTTCCTTTATTGCCAGAGAGTGACTTGGCTTTGGTTGACAACCACATATGGCTAACTAGCTGGATGGCGAGGGAGGGGGCTTTCAGCCGGGAACTGCAGTTGCTCCGAATTTCCCCCTGGAAGGCTTTTCAAGTTCGCTTTGCATTTTGTGCGGATATCTGTCTGTTTGAGTTGTCTGCCATTCCCCTTTTGATAACCCCGAGTATCGATTTAGTTCGATTCGTTTCGGTTCTCTATAATTTCACCTTAAGCCAATTTAACAGCACCGGCACTTGACCCGGCATCCAGTGTATCATAATAAAAGCTATAATTTCAGCAATCTAGGAAAACCGGACGGACACAAACAAACAAAGGCTTAGTGTGACTCGGTTCGAATTTGAAATAATACTTAATGGCCGTAAAATTATACGGTACAGACAAGTGTCCTTCGCATGCGTATCCTTCTGCTCCTGTGGCCCCAAATTCGGAGCTTAAGACCGTAGAGAGTTGCCATAATCGTTCTGCGGTTTGATGTTTGCCTTCCGAAAGATGATTACAAATAATCATGCAGTGCGTTTCATTAGAACAACACAGTTGGGAGCTTTGGCTCAGAAGCTAATACTCAAATCCGAAAAAAATTATAACAAAATTTACTGTATTACTGATCTAAAATCAAAAAAAAAAAATTAATATGTTATATTATTAATACTTATATGTATATTAATAATAAGCCCAAAAATGTTTATATAATTGTTTTTAAACAATGATAATAAAAAACAACCTGTTTTCTTTCCAAATCCCACTGGAATATAAATAATTTTGATAAGCTTAGACCAAACAATATACCCATAAAGGAAAACCAGACTTACCCACTCTCCTTATTATTTATTCAAAACACTACATCCATTCATTAGAGATGTACAAATAATTTTCAATTTTGCTAACATCTGAGAACAGCTCTTGAGTCCAATGTTCAAAACAAAGGCTCACACAGAATGATTGAATATTCTACACCAATTTTATATCAATTCCATCTCATTTTCTTGACCCCAAGCAGTTGGCCCCTGTCCATCCATCATTTTCACCGGCGGCATGCCGAGGAAAACCTGAAGTATTTCAACCGTATTCGATATGTGTCTATATCATTGTCTCAACCTTTGTCGTGGGTGTCGATGTTTCCATGGGCGTGTGGAGAATTTTCAACTCGAGACGGACTCTTAAAATGGTCATAAAGCAAATTGTGAAAAATTATTGTGTGTATAAAATTTAATGACATGTCAAAAAAGGATATCCGGCATACGCTCCTCCGCTCGTGTTGATGTTGTTGCTTCTGTGGCTGCTTGTGTTGCCGTTGACGAGCTGGACAAATGGCCAAGGTCCTGTGGCCATCGGCCATCAGATCCTCGTGGGCGGACGTGTAATGTCCTGTAAGTCCTGACAATTTTAGTCTAGTTGCCGGCGTATTTGTATTTACTTCTTTGTGTCCGAGGCCAACACATAATCAAGCGCAACTTTATTATTTTGCCCAACAACTACGGGCTGTGCCGGGTTATTTTTATGCCCGGTTCAGCCGGGCTCTATACGTTCGTACATATATATGGCCATATAGCTGTCTGTTGTGCGGTCTTTACGCCCGTCATCATTATGCTCTTTCCTTGGCTTGTTCGCCGGCTTCGCTATTTGCCATGTTCCATGTTCCATGTTCCGAGCTGCACATTTTATAGTTTTCAAAAGTCACAAAAATGTCAATTGCTTGTCTTGCTCTCCCCCACCACCTCCACCTCCCCCACGGCCCCACAAATGGCATTGAATAAATTATATTGTGGTCATAAAGTTGCTGCACCATGTTTACCACACAGATAGATATGGCCATGGCCATGTTCATGTCCACGTCCCTGCACGGAAAGAAATGGGATATTCAAGGATTTACTCTTTTAAATTGGCAAGGCTTTTAAATGTCAAGGGGTTAAAAAAATTGTGATATATAATAACATTTAAATCGTCAGAGATTTTCGTCAGGATTATTTAATCGTTTATTTTTCCATTAGTCATTCTATAGTGAGTCAGTAGTTTTATTGGCTCTGTGTAGCTGATGACATAATGCTTAAGCATTGGTATCTTGACATCTTATCCTGGCCCCGGGATCGTTCTATTTGCATGTGACCAAAATGGGGAGCCAGGCTAATCAGCGACAGGAATTGGTTTTCCGACCCGACAGTGGGATCAACAAATTACACCCACTTCAATAATGAGAGGCCATTAAGTGATAAATTATGGTCGAGCATGTGACCGGGAACTTTTTGAATTTTAATCAAGCTAAAATTTAAGGCAGTCGCCATCGGGTCAGGGTCGAAAGCCATAATTTCACTTTCATTACTGTCGCTGCTCCTTGGAATGTCCTGTTAATGTGCCATGCTTGAGTGGAGCATAAATCTCTTCGTGCGGTTCTCAGCAGCTTTCACTTGAACCCTTGGTAATTGAAAATATTTGAAATAATTCATAAAATTTTTATGCGATATTCCCCCCAAAAGCGAAACTATATTTGGAGAGTGGGTCCTGTCTCGACTTATCAGATCGTATAATTTAGCGCAGATAATTGTTTTAATGATGTCGTAATTTCGCCTTGATGGCGTGCTTACAAAATGGCTTCAACTGATTTATGCTCCATTCCGATTTCGATTTCGAGTGCCCATGCCCCCCAGAGTGGAGGCGTCAGCCCGGGGGCTCGTGCACTTGTAGATACCGCAGATAGTGGCATACGTAACCAGTTTGCCGCTCGACAAAAGAGTAAATAACGGCATTGCATGATTTATGTGGCCAAACAAAGCGCAACAAAACGGAGTTCACTCGAAGAAAGTTATGTATACTCCCTCAAAATCTCGCGTTTAGTAATCAAAACAGAATATTTTAGCGATTATCCTAAAAAGAACTATGCTAATTTGTTTTTGAATTATGTAGCTTAACATTAATTGGATTTAGTTTAACTTCTTAAGTAATACTTTAGTATCTTGATAATTCGCTTAACTATGATTGGTATATCTTGATGAACTTTAAAAAATAAATCACTTTTCAATAATAATGTAATCCATTTTAAAGTTAAACAGTAAATTTAAAGCAGAGTCTTTAGATGTATAAAACGACAGTATTTTACTTGTGAAAAGACACCAAGTTAATTTATTATATACTTTTCATTTGAAGCACTCCTCAAAAATGTATGGAGTAAATAGTTTTAGTGTAGTACCCCAACCTGCCCGCGGTCAATGGGAGCTCGGCCACCTGAGAGCCCCAATCGCTGACTGACTGTCCCTGCTCCACATCTGGCAGGGCGAGATTGTGTGGGCGCTAACCACTTGAAAACGTTAAATAAGTTGTCTAACCACACATTAAACCAATTTGGCACTGCGCTGGCCGCCAGTCTGGCACCTTGGATTGTGCCGGCAGGACCTGCCAGCTCCTCCCTTTTCCCCTTCCCCTTCCGCCTGTCCACGCCCCAGGATCCCCGTTTCGGACCCGCCCACTCGAGTCCCTGGCTGCCATAAATCATAGGGCGACCCACGTATGTGACTACTTGGGCTAGGGGATCGATAAATTATTATTAGTTGGTCTGTCCAACGGTCCTGCCCCCCGCGTCCTTTTCCCTCCATCCAATCGCCTTGTTGGAGGCGCGTGCAAAGGAAGTTGTTAGATCCCAGAAAGGAGCGCTGACCGAAATCCTTGGCTCGCTGCGGTTCAAATGCCTTTTAACTTAACAACTTTTTTTCCTGCTGCTGCCAACACCAAACAACGGCCCACACCCGCACACACACTCCCACAAATCAATGGGTGACTTTGCTCCTGGCGGGTGGGCGCACTGAGAAAAATATTAACGCAAATTAATAGCTTAAAATATTTACTAAATTACCATTAATACAAATGAAATTGAGTAAAGAAAAATGGAAATATTTAAAAACCATATCTTAAAATAACTTATTTTAATTACATATTTGTATGGCTTGTAAGTTATTGTATCATAATTCGAAACTCCTTTCCCCCCTTTTCTTTCAGTGCAGGGATAAAGGGCTGAGAAGGACATGGCAGGCCAGCGCAAACCCTTAACGTTGTGTGTAAAGTGGACTTGACATGAGATTAACATCTTCAAAAGCATAGCTTAAAGTATTTGTTAGAGTTCGCCGAAGTTGCGCCTGGTTGCGAGCAAGGTGCCAGGACCCGGGACCCGGGACCCGGGACAGAATACAGGATCCAGGGTCGAGTCCTGACCAACCCAGCCACCCCTTCTCTTCCCTTCGCCCACCTCGTTTTTGGATAATTGCGTTCTTGTGCGCTGAGCCATGAGCTTAACTGTTGCTGTCATAACTAAGCGAAAAGGTACACAATTTATGGAATCGAGTCCGAGTCCCATTCCCAACAGGTGCGTTGCCGCCGGATATACACGAAAACAGGCAAAATCGGGCTTATGGTATAACAATTCTCGTTGGATTTATTCGTTGATTTCGATCGTTAAATAATAGCAAACTTATGTCCTAGTAGTGGTTGGTTGGTGGGGTGAGGGGTTCTGGTCGTGAACGAGCAGCTCAGGTACAGGTTTATCTTCATACGTCCGGACTTACAGGGCTCGGCGGTGACGCAGCTTCAGGCGGCGCACTGTCTTGTACTGGTAGCCCTCGTCGCCGAGGACGGCGGAGTCCTGGGACGCTTCCTCGACGGGCGCATCAGCCACCACCTCCTCCTCGGCGGGCGGCAGGTAGTCGCTGGCAATCTCGGACACGTCGCGGCGCTGGCGGTACTTAAGGCGACGCACGGTCTTGTACTGGTATCCATCGGCGGCCAGGACGGCGGAGTCCTGAGAAGCTTCCTCAACAGGAGCCTCCTCCACGGGAGCCTCGGTGACAACCTCCTCCGCAGGAGGCAGGTACTCGTTGGCGATCTCGGAAACATCCCGGCGCTGGCGGTACTTCAGGCGACGCACGGTCTTGTACTGGTAACCATCGGCAGCTAGGACGGCGGAATCCTGGCTGGCTTCTTCAACGGGGGCTTCCTCAATGGGGGCTTCGGTGGCAACAACCTCAGATGGGGGCAGGTACTCATTGGCGATCTCGGAAACATCACGACGCTGGCGGTACTTCAGGCGGCGGACAGTCTTGTACTTGTATCCATCGGCGGAAAGAACAGCAGAATCCTGGGAAGCCTCCTCAACTGGTGCCTCTTCGACTGGGGCATCAGCAACAACTTCCTCAGTGGGCGGCAGGTATTCGTTGGCGATCTCAGAGACGTCACGGCGTTGACGGTACTTGAGGCGGCGGACAGTCTTGTATTTGTATCCATCAGCGGAAAGGACAGCGGAGTCCTGGCTGGCTTCTTCAACGGGAACTTCCTCAACTGGAGCGTCGGCAACAACTTCCTCAGTAGGGGGCAGATATTCATTGGCGATCTCGGAAACGTCACGACGCTGGCGGTACTTCAAACGACGCACAGTTTTGTACTGGTATCCATCGGCAGCCAAGACGGCGGAGTCCTGAGAGGCTTCCTCAACTGGAGCTTCCTCAACGGGAGCTTCGGTAGCAATAACTTCGGCAGGGGGCAGGTACTCGTTGGCAATCTCAGAAACATCACGACGTTGACGATACTTCAGGCGACGCACGGTCTTGTACTGGTATCCATCGGCGGCCAGAACAGCGGAGTCCTGAGAAGCTTCCTCAACTGGAGCTTCCTCAATGGGGGCCTCGGTGACAACCTCCTCCGAAGGGGGCAAGTATTCATTGGCGATCTCGGACACATCACGGCGCTGGCGGTACTTTAAACGACGGACAGTCTTGTACTGGTAACCATCGGCAGCAAGGACAGCGGAATCTTGGCTGGCTTCCTCAACGGGGACATCCTCAATTGGTGCTTCGGTGGCAGCTTCTTCAGAAGGGGGCAGGTATTCGTTGGCAATCTCAGAGACGTCACGGCGTTGGCGGTACTTGAGGCGGCGGACAGTCTTGTACTTGTATCCATCGGCAGAGAGAACAGCGGAATCTTGAGAAGCTTCCTCAACTGGAACCTCTTCAACTGGGGCATCAGCAACAACTTCCTCAGTGGGTGGCAGGTACTCATTGGCGATCTCAGAGACATCACGGCGTTGACGGTACTTCAGGCGACGCACGGTTTTGTATTGGTAACCATCGGCAGCAAGAACAGCGGAATCTTGGCTGGCTTCCTCAACGGGGGCTTCCTCAATGGGGGCTTCGGTGGAAACTTCCTCAGAAGGGGGAAGGTACTCATTGGCGATCTCGGACACATCACGACGCTGGCGGTACTTCAAGCGGCGGACAGTCTTGTACTTGTATCCATCAGCGGAAAGGAGAGCGGAGTCCTGGCTGGCCTCCTCAACGGGAACTTCCTCAACTGGAGCGTCGGCAACAACTTCCTCGGTGGGTGGCAGGTATTCGTTGGCGATCTCGGACACATCACGGCGTTGGCGGTACTTGAGACGACGCACGGTCTTGTACTTGTATCCATCGGCGGAGAGAACAGCGGAATCCTGGCTGGCCTCCTCCACTGGAACCTCCTCGACTGGGGCGTCGGCCACAAGCTCCTCCGAAGGGGGCAGGTACTCGTTGGCGATCTCGGAAACGTCGCGGCGGTGGCGGAGCTTCAGCCTGCGCACGGTCTTGTAGCGGTATCCATCTTCTCCCAGAGCGGCGGGGTCTTGGGCCAGCTCGGCGCCAACTTCCTCCGCCGGCGGGATGTACTCGTTCACGATCTCGGAGACGTCACGACGGTGCCTGGTTTGTTCGACAGGAATCACTGCAGCCGTCGCGGCGGCAATAAAGATGCACGCTAGGAAAAGTTTCTGGAATTTGGAGGGAGAATTCGGAGTTAGGAGAGGTAATCCTTGGATTGGGTTATCCTGCTGCTGGGATATTCACCATTTTGCTATAGATCTCCAAGCTAATTGCTTTGACGATGGAATCTATGGGTCGAATGATTAATCGTCGCAATTTGTCCGCATATTTATACGCTCCAGTGTTTGCCAGCTTCAACTCAAACAATGAGCAGCGCTCTGTTTGCCGGCAAACAGCGGCGGAAGCCGAATCGAAATCGAAACCGATTCCGAATCGGTAACAAAGCAATGAATCTGGCCAAAGCCCCAACATGCGCCACTCGAGCCCTCAAGTGCCCCCTTCCCGTCTCCGTCGCCCAGGTTCGAATTCACGTGGAGATTAAGACCAGCTGGGAGCCGGTTTGGTCCACAGTACAGTGGGTGAATAATTCATATATAATTGGTAGAAAATGTTGGGTAATCCAGTAATCTAGCTTATGTTAAGTCCTGAAATCGGAATCACTATCATCGAAATACCTGTATTACTCATTCGGTAGGAAGATCGGAACTTTTAATAAATAAAATTACAAGAACCTTAATAAGTTAAACTCATAACGAAGTTCTTTGTATTTTCAATATTATCATAACCCTTAATAATCGTTTATACTTAAAAATCATTTTACTTCAGAATATTTTATTATAGTTATATCGAGCTCTGAAATGTAACAAAATATGGCCAATAAAACCCATAGTGCAGAGGCGGAGTTGCCCGAAGATTGCCCAGTGCGGAACTAAACGCTCCACGTTTCGCTTTCGTTTGGCGTTCGCAGCATCGATCGGATTCGATCGGTATGGCCAGAGCTTTAGATATAGCTTCACGGTCAAGAGCGAGCATCGGACCTCTTAACAAGATCTAATGCAAAAAAAGGTATTCAAACATTTAAATGGCAGCGTACGTTTTCGTTTGCTCACTCGGCATGGGCATTTATTAATAGTTTCGAACGTTAATTTCTCAAGTGGCTATCGGTAATTTGCGTACTACTCGGTATCGGAGTTCAACGAACCGCTCAAGATTGATGGCTAACAAAAGGTCGCTCAGTCAGCAAGATCGTATTTGTTTAATGGGTTTTGCTAATAAGTTTTCGAATTTGTTTTAATTTGTTCCCTTTGCGGATTTATCTGTTATCTGATGATTGGTGGTTTGGAATTGAAATGAATGTAATAAACATAAAGATTAATCTTCAAGATACTCAATGATGAAAATAATATGTATAATTGAATGGGTAAGATGTTCTAAATATATTTGGCACTTAGATATTATACATTCATGTTTATGGATATTGCAAGTCGTTGGCTGACTTAAAACAGTATGCCATCGATAACCCATCCTGTCAACATAAGTAATCGGCTAATTGTGCAATGGTAGAATTTTATGGCCCGCAAGAATTGTTGTAATAAACTGCGGGTCTTGTAGCCCGCATCCCGTTAACTGCTCCTTGCGACGGGGATATCAAAGATTTCGAGGAAAATATGCTGCACGCAATAACGAGGGAAACGAAGACGGGAAAACAACGGAGCAGCTTACAAGTTGGGAGCATGTTATGCGCTGCCGAAAAACTTTGGCTATGAAATTCATAAACTTGGCAAAACAAGCTTGCTGGCGGCAAAAGGAGGGCTCGAAGGAGGTACCAGGAGGAGCTCAAATTGGCTGCGGAAACTTTCCACAAATCATGCATATGATGTTGGGGCACTTTCACTTTGGCGCTCCCGAGGGTCTTGCGAATATTATAACCATCCCGAGACACACCGCCCCGTACCGCCCAGCCCCGCCCCTTCCGCGGCCTTGGACTAATTAAAGAGACAAAACTGCGTAAGTTTTTCGGTTTTTCAAGAGTCATCGTCATATAACCATCTTGAGTTTTGGCCCAAAATGTGTGTCAAGTGGCAGCGAGTGCAAAACAAAGCAAATGGGGTGTGCAATCTGCTGTAAACAACCATAAATTTTGCCTGCTTTGGGTCTCGACTTCGGTCGAAGTTGCTAAGGGAACTATCGCCTTCATAAAGGGGCCAAAAACACATATATATTATATACACACCACTCCCGATCCCCGGACAGCGACGTCCTTATCGCCATCACTCACATCGCCACTTGTGAAATCTTGGTAAGCCACCGAGATGAGGATGCAAATACGGTGGGGATTCTTTAATATTTATTTTCAAGTTAAAGTGTAAGAAGAAAAAAATATCTAAGATTAAGGTCCAAAAATCTTTATACTCGTATAGAAAACTTAAAAACATCACTTATGTGTCTCAGTTTGTAAAAAACATTTTATACGAATTTAAACACATATTATTCCTTAGCTCAAAATTTATTTTTATATAATTTCAAAAATGTGGCAGATGGTTGTTCACGCTTTGCGGGCTCGACTGTATATTTTTTGGCGGTCTGGTTTCGTACTAAAAGTATTAAGCGAAGCATGAACATCCCATGACACATTATAATATGTATAAACGATGTTTTATGACAATCAATTTGTTTCAATCCAATAGACACACCCGCCGCATGTGGCAGCGTTTGTGTTGTGCTCTCATTTATGTGATTATTTGATTTGTGTTTTGACGTTGATACTCGCACACAGAGCCGATTCGGAACCAGAATCAAAATCACTGCCCGAAGCTATGGCATAACGAATTTTATGAACTAGAAAGTATCATTAATTTAATACGCATTCGCAAACAAGCCGATGATATGATATGGGAATGAAGTGGGGGTTGGGAATTGGCGGCCGCCCTTAGTTATGCTCTTCTGATCATTGTAATGTAAATACGGACCGACCCCGGCCGCGTGCAATCATAAATAAACATTCGACGCAAACACAATAAATGTCAAAAAGTTTCGCCATTATCCGCTCGCCAGTTAATGTCCTTGTCGCCGTTGTCAGCGTCGTCATCGCGTCGTTGTCGTCTTGAAAGCGAACACAGCGCTTTATTATTTTAATGATTTCGCAGTGCCCCCATCCTGTCAGCACTCCGGCGCTGTCCTGGCAAGTCCTGGCGAGTCCTGCTCTCCAGCGCTGTCCTGTGGCATTGTGTTTACATTTGTAATTCAATTCGCGACCGCCCCACCCCCCCTCCAAAAAGTCCGCTGCCACCGCCATCAGCGGCTCCATCTCCGTCCGCTTGTTATTATTTTACATGTCGTTCGCTGGCTCACTATAATTTATTAGCAATTTGCATAATTTTCTTTTATAAAGCATTGCCTCTGTTTTCCGCTGCCTTTTGCCTTTAGTGCTGACACCGCGCCGTCAACTCTTTTTGGCCAGTGTTATGCAAATGGCCCGCCCGTAATGCCCATGGGTTCTGCAGCCCGGTTTACGGTTATGCACGATCGTTATCAATGGGCACTTTGTTGCCCCGATTACTGTATGAATGCCCCCCGAAATTTGCATTCACATCTGCCGACCATCGACGAGCTGTGAACTCTGCTCAAGGCAAGGTCTTGGATCTCTCGGTTAGTTGGCTGAAAGCAGCTGCCGTTTATGGTTCTACACAGGGTCGGGGAATTCTCAAAGATCAGTGAATATTAATATAAATGTGAAACAAAAATCTTCAATACAAAAATATTTAAACTTCAAGAAAGATTTGTGTTTTTATTTAAACCTTAAACAGCTACAGCTTCTTAGAACACTATTTTAAATCCACTAATTTTCTTTTCGAGTTCATTGAAAATTGGTTAACTTCCAGGGTCAGGTCCTTTAAGAAAACAAAACAATACAAACAAGAAACAAAAGTATCTTTATTATTTCTTAGTGCTCCAAGAATTGTTTTTATTTTTCCCTTGTTTTTCTCCCTTTGCTCGAGCTGAACTTTCGCTGCATAAACAATTAAAAATTAATTTTAAAACTTTCGGCCAAAGATAAACGGAGGATGACGGTGAACAAGGAATCGGGAGAATCAGCTAGCTCATTAAACCCGCCACATGGTCTTGTGGTTCTGTTTTCGGGTTCCGCAACTTTCGGTTCGAGCGGAGGAGCGGCGTCTGCATCATTACGCAATGTTGGAGGGGGGAAGCTTTGAAGTGGACTTTAAATGGGGCTAAATGAAACTAAGCGAAACTATTTAAAATACCATTTGCTGTGGAATCAATCGACGGCGGATGGGATTTGTAATTAGGCGGCCAAAGGCACAGGGCACAGGGCACACAAGCACGCCCCCAAGTATATAGACTCGAGTCAACGTTATTTCATAAACACGCTCAAGTGATTCGGCAAACTTCTGGGGGGCGGACTTTGTGCAAGCCCGGTTTGATCCACAGATCCATCCAGTGTTTGCCCGACTGTCTGTTTGCCCGGCCGGCAAAGGTCTCGGGGTCCATTGTTTGACTTGAAGGTATTAGAAACTAATTTGTACAGCAGCCGCAGTGGAGGAGGAGCCTGGCCAAAGCTAACCAGGATACAAACAACAATTGTTTGCCTGTCCATCCATCTATCCATGGGCTTTGGCCTTGCTGGCCATCCACTTTGGACTCGCTGTTTTCGGGCTGCCCGAAGACAATGAGCAAAAAATCCAAAGCCAGAAGCAGAGGCAAAGGCAACGGCAAGCCAAATCCCCAACAATGGCAGCAGCAGCAACAGCAGAATGGCTAAATCATATGGCCCGGCCAAAAGGACGACTGACAAAAAGGGACTCGTCTCGTTTTTAAGTCGCCGCCGGCTTAAATTTTCTTAAATGTTACATTGTCTCTGGCAACGACAGAGTAACTCAGGCCAAAAACCCACCCGGACAAGCCGGTCTTTTTACGGTTTAACTAAACAATCTGCTCACGAGTAAATATTTTCGGGCATATGCAAAACTTTACAATGAACCGACACCGACGACGGGCTCTAGGCCTGATCCTAGTCCTCCGGCTCCTGGCTAAGTACATTTGTCTTTAAGACTAAAAACCATAACAATTTAGTGTTGGAAATTTTGAGCTACGCACTGCAGAATTTATTCGCAGACACACACACAGAGCAGGGAAAACACCCACATGGATCCGCATAGTTGAGCTTCATGGTTTATCTGCCAGATATTCTCACAAATATTTACCCGGGTCGAACATTTTATCGGGGCACGCAGAAAATGCTTAGCTAAGCGAATTGTTATTCCTGCAGCCGCTGCCCTTAAAGTTGCTAGCCCGATAATTTAATTTTGAAACTAACTCTCGGCATCTTTTCCCATCAAAAAGGGAGCGGACACGAACAATATGCAAACGAATTTTTAACTAAATTTGGGGGTCACAGGAAAATCAAATTGACACTTTGCTACCAAAACTGACATGGAATTATTAAACGAAGCTTCCTGAAAAATAAATATTTATGTTTTATCTGTTTCAGACTTTATTGATTTAATAACCCCTGACCCTAATTTGTTTTAATCTCAAGCTCTTTAATTTGTAAGGCCAGCTCTGAATAGTTAAGGCTATCAGGTATCCATATCTGTATATCTTTGACACCGCTGCGGTTTCCACTTGGTTTCACATTTTGTCCCCCCATCAGACGCCACTCGATCGCAATTGATGCGACGGTTCAATGATAAATCAGGAGTGACTGGCTATATTTGCAGTGAATTTGCATTGATGATTGTTGACATTTAAAACAAATATGAATATACAGTGGGCAGATTTCAGTAGCCGTTTTTTTTCAATCGATGCGAAATAAGAGATGCTGCAGGTGGGCGAAAGTGAGTTGCAAATTGTTATGATTAATGCGAACGCGAGCTGTGCCGACTTTCATTACGGGCATTAAATTTCTGCACATTTTATAATTTAATTGAATTTCGCTATGTTTTTTATCGCACTTTCCCAAAGCTAATTTATGATTGCTCAATGCGGCATGTAATTGCATACAAAAGCCTTTAATGATGGCCCGCTCACGTATCTCGTATCTCTGTATCTGCAACTGTATCTGCATCCTCATAAAGCGATTGAATTTCAGCTCTTTTTTCCGTTCTACCCACTTTGACATTCCATAATTATATTCATTATTAATGATAACATAAAGCGAGGGGAGAAGAAATATTAGCGATAAAAATTGATTAAAGTTTAAGCGCGCGCCGATAATTAACCAGCCATAAATATAGCCGTGATTTAAGCTGGCTTTAACCAGCAGAAGACATTTCGCATGCCACCGCCAATCGCTTGACTTCCGAGCTCGATCATCCCACCGGTGCGTGGTCCTTCATCTTGGAACCAATTAGCGACCGGGAATTAAGTGCTCATCAGACGTCTGGCCGGGCTTAAGTCGGCAGCCCACCTTCACCTTCGCCATCGCCGCCAATCCCAGCGACAAATCCCATTTCGATTCCCACTCCCAGTCGCGCATAATAGAGTCCACACAAATTAGTCGAACGCAGGCAAACTCGGTCGTAAACAGAGCTGCAAATGCTCCGCAACATGCTCGGTTCCGCCGGTGGAAGGACAGGATCCCTGACAGTCGGATCCTTGGACAGGAGGTGGGGTGCCTGCTTTGGAAGGACCAAAACGCAGACACTGCCAATTGTAGCTCCCAGTTTGGTCGCACGATTAATCGTCGTTGCAAATTGTTGGCACGTTTTCAATTGACAACAGAGTGCGTCGCCTGCACGGCAGCGTCAACCCCTAATTTGCACTATGACCCCCGACCATCGCCACCCCATTTCGACCCCTTTTCGGCCCAACCCCACCCCCTTTGGGTTGCGTGTAAATCACACGGTGTTTGCTCTCGCTCCTGTTGCATCTTTTACGTGCGTCAGGACGAGCCTGCTGCCTGATATGCGACACTGCCAATGGCCTTCTTATCCTTCGACATCCACACGACCACCCACCAACCCACCGATCCACCTCATGTCCTTTCACCCCCTCCCCACCCCTGATGACGTGTAACGGGCCGTTTTAAAACGCCGACCACGACGCCTCTGTCGTTTATTTTGAATGTAATTTTTCAAGTCGCGACGTCTTCTAGCGCTGCCCATTAATCACGGGGACAAAATGCGATTCGCCATGGCAGAAAACGGGAAAAAATACAGAATCGAGGAAAATAAACAATGGGGATGGAGCAGGAAGAAGAGATCGGAAAAAAAGAAGAAAACTTTGCCTTGACGAGGCAGTTCTTTAATTATACTCTACTCGAAAGAGTTTTAAGGGATCTTAAAGAACGTTTGTTAATAAAAACTGCAAGTAATCTCCTGTAAAAGTAAAGTGCAGCAATGCACAAGCATTTTATAAATTCCAATAATGAATAATTTAATAACTCAAATATTTTTAAGTTGCGGTAAAGCCTTAAAGTAAGCCTTTACATCCTGTCCTTAAAATGCAAACGCAAAGATTTCATATAATATTTTTCATGAACTCCAGCGTCTGTGAATTATTGCCTGCCTTTCTACCAAGATTTATTCCTTCCTTTGTGTTGGAGCAAACGCATATCCAATTTCATACTTCCCCACACCCGAAAACCCAGTGGAAGTTAAGCTTCTTAGGGTATGATTGGATTCGACTTATTTCCGTTCCGGTGAAAAGTGTTGCATACTCACAGGCTGGAAGCGATGCTGCTCCTCCGGAGTCCGGACTTTTGTTGCTGCTCGTTGACTTCGTTAATAATGATGTTGGCCCTCCTACCCCTCTGTGTGTGATCCCAGCAATGAGGTCACGTGACTGACAGCCGTCGCATTACGGCCCTTTGTTTGCCAAAGCCAAAACGGCCTCCCCAAAAGGCCAATGACAAACTAAATGCAATTTGATGCGTGTCATGCCCCCCGGAAGGGAGTCGAAAATGCGTGGTAATCATTATTTGTGACAATTGACGAAGTCGAAATCAATTTTTTATTAGCTCCCTGAGCCAAGATCAATCCTCTAATCCATGGTCCGCTGTTGTGGCAGTTAATAAATATTTGTCACGCATGGCTTTGGATGCACTGCAGCTGAAAGTTTGCTTCCCGGAAATCCCCAAAGGACCTGTCGGTGCCACCTGCATTGCGTTGGCCATGACGCTTAGGCACGTGACAGGCGGATGACCTCAATCCAGGCTACTGGCGTCTAACTCCGGGAGCCCGGACTCCGACGATGGTTTCGCATGCCCGGCTTTTCCCACGTCCTGTCACCTCGCAAACACACAATTGCAAAGCGCCTCGCATGTGTGCAAACCGCATTTACTGCGCCCTCAAAGTTGGTCATAGTTGAATGCCGACGTAAGGAGACCGCAAAGGTAAGGATACCGCAACGGGCCATTAATCAAATTTCCAATTAATTTGCCACAATTAATTGTCGCGCTAATTGCTGGTCCAAGCCCGAACCACTTTATTTGCAAGTCGGGCAGGAGACGTCTTTGTTAAAGCCGATTCCGTCACGGGACAAAATGGGATATCTCCTTAAAATCGGCTCATGATTATGCCGGCCCGAGGCAATATGTATGGGATTCCGCTGAGCTGCAACCCTATTAGGGAGCTCCGAACATGCCGAGCCCTGGTCGAGTAATATTATTTTCCATCATTGTCAACATATCATCAGGTTTGGTGACGAGCGCTGAGCTGCTCCTTTTGCCAGACGGATGGGATAATAAATACAGTGGATGCCTGGAGCAGCGGCGGCTGCAACACTAGGACCGGCTTTTCTGCAGTTGCAGCACTTTATTGGAAAATGTGTGCACATTTCGAGAAAAGCTGCCGCGCTACCTGCCTGCTCCGTCTGCTTTGCTTTGCACTTTAAGAAAATGTCAAGCGGATCAAGGTTTTATATTTATGCTTTGAAAAAAAAAGCACTGCAGTTACAAAAATTTTGCTTAAAAACAAAAAATATTATACACAAAATTTAAAAAACAATCCAACATACAGAGTTCGTGAGGAAAATAAACTACTGGTTGGTTTACTACCTTGTTTATATTATTTTGAAGTGGCTATTATTTTTTTGCCTTTGTTTGATAACTAATTTTCTTGAATTTAATTTTATGTTTGAATAATATGCCTCTGTTATTTCTCCATGTGTCTGTAGTGGCAGCAAAGGGAAGCCATCCCGTAGTCAGACACAAATATCAAATATTATCGAGCAGAGCGGAGGACGTTGAAAGGCAAGCACTGGTGAATGCCAGTTCCCAGTTGCCAGCTCCCAACTCCGTTGGCGGCTTTTGCAGCCGGTCCCGGTTGCCGGGGTTACACGTACGCCCCCGGTTCCCAGGTTCACAGGTTCCCAAGCAGCCAACTTCCCGGCCCCGAGTCCTCCGTTGCCATGGCCATGCCCATTGCCTGGGCCTCGACTTTGTTTGTAAACATTTCACGTTCATCGCTGGCCCGCAAATATTTCGCTGCTGCTGTGCAAACTTTTGCCATTCGAGCTGGAACTAAATTTTTTCCAGAAAAGTATGCCCTGCCCGTACAGAGTGAAACAAATGAGAGCAGACTAGAAATCGTGTTTCGTTGTGTTGGCTTTGAATACATCTCGTTAAAGGACCGACATCGACGGAAGGATCGCGCACACACCTCCAGCCCGGCTACAAGTCCATGGTTTCAGAATGCAAAAGAAGGTAGCGCCCGAGCGACGTCCCTTCTGCGATCCTCGGCTGCAGGACGACAAGTTGCGGAGGAAACGTACGCTCCATCTTCCCCGAGTTTCCCAGGCTCAAAAGAAGGGAGAGAAGCGCCAGCTGAACGATTGCCCCTTCTTCAATCTGCAATATGGCTTCGACCAGCTGCCCTTGGATCCCGTCAAGGAGTTTCTGCAAGAGAAGATTTGTAACGACAATATCAAGGAGCTCTTAGATCAAGTATTAAGTATTTTGTTTTCTACCAGCCCATATGCAGACCGACAAAATTGTGGGTCGCTGTAACCGGGAGTTCGACTTCCACCACTACGATCTGGATAACGTGAAGGAGCATTACGACGAGTGCGACGATGACAGCCTGCAGGAGTTGCAGTTGGAGGACATCGTCATGCCGGAGCAGTTCGAAATGCTGCGCGATGCCAAGGATCACACCTACAACTTTGATTCCACGGGTGAGTAAGAAGCCGGTTGGGGGAAAACCACAGCCTCGGTTGACAATTAAGTTTAACAACATTTGCGCATTATGCCAGCTGGCGGGAACGGGGATTGCCCAACAAATTGCCACACATTTCGTGTTATTCAATGAGTGAGAACTTTACCGCAAAAACATAACACTTAATACTTTATTAAATGCGAAAACATGCCCCGACTAAAGCTGCTCCCTCGCCCAACTCCCAATTCCTTCTCGGCTGCTCCCCTCTCCCCGGTTTTCCTCAACTCATTTTCCGGCTCCCACAGCGCTGCTCGCTGGAAAATTGTTCACCTGTAAACATAAAAATTCCAAACATTATCCTTTTAACATAAAATTTTATAACCGAAATGAGAAAAAAAGGTGAAACCGAAAAACAAATGCGTATGACATTTATTTGAATATCCTTTGGGAGTGCAGGGCACTCAGGGATCGACGAGAGGGAGGGAGTGGGACACGTAAAGGACGAAGGACTCTACAACATGTTTTCATAGTGTTTTATTTAGCATTTACATGAAACATTTTTATGTTTGAATTTTTTTATGGGATACTCTATGTGGAAACAACGTGGAGTAGTTACTGAAGAAGATTTAATAAATAAATGTATATTTACAAATGGTGTCCTTTCATTTTGATGATTTTAATTTCTTCTTTTAATTCAATGTGTTCTTAATATATAAAAATATTTATTTATTGGTAAATGGCTTAAAACCATAAATTTTCGAAATTATGTGCGGTTAGGATTGATAGATCTACATCTATAAATTCTTGCAATGTTACTTAAAATTGAAATATTTTCCTTAATATTAACTTGCTTCTTTTTCCAAAAATAAACAATTCTTTTTCTTATTTTTAAAGGATTTGTTTTTGTGGTAAATTTATGGAAAGTGAACCCCTAGGTCGCCTACGCTCACCAAACAACCTTTTCTATCTGCAGTCTCGACTCCTGTCGCTAGTTTGTAATAAAAATGTTTCATTTTTGTGTCTATTTTTTAATATTTAATGCCAGAATGGAAGTGCCATCCCAGTGGGCGGGCGACGTGGTCTAATAAGGGCTCCGGTTACACAATAGTACAAAAGCGTGTTGCCGATAGACATTAGCATGGAAATGTGACAAACAAACCTGGGCAAAAGCGTGGCCACAGATAGGCAGAGATGCCCATTTTGGCCCCGGGGATTTTCGTTTGTAAAGGCACGAAATGGATATTAATTCCAGTTTAATCAGTTAAAAATCGAACTCTGCTACCGTGACTTTTATTTAAAACAATTTCGCGTTGGGCAAACAAACGTATTTGCGCTGCCTTTCAGTTGCGGCAAAAGTCACGAAAAAAGGGGAAAAATCAAATTTGAAAAGTGCAGACAGACCCGTGTCATATGCGTTGGGCAAATATTAAATGCGATTTTCAATTTCATTTTTTACGTTTGGTTTGTTTTTTATTCGCTTGCAGCTTGTAATCAATTTCCCTGGATTGACAAATGGATGACTGGCGGTAATAAATAAGCGTTCATATTTATTCAGTGTGCATTATTAAAAATTTGACACCCCCTCAACGCATTTGTCAGTTCGGCCCAGTGAGCAGGAAATCTACGAGATGACCAGCCAGCTCCTGGACATCTACTGCAACCGCAGAGTGCGAATCTTCTATCCGGGATGTGGCACTAAGTCATCTCTGTGGACAAACCAGCTGAGGCGCCAGCACGGATCGCCCTCGGAGTTGATTGGAGCCTATCGAACGCCAACTGCCCGCCACATGAGGGTTAACAATATGAAGGGACCTCCAAAGAAGGAAAAATTCACAGCCGGCGATCATTATGCATTCCGAACGCCTCAAGGTAATATAATCAGGCTCTAGAAAATCATTCAATAACTAAAATCATAAACTTAACTATGATATTGTAACAAGATCCATCTGGAATGCAAAATTTCCAAGTTCAGTTGATTTTTGAAACAGCTATTTTTCCTTAATTTATATTTATTTTTGTTAAAGAATGCCGCAACGAACTAATGAGGGTTGGCAAAATAATCGATGAGCTTATCGAACCCGTGCTGAAAGCTGCCGAAGACAATATTGGACATGGGCGCACTAAGTATCCCGATGCGCCCACTTGTAAGGACAAAAGGAGCATAGCCTTGAAGCCAACAGGCCTCATTGAGGTTGGTGTAGACTTATAATTATTCAACAAATACTATAGAATATTTATATTACAATATATACCGAAAATTAGGCTAAGAAAAAAATATGCTGTGTGGGGAAAATTCGCATCCACCGCAAAGATTTTGCTACCAATGAGGAGTTTCTACATTGCCTGAAGAAAATGGAAGCCACGTAGGTAGAATTCATTATCTCTTTTTTTATGGAACTGAGCTTTGATTCTACAGTCACTTTCCGTACATGCAACCGTTGCAACCGGTGGATCCCGATGACCAGAAGAGGCTGATGATGACGAAGTATCAAAAGCAGTTGGCAGCGGCCGAGAAGCTTTTCCCCCTCAAGATGCAAAAGCGATACCAGTGCCTGCTGAAAAGTGTGAGTCCCCCCACGTGTCGCTACGTAGTTCTGAATTATGCAACTGACCAAACATACGCTAAGCAAAAAAGGCGGTATGGAAAATGAAAGCCAAATACCCAGCCGCAATGACTCCCTGACCAAGACCATAAAAAACCCATCAAAAGTGAGCACCAGCGACGGGCGTAAATAAATTTTATCGTTGACTCCGACTTTTGCTCCGTGTCCTTCTCCGTGTCCTGCTCCTCCGCCGTGTCCATATTCATGTCCGTGTCCGCATCCGCATCCATATCCGTATCTGTGTCCTTGTCCATAAAAAATGATAATAATAAACTCCGCACAAAGTAAACATGTGTGCGTGAGCGTGCGAGTAAATTAAGCTGCTTTGGCTTCGGGGAACGTGCTTATAAAAATTATATAATTCATACCTCGTAAATATTATGGTCCGGTGGGCGTGGTCAGAGTTATGAATAACGTGATTAGTTGTTAAAAAGAGAACCGCTTGTGCGGCGTTGGCGTGAATCACACCCGATTTAATGGCTCCACATCCATTATACTTATTCTTCTCCTCATCCGCATCCCAATTCAGATGTCCATAGTGCAACTGGCCACGTATCCCTCGCACCTCATACGAAGGGCCTTCAAAAAAATTGACCCACGCAGCGCACTTCTTCAGGATGCCTACCGATTTATACTCAAGGAGGAGGTGAGTAGTTGGCCATCTCCCAAGGGGGCCGCCTTAAACTAACAATAATGTTCGTAAACCACATTTCACTTTATTTTGCTCAACCACAACTATCTATTCCAATACTGCAGTCAATTATTTTTGCTAAGCTAAGAGAAGTTTTCTTGAACTTTCTTGTGCATTTTCGAGCATTTCTTATTAGCCAGCATGTAGCCAGGTTCTATAAAAACGGCTAGATTGGCAACACAGATTAACATAAAAGAGTTCCAGACTCAACAACATACCGTAGACATTATTAGTAAACTTAACTGGCGCTCAACCGAAGCTGGCTCAGTATTCGGCGGAAGTTTTGCCGAAAAAGTTTGCCGGCAGTGCGAGCATATTAAACATGCTCCCAGGATTGGATAGGAAATATGGGGGCGAATGGGATGACAAGTGACGGGGCGCGTGTTGATGTTTTGACGTGAGCGCCAAACAAACTTTGTCAGGGACTTAAGCCAAGCACTTGCCATCAGCACCGGCAAATCAGTGCAGGCAAAGGCGGTTTAATGAGCATCTGAAGAAGCTCCGCAGACATTCCTCCCCCGCCCCCTCCACTTCCCCTTTTCACCTTTGCGAAACTAGTTGAAATCGCCCCGGAGCGCCAGCAAAGTTTTGGGCCACCTGTCGTCCCCTTTTCATCCCCGTCCACGGTGTCTAATCAACTCATTACAGAAAGATTGGCCCAAACTGCCGCCAGAAGTTATATTAATGGATTATCTGTTCGTGGGCGACCGCGGAGTGCGCCAGGACCTGGCCATCCTTATAATCGTGTGCCTCATCGATCTGCAGGAGGACTTCCGCCACCATGTCAAGCGCACCTTCCTCAACTACCTGCTCTCGTGAGTAATCGCTGGCTATTATGTTGGCCCTTCATTCGAACATGTCAATTACCAGGTCTAATATGGAGCGAAGGCGTCTTCAGCTGGAAAGGGAACCCCCTCAGTTTCCCACCTTCACCATTTACCCGCCGGTTCCCTGGAGATCCAATCTCTTGAGGGGCAAGGCTCGCATTGGAGAGGTCCTGATGACCACACATCCCACTGTCCAGGCTTTGAATAGGCTGTGGCATGATCTCTACGAGGATCTGGTGGTTGTGGATCTGGGGCAGTTGCTTCTTGCCCAAAGGCCGCTGGATGCGGATACTGTAGAGGTTTTCATTAAGAAGAGCTGCGCTGACGTTCGGGATGTAAGTTAACTATTTTCAGATCAATATTAAATATTTAAATTATAAATTTTGCACTTTAAATTCCAGTTACTTCTCAACGATTGGCTGCCGCGTTGCGCTGACCTGATGAACGAAATGCGTGGCACTTGGAAGGACCTTGTGCCCATGTCCGGAAAATATGGAGGACGGGCTGCCATGCTCTTCCGCTGCATCCACTCGGCGATGTCCCGCCACCTGAACAGCCTCATTAGCAAGAGCATCAACTACCTGTTCAAGGTGCTGTGCGCCTTCAAGGAGGGCAACCGCATCGACCAGTACTCCATGTTCGATGCCAAGCTCAAGAGGATACCGCTAATGACCCTGATTGCCTCTGTGGTTGGGGCCCACTTCGATCACGAGCCCATTGACATGGGTCCCGGGGTCAGACCGGCCTCGAATATATATGTCTACGACGAGGACGATGCCGATCCTTTCCAGCAACCGCAGGCTAACCAGTTTGTGGAAAACGTAAGCAACACCCACCTATAACCAAAAGCATAAAATAGGTTTATCTTTAATCTTAATTTCACAGTTCCCCGACATTGATGATGTGGCGCAGTTCGAACTGGATCATTCGAATAAGCTCTATATATACCCCTACATGCAGGAGCTGCCTCGACTTTTCACAGAGCATTTCAAGAGTATCTTGGCAGTGGGCTACGAAATTCCCCGTCTCGAGTTTGTCATGTCTGGCGGCGGTGAGTAATTGTTCCTGGAACTTGTGCTTTCTGGAATTAAATCTATACAAATTAATTTTGTAACCTTTTTAGAACCCGAGACACAAGGCTTTTTGCATTATATAGACGAAGACCACTGCGATTTCCTGGAACTCTGCGAGAAAGTCGAGCAGATCGTCAAGGTCAACTGGCGAGGAGTTCACGTCTACCTTAAACCCATCTACAAGTACTACTTCGGTTTGTTCCAGAAGTTGATAATGCCCATGGTGCAGAAGGTCTGGACCGAAAATATCCTGCCGGAGCTCGGGGTGAGTTTAGCTATCCTGGTGGCAATCAGCGGATTCAGCCAGAGGCTCTTCTCGAAATGGATTTAATTATTTATTTCGATTTGATTACACGCAATGATGCGTAGAATTAACATAAAATTTCATTATGGAATATTAATAGACTGCTGGCTGACAGACAAGTCACCTGACAGGAGTTGGGAAGTGGCTGGCAATTTGTGTAATTTGACAAGTTCCACCTCTCCGGAATCCGGTTTATTAAGCCTCCTGCTTACTGTTGATTTCTGACAGTTTGTTGGCTATGTGCAATGTTTAATTAGTCGCTATTTGGCATCCCAGCCTGTTGATTTTGCAAAGTTTGGCATGCCATTATACTTAGACAGTCCGTGAGTTACCAAACGTACATTATGCGCTCAATTTACTTGCACATTCCCCTCCTCCTCGCTGCCCGTCGATGCGATTTCGCATTCATTAAGTTTTATGAAACGACCAGCAATTTCCTCTCCTCTCGATTCGTTTCGTTCGGTTTGGTTTTTTGCGCAATTTATATAAAATAAAAATTACTTCCGACTGCGTATGCTGCCTGCTGCCTGTCGATGCATGAAATGCGAGTCTGTCTGGGTCCGAACCACCATCGATGCACCACTGGTGGGTCAGGGGTGTAGCTGTGGGGACTGTTAGGGGTGCACTGCCTACTCGGTGCATCCTGATTTAATTATTTAGATATTTGGTAAAGCTTTGAATAAAAACTACCAAGGTGTTGGATTACGATCATTGTTTCTGATTTTCCGTAATAAATCAACACAACTATTCTTAATATTATATTTTCCAAATTAAAAGTGAATATAAATTTCTAGAAATAATGAAATGCTTTGCAAAAAGCCCATTAGCAATGCAAACGAGTTTTCATTTCATATTTGAGTTTAAATTTGCGTTACTAATACGCACAACAATTTTTAAAGAGATCAAAACCAATTGCAATAGTTCATTTGTTTAATTAAATATTTTAAATGTAATTGCTGGTAGTTCAAAGTTCATATTATTAAAAATGCATGTTTGAAATGTGTAATTAAAATATATAAATAAAGCATAGCAAATGACCTCATATACCGATTTCTATAATTTCATTGTTAACATTTTTTTAAGTTCACCCCAAAATAACCTATCAGTAATCCTCTTTTCACACACCCCCTTGGATGTGACACCTCTGTCGCTTACAGGTTGTCCAGGAGCTGCTGAAAAAACTGCAGGCCGTGAGCGATACGACCTATTATCTGCGCGATTTCATTCCGCTCAACCTGTTCATGTTGGATAATCGGCACGTGAAGCTATCGCTGCGGATGTATGTGCGCGAAATCTACGATTTCATAATTGATTTTTACAAAGCCCTCAATTGGAACGAGAATCGGGCGTAAGTAGCCGAGTTAAGCGGCGGGAACAGATTGCATCAGCGTTGGCCAAATGAAGTGCGAGCGCTCCTCCACTTAACTTTTATGCTGACTGCCCCCCAATGCCACTTAATAGATAACTTTGCACCACATATACGTACTATATATGCACGCTGGCTGATTTTTTACCTGATTTTTTCTGCCACTTCAGCATCTGCGAGGAGCTGGAGGAGATGTCGATGAAGGCCGGCGAGCGACCGGAGGAAACGCCCGAGGTGGTGGCCCTGCAGAACTACATCAACGAATGCCGGGAGATGCGCATATTTGCCATCAAGGATGAAATCAAGAACGTGTTGAAGCGCGTCGTCTTCCTGCTGACACACACCTACCTGTCCAGTGAGTGATGCAATTGGTTTGGTCAGCTCCTCCCCATCGCTCCCTCTTCTTCCTTCCTTCCCCTCGCTGTTTGTGCAGCTGCAGCTGGCCAGTGTAGCTATTTTTGCCTCGATCCTGGCCAGAGCCCAGGCACTGGGGGAAAAATTAAAGTCGGGCAAATCAGCCTTGCATCAATGGTACTTGTGTCTTTAAAGAGTTCATTGAGTAAGGTAGATTTGCTAATTAATCCTTTTGTCCTAGATTCACTTTCTACTTGGAACTAATCCAATAAAAATAGTAGTAGAAAGGTTTCCACAAAAATGTATGAAGTTATATTATATTTGTTTTGAAAAGTTAAGTTTAAAAATATAATATTGAGATTTGTTTGCAGAGATATTTTAGGACCTTTCAGACTTTGATTTCAAGAGTTTGTACTTATCCTTTCGATACCATTTTTTTTCTCAGTGCAGCTAGTGTGTTTGCTTTGCGCTGTGTTTGGCTTCTGGTGAAGGGAAGGGAAAAGGGCCTGATAGGAAAGGCAGGAAGTGCAGCTTCGCTTAACATAATTAACCTCAACTAACAAGCTGAGTCTACTAATTGGTTTTATAATTACTTGCGGTGAGACACCAAACATTGAGCTCCGCTAAAACCCCGAAAATGCAACTTAATGAGCTTAACAAATTCATGAATGTGTGAAAGTTGCTTTGACAACCGGCAAATGCAGACGGGCTCACACCCACAGAAATCCAGGCAGACAATTGCCAGTTATCGTCAAGTGTCGTGTGTATCTTTCGTATATGGCTTCAATGTTTACTTCAGACCCTCCGATTCTGTATCTGTATGTCTGTTTGTCTGTCTGTCTGCCTGCCTGCTGTTTGCCAGGCGTCTGTCCGAATGTGTGGCTTTGTCACACCAAAATGCTCACGGATACAGCTTGTCAGGGCCAAAGATACTCGTACCAACTCAGATAATTAATTAGTGTGTCGCCGAAAAAAAGAGAAGTGCTCGCGTTGCCAATTAATTAAGAGTTAAGCGCAGTTAATTAGCAGCGAGTACAATCGAGAGTCATCCAGTCTCACAAGCCCTTCCATCCGCAGGCGATGAACTCCACCTCAACTCGCGCACATTCATCCTGCCCGGCGAGCTGGAGGAGGTCCTGGATCTGAGTGCCGCCCGGCTGGCGGTGGTGCGTGATAATCTGGAGCTGGCCTTGCGGTGAGTGAAATGCCGATTAGCCCCGAATCCCGGACAGATCCCCAGATACTAAGCCGACGTCTTTGGCACACAGGGAGCGGCGCTTGGAGTTCGAGAAGCTGCTCGCCCAGGAGAAGCGGACGATGGACGGCTTTCGCATCCGGGAAATCCGGGATGTGCTCACGCTGGAGGAGCTCAAGGAGCGGGTGGACACGGTCGATATGCTCTTCACCACCATCGAGGTGAGGGATTAGCTCTGCTTTGCCGGTATTTATTTAGCAGATTGGCTCGATTCGATGCGGTTCGGGGATGAGTTATTTGGTAGGGGTCTTAAATTAAGCGATTTTGGTTTTGACGAGGCCAATGCATTCTTTGCTAAAGCTTAATACTAAAACAATAGGCTGTGTATATTATTTGTTAGGAAAATAGGGCCATAGGCCATAGTTTTTAGTCAAGTTTTAGCTATTTGAAATCCTTTTTTATCTCCCTTTTATTTTCTCCACAGAACCTCAGCCGAGAGGCAAAGGCCATTAATACTGAGGAGACCCTGCTCCAAATCGACGTCTCCGCCTTCCCACTGCTGGCCGAGATCATCGAGAAAATGGAGCCCATCGAGAAGCTGTGGAAGACCTCGTACGAGTTCGAGAAGGATTATCTCATTTGGTAAGCTGGGGGGCCCCGCTTAAGCCCATTGCAATTATACTTGTGTCAGCCGAAGGGGCGGCAGTGTCACACTTCCTGGGGGCCCGTAATATTCCGAATTGAAATGGCCCCAGTCCGGCAGTCATTTCCATTGACATTGCTGCACGCAAATCCCAATACCAATCGCAGTGGCCCTCACTCAATTCCCACAGCCCGGAGCGAGTTCCAGCAGAAAGCTGCCGCTTATGATGAGGACACAACTCCCTCCCACATACTTTCCCCCCCCCCCCTACTTTTTTCGAGTATTTCTATTTACATCTCCTCTGGTGCTTTCAGGATGTTCGAGCGCTTCGAATGCCTTAATGCGGACGGCGTGCGGGAGCAAGTGGAGAATATGCACAAGGTAAGTAGTTGCAAAGTCGGAAGTTGTCATTCCAGGGGGCTTCAGTGGCTCCAGTGCCTTCCTCCAGTAGCTGGCGGAAATAAAAACGAGCAACGACCGACAAAGTTTGAGTTGTTGTCGGATTTCTCCTGCTCAACTGCCCATGCATGGGTTCCTTCCCTTCTCCCCTTCTCCCCCTCCTTCCCCTCCTCATTCCTCCCTTGTCCTTTCGTCCTTTGTGTTTCCCTCTATCTGTGCCGTGTCCGTCCGTAAGCCAATGTAGCAACTAAAATGCAACTAAAAACCTCAAGCCACCTAGGGCAGCAATAGTAGCCGGCCAGCCGTTCAGCCAGCCAGCCAGCCAGTCAGCAAGGGACAATCCCGACCAGCAACCAACAACCAGCAACCAGCAAGCAACAACCAACAACTGGCTGTAAAAAGAAAGTTCCACTTGGCAGCCGAAAAGTATGCATGGAAAAAATGCCCAACATATTTGGCGGCTGGCTGGCACAAGATGTGGAGCTCGAGGGGGTGGGACTTTGGGGGAGGTGACCCCTCAGGGGTCAGATGGGGAAGCCGCTCGGAGCCACGCAAAAAAGCTGCACAAAGGCGCAAAAGGAAAGTCAGTTGAATTGAATTTTTCGGCACAGCTGAAGCGGCAAAGTGGGACCCCAAAAAAACAAGAGAAACAATACATCGACGAATTCTCGAATACCCTAGTGAAATCAAATTATTTTAAAACGAACAACTGTGCCATAAATTCTTGTATTGATTTTAAAAGGAACGGCACAATTTTATAAAGATTTATTATTTAATAATATTAAAATCAGTAACAATGGAAGAATCCCAACCAACTTGGGACCTAGGAAAAGAAGATATATTTATTAATTTCTTGATTGTTGATTGAACTTGATACTTCTCTATTCTAGTTAAAAATTATGGTATAGGAGTTAAAGCAAAAGCTCTTCTATCTAAATCAAAAACTTTCCAGAAAGAGGTATCAAACCTGGTAGACGTAACTAATTGAATTTCTGATAATTGCCTTCAAGCTTGAAACTTTTTTGAGTGGCACTGGGGATGGCTCTTGTCCGTTTGTCTTATGACCCATTAAAACCCCAAATTTCTTCCTTCTCCAGATAATGTACAAGCTGTCCCGCCAGTTGGCCTACAATCCGGTGGCCAAGAGAGCCGCCGAGCAAATGCGCATGAAGATCGAGAAGTTCCGCGTTTACTTGCCCGTTCTGGACTCCATTTGCAGGCATGGATTGGAGAAGCGGCATTGGGATCAGATCTCAAAGATCCTGGGTCGCAAGGTCAACCCGAAACTGTACCCCACCCTGAAGGACATGATCGACGTGGATATTATGAGTATCCTTCCGCAATTAGAGGAGATTGCGAATGCCGCCGGCAAGGAGTACGATCTGAATAACGGACTGAGGATCATGCAGGCGGACTGGAAGGACGTGATGTTCGAAGTGCTGCAGTACCGCGACTCGGACACGCACATCCTGGCCAGCCTGGATGATATTCAGACCTTGCTGGACGATCATATCATGCGCACTCAGGCCATGAAGAGATCGCCTTTTATTACTGCCCTTGGTTCGAAGGCAGATGATTGGGAGTCCCGGCTTCTCTTGATTCAAAACATCATCGATGCCTGGACTCAAGTGCAGATTACCTGGATGTATCTGGAACCGATTTTTAGCAGCGAGGACATTATGCGACAAATGCCGCTGGAGGGACGAAACTTCAAGGCGGTGGATAAGTTGTGGCGCAAGATCATGAAGCACACTCTTAAAGATCGACGTGTGATGCAGGCCACCGAATATCCAGACATGCTGGAAGTGTTCACCAAGGCCATCGAGGATCTGGAAACGGTGACCAAGGGCTTGAATACCTATTTGGAGCAGAAGCGCTTGTTCTTTGCTCGCTTCTTCTTTTTGTCCAACGATGAGTTACTGGAGATTCTATCGGAGACAAAGGATCCAATGCGAGTGCAGCCCCACTTGAGAAAGTGTTTCGAGGGGGTGAGTTTTTAACAATTAATTTTAAAATAATATGTTTTAGAGATGTATATTTACCAGAAGAATTTTTCTACGATTTTAAATTATATCTTTTAATAATGAACCTTCCATTTACTGTGTGCTAATATATTTAGAAAACCGTTGCAAGTAAATCACGAAACTGTTTTCAATCCCTTAGATTGGCAGTCTAACGTTCGACGACAACATGGAGATCATCGAGATGGTCAGCGATGAAGAGGAGCGAGTGGCTTTGGTTCGCAAGATAAATCCGCAGCTGGCCAATGTGAGCGAGTCGAGCGTCTTTAATTCCGATTAATCCTGCAGCAACTTACCTTTGTCTAATAGGGCCTGGTGGAGATGTGGCTCAAGGAGGTCGAGATGGTGATGCTGGACAGCGTGAAGGAGCAGATGCACGAAGCCTGGGAGGACTACGCGATGGTGGAGCGCATCGCCTGGGTGGTCAGCTGGCCCGGCCAGGTGGTGCAGGGCATATCCTGCATGGCCTGGACCTACGAGGTGAGTTGGCAGCCGTTGAAACCGCGACAACCACAAGGACTGCGACCCGGGGACACAAATGTCCATCAGCCGCCTGTCAGCGGGGAGTTCTCTCTGTGCCGCTGACAGTGGGATTAGTCCGAGTTCAGCACCTCTGACCCCCTGCACCTTTCCCAGCGGGCTCCTTCTTTTGTGAGCGCTTCCCTTTTGGGATTTGACTTTGAGTGTAGTTCCTCCGTGTTCGGTAGAGCAGCGAAATTGAAAACCATATTTCGCTTTTTATTTGCTTCGCTTCGCTGCAGTTTCTCAGACACTTTTTTTCCGCCAGGTGGAGGAGGCCATCGAGACGAAGACGCTGCCGGCTTATTTGGAGAAGTCCAATCTGCAGATTGCCGACCTGGTGCAATTGGTGCGCACGGATCTGCAGGCTGGAGTCCGGATTGCCGTCGAGGCGCTGATTGTCCTGGACGTACACGGTGAGTCGAGGGGAGTGAACTGGAGTCGGAGTGGAGTGGGGGGAAATGCAAAGAACAATAAGAGGAATTTTAAATGTGGACCACCGAGCTTTAACCCGTATTTTAACGCTCTTTAACCTAACCGCAAACGCAGCACGTTTACATAATTAAATAGTGTTCAAGCCAAAACCGCAAGAGATCCGGTTTGGCATTTACCTTTTTTTCAACTATGCGTAGATTGTATTTATGTTTAAAATCGTTTAAGTTTCTGACATTGAATTGGGGTTTTATTATGTTTTAAACTAATAATAATTAAATATTTATGCACAAGTGAACATAAATTATAAATGATAAACACACGTCAAATTCAGTTAACTAATGTTAAAACAACAACTATTTTTTAATTCAGACCGCGATGTGGTGAAATACTTAGCAGATTGCAGGGTCGCCAACATCCAGGACTTCGATTGGATCTCCCAGCTGCGATACTACTGGAAGGTCAACGAGAGTGAGTTTACTTTGGGGCTCAATGCTTCAACTGAAAGACCACAACTATAAATCGGCGAATATTCCGCAGAAAACGAGGATTGGGTGTGCGTTAGCATGGTGGTCACAGATGTGGAATACGGCATGGAATACCTGGGCAATCTGCCCCGACTGGTGGTGACTCCCCTCACCGATCGTTGCTACCGGTGGGTACAACCTATAGCCTATATATCTTACACAAATCCCACAACCCCCGGCCACTCCGCACCTGCATCCCCCGTATGAATATCGAAAATATTAATTGACAAACCGTTGCAAAAGCTCCCCTCCGCCGCTCACAGCATCTAAAAGTCAGACGAGAAAGCAGCCACGTTTATTGGGAAAATATTTATTTTATTTCGGTGCATTTTAAATTTATTTTCATTTTTCAAACAAAATACGCAAAAAGAGCTGAAAACCTTTTTGATGTTTAAGCTGCCTACGACAAACACACAATAACAACAACAATTACAACAAGGGCAGCAACAACAAAGGCGGCATATTCAGGACTAAGGGAAGGACACACAAACTGGCAGCAGGCTGGCAGGCAGGCCGTCGTTGGCAAGCCGGCAGAAAGGACATTTTAATGGGGTTTCCGATAAAACTTTTATATTAAACAAATAAATCAATGTTGGACAGTTTTTCACACACACTCACACACACACACACACGGTACACTAACACTCACACCCATGCATGGATAGTTAAAAAAAGGAGGGAAAACAGACAAACAAAAAACGTAACCGAGTGTATATAGATATTTGTACGGTTATGCCGGAAAAGCTAAAAAATATATGCACAAGCAACCGAAGTGGGGACACTGCCAATATGATAAAAATATGAACTTGCAAAACAAGCGGCAAAAATAAGCAATGTGTAAAATGATTTTCGTAGGTGGTTAGTCGAATGAAGAAGCATACTCAAATGTGTGGCTAGAGGATTTGTATGGGTAACATATTTTTAATTGAATAATTTTCAAAAGTTATAAACTAGTCCTGCTATAGATTCTCTGAAAAAATATCTTAAAATCAATATAGAAAAAAAATAGGTATTAAATGTACGAACTATTGAACATTTTAGTTTGAATCCCCTCACTTTTTATCTCAGTTCATATACCCAACCCCCTTGGACCTTCTATGTGGGTCAGCAAAAACTCCCATAAATGACAATTTTCTAAGCTGCAGCCGTGAAAAATGAGAAAAAATGCAAAATAGATATTAAAAGAGTGCCCACAGCATTTGCCCATCCCATCCATCAATTCTTTGTTGCCATTCCGCACTAAAAAGAATCCATTTTTTCCCTAAATTCCGATTCGATTGCAGCACACTGATGGGCGCACTGAAGCTCTGCTTGGGAGGAGCACCCGAAGGACCTGCCGGCACGGGAAAGACCGAGACCTGCAAGGATCTGGCCAAGGCGGTGGCCAAGAAGTGCGTCGTCTTCAACTGCTCCGACGGACTGGACTACAAGGCGCTGGGCAAGTTCTTCAAGGTAAGAGCCCCTCATTCGGGGAGATACAGATACAGAGATACAAAGATACGGAGATTCTAGACTCCACATTAGAGCGTCGTGCTGTCTGCGATTTGCTGCCCGACTGCTTTCTAATTGATGGCCCCGCAAAGCGAATCGAGTCGAGTCGAGTGGAGCACATTAATCAGGCAAAGAACTCGTCTTGATGCGGCGGCACACGCAACAATCGTGACTTTCAATACCGCACGAGCATAGTTAATTGGGCTCATGTCAGACACACTGGAGCCGACTTTCGGTGCGCCCTTCAAACTTCCCACTCCCCCTGCCCGACTATATGTTTATTGAAATTTATGCAACTCCCGGGATAATCGTATTTTCCCCTGGCCGTTGACTAATTAGGCAGTTTGCGAAAGTAATGGCCGGCCACCCTTCCCTTTTCCACGGACTCTTAACTTTCGTGCGCCTCCACCGCTCTAGTTTATGCAAATTTTTATTTGCAGGTCGTTAACCGTAGCCTCCTGGACACTTCCCCCCACCCGTTGCCGAAAACACACGCACATCTTAAGTGGGTGCTGAAATCTTGTAGTAAAATTTATGTTGCCATAGGGCCCTAATCGCTTAATACGCTCACACGGCTAATTGCATAATAGTTCCTAAGCCCCTAAAACAGAGAGAGAGGTAAGGCCATAAACACGGGAGCCACTCGATGATGCTGATGATTGCGATGGCGATGTGGTGGGTTGAGGTAAAGTGATCTCCTAGAGTTCTTGTTCATTTGCATGGGATTTGTATTAATAACGCCGACCCGACCGACAACTTTAGTTTAGTTGCGTCGATAGGAGAGCCCATAAATTGCCATCGCGCTGCTCAATTTAAATTAATGAATTTATGCGATTGGGATCCACTTGAGCTCGGACATTTGTTTGCTCTTTTTATTGCTTAATTTGGGTCTCGGCGTCTAGTTTAGATGATGTGGAGTCGAGTCGAGTGGAGTCTGGTTTTAGAAAGTCGTTCTGCGCTTTGTCACCAACTGGATTGGCATTTGTTCTAATAATCTCTAGGAAGTCGTAAATCTCCAGCGCACGATGCCCACCCACTCCGCCGGTTTTCGGAGTGGTTTGATCTCCAGTTGCCGGGCTGGGAATGTCTGCTAAACAATGTTGCGACAATAAAATAATTTGCAATTGACAAAATATGCGAAGTATGCCAGAGAAATGCCTGAGCGAGCCAGAAGTAATCGTAAATAAATTAAATGCAAATAAAATGGCCACAACAATGGAAGCTGCAGCGAACAAAAGACGCATCCATTGGCTGGCAAAAAGTTATCGCAGCGGCGGCAGGATGGCTTCAATTTTAGTATAGTTGATGTGGTGGGAAGAGTTCTAGTTTTTATGGTTAGAGAAGGTACACCGAATAGAGAAACCATGCATTTAATATTTAGCTAAAGCTTGAGAGAAGTAGATAGGGACTGAAAATTTATACGATGTAAAGTTAAACATGTTCATTTAAAAATATTTATTATTATTTTACTTATTTCTAAGTGAACGCATTTTTAAGGGTGCATTTTCAAGTTTACAAAAGTCTGTTGTTTTTTTTGTTGAATTTTCGTATACAATATGAATACCTGGACATAACTACCCAGATACTTTGCATCACTGTTCAGTCGCCATCGGCGCCAAACCGCTCTCAATGGAGTTCAAAGTGTGCAAAGGCAACAGCCACCTTTTTTCCGTGCTTCATCGAGTTGCGTTGCCCTGGCCAAACAGGTCCTAACACAACAGCCCCACCTCCGGGAACTCCTACTCCACCTCCAGAATTCGCTGCACCATCTGCACCACTGGTGGCACAGAGGCGCTAATTGTACGACGGTCTGGCGAAGCGAACCGGGTGTAGGGACAACAGTGACTGCAAAAAGCGTGCGAACGCGCAACAGTATGTAAACTCTTTGTGTGGAACAACAGGGAGGCGAAAAGGGGGCGTGGGTCCTAGCATAAGGACCAACAAACGCCACTTGCCAGGCGGCATCTCTGAGGTGGTCAAGTGGGTGCCCCGCGCACCGTCAAGAGCAACAGCTGTCCAAAGTTCAACTATTGATAGGAGATTCTGCTTATTTTGATCGGGTGTCTTATAGTAGTTCAACCACTTTGCATCTAAACCAGTTTTAGCTAAATAATAATAATATAAGTTAAGGTATAAATTCTCTACAAATTCATAAAATGAATGGTAGATGCTGGTACGAATCTTAACAAATATTGTTTTATAATTTCCCCATCTCTTTTATCTTTTTAGTCAGATTCGTTTAATACTTTATATATTTTTTGTTTTTTATTGAATGGCTGGCTTTCTATATTTTTGTCGCTGATTCAGTAATTGAAAACCGTAAGGAACACCAAAAGAAATCAGTTCGTTAGCATTGCTCATATTTTCTGCAGCAGTCGTGCACAAAGGATTTCCCTAATTAGGGGAAACTCGAACCTTTTCTCGGGCTAACTGTGGAAACCCGGGTGCATTGCCGAATGGCAGCTCGCAGGGACATATCATTGATAGATTCCGACCGGCCACGCCCACTCCGCCATCGATCCCGGCATATGGCACTTGCAGCCAGGTCAGCCCGATGCTTTGGCGTTCTGTTTGTGCTGCTCCGGGGTGTTGGGATGTGGCAAAGTGGGATGTGCAGGCTTCCAGCTGGGATAAAACAGCATATTTATTGCAACATGCAAAAAGGAAGCATATCAAAGGTTCGTCCTCCTGCCCCCCAGAATCCAGAATCCAGAATCGAGAACCTGAAAACGGAAACCAAGCCATGAGAAAGAGAAAATAATGTTTATGCTGCTGTTTGCTTTTTCCACTTTTCCCCATCGAACGGGATTCTCTCTGTGTGTGTGTATTCCGTGTGTGTGTGTGTGTGTGTGTGTGTGTGTGTGTGTGTGTGTGTGTGTGTGGATATTTCCCTTGCACTCTTGACCAGGAATTTCTGTTTCTATTTGTGTGCTATTTTTTTGCAGCCCTATTCGGGATTGTTCGCCGTTCTGTGTGTGTGCTGGTGTTGTTTTGACTGCTCCCATACCATCCCATAGCATCCCATAGCATCCCATCCCATTCGATCCACTCATCCTATCCATTTCTACGGATTCCTTGCAGGGCTTGGCACAATCGGGCGCCTGGGCCTGCTTCGACGAGTTCAATCGCATCGAGCTGGAGGTGCTCTCCGTGGTGGCGCAACAGATCCTGACCATCCAGCGGGCCATTGGACGCAAGGTTGTGAAATTCTTTTTCGAGGACACGATGCTCAAACTGGATCCGACTTGTTCCATATTCATAACCATGAATCCCGGGTGAGTGGCGTGGTTTTTTGGCCAGAGTGTCTGGTTGCCAGGACTCTCTCCCGTTTCCGAATGTCCGAATGCTGGGAACAGCAGCTGCGGTTTCACGCATCGCATTTTTTCCGCACTTCCTTTTTCTGTGAGGGGGGAGAGCACTGGGCATTTGAAAATACATTTAGTTACTTTGTAAGCCTACCATACGGCAGATATGCGACAGTTATGGCCAACACGGCGGAGCGGAGCGGGCTATTAGCCACCCACTCGGAGGTGGACGGAGGAACGCACTGCGTTCCGATATTGGTTGTTATTGCGTTATTGGAGATTTTCCCATCGGGATATTTATTGCCTTAGCATGCATGTGGAACAGCTGCGACAAACATGCATATTAGCCGGGCTCTCGGAATCGTTGCTTTTCCTGCTCCTCTCCGGCCGTAACTGATTGCGCCATTCAGCGAAGGTCTTAATTTCGATTGGACGTCGCTTTTGCTTTGCCATTTCTGCCGACTAGAAGTTGGCTTTCTTTTTCCCATTTTCCTCTGCTGCTCTGCCGCTCTGGCTCTCTGTTTTTCCTGCCTGCCTGCCAATTTGTCACGCAACCAGACGTTCTTAAAAGCAGTCACTCATATTGGTTATTGGCCATGGGCCAGGAAAATGGGAAAACGGGCGAGCTGTGCGAGGAGCCAGTGTTTAGTATTTATGCCATTAGCACTTGCACTTTGATGAATTTGATTGCCCTCCGGGCTCTAATCCGGTGTCTTTCATTCGGTCCCTCCTCTTTCGACTCGTCCTCATTTGATTTTTCCATCAGCTACGCCGGACGAACGGAGCTGCCGGACAATCTGAAGGTCCTCTTCCGCACGGTGGCCATGATGGTGCCGGACTACGCCATGATTGGCGAGATCACCCTCTACTCCAACGGGTTCGACATGGCCAGGAACCTCTCCCAGAAGATTGTGCAGGCCTACAAGCTCTGCTCCGAGCAGCTGTCCTCGCAGTCCCATTACGATTACGGTGAGTTTGGAAATAATTCTTTAATGGCAGAGCTTTTAAATCAAAAGAAAAACAAAGTGTTGATTGGTTTTAATTAATATGTACCCTTTTGTAAAATTGACGTCAATTGAAAGCGGTATATCTTACCAACATACAAAAGGCACCTTCTTTTCCCACGAAATCCGGAAACTCCCATGCACTTTGGCATAAAAACGGCATAGCATGAAGATGGCATTGGACAGGAACTGGTCAAGGAGCACGGATGCGGCTCCACCTGGCTAATAAGGCGCAAAAGTAGTCAACAACACGTGTTTTTTTCCATCTGTTTTTTTCCAGGCAGCAGTACAACTTTTTAGGGGGATCAGTATGGTTTTCAGCGAGGGATTGTGGAGCTCGGGCTCCAACTTTCCGGATGTCTCATGTCCTTCGTGCGTGTCTCCTTCCCTCGCTCCGTGCGTCCTTCTGCTTGTTTCAAGGCAAAGATATTGCTCCTTTTACGACGTAACATGTCATATGACATTACAACATGTCTGTGTTTGCCACTCCGTCCGGGCTTTCCACTCCGACCCGCTTTTCCATGGATGTGTGTGCGTGTGCATCTTTGTCCGGCCGTTGGCTGCAATTGCAGGAAGGCAGCTGTGTGCAAGTTTATGTGCAAAGTACATTTGATCAGTATCTTATTTTGAGTTTAAATTGAAAAACTTTCTTGCAAGTTTGCTGCGCTTTTGTGTTGCGTGTGTGAGAGACAAATGGCACATAGACACACACATTGTATTTGCCGCTCTGCCAAGTAATAATAAAAACTATTTGTACATTTAGTTCCCCTCCCACACCCACACCCACTTGCACTCTCACTCGCATCCCGGCGAATCCTGTCCAGCTGTTTTTTGCAACGTTGCGAAAGTTTAGCATTTCCCTGGCGCTATAATGAAGCCAGGATGCGAAGGGAATGGCCTTTCAGCCGGAGCAGGACTTCAGGTAGGACGACCGACCGGCTGGTCGACGCCATCGGCAGCTCGGCATCTCCATTGCCATCGCCATCGCCATCGAGAAATACCTGAAGCTGCGGGACTCTACGTTGAGTTATGCGCTCGCATAACTGTCAAGCTAATGCCCCAAAAACTCCAACTTCCCACGCTTCCGCAGAACTCTGCCTTAAAAATTATACAGTTTTTCCACAAATTTTATACAAATTGAATAATCAATGCTCTAAATAACAACAATGGTATTATGGGTTGTTCGATAAAATAATACTTAGGCATCTTTGACTTCTTAAGAAATTTATAAACATTTTTATTGGGTTCCTAAATCTCATTTCATGACTGGTTCTTTTCATCTATGCTTCACTGTTATTTTATTTGGCAGGAATGCGCGCCGTGAAGTCGGTCCTGTTGGCCTCCGCCTCGCTGCGACGGCTGTATACTGACCTGCCGGAGCCGGAGATTGTCCTGCGTGCCATCGTCGATGTCAATTTGCCAAAATTCCTGGAACAGGACATCTCCCTCTTCATTGGCATCTACATGGATCTCTTCCCCGGCGTCGAGCTGCCCATGGTGAGCAATATTATCTTCATCTGTTCGAATCAATTAACATTCTTCAGGTGTAATGACCTGCAAGCGCCGCCAATTAATTTGATAATGGCTTTATGGTAAATAAATAAAAAGGGCATTGACAGTAGGTGGAGGTTAGCATAATGAATATTCTATGCTCTGTAATTGGGATAACTACGTGGTATACTTATTAACCTACTCCTTTATTTGGGTTTTTTCCTTTGATCCAGAAGTATTTAAAATAAGCCTCTGAGGCATTTATTAACTGCCTGCATACCATTTTCCGCTTTTCATGTATTATTTACGCCGGACAGCCGCAACGTGGCGACATCCTCAAGTGGCTGCACATCAACCTGGAGGATCGGAATCTGCAGGCGACGCCGTGGTATTTGGAGAAAATTCTGCAGATATACGAGATGTTGCTCGTGCGACACGGCCTGATGATTGTGGGTGGTCCGATGGGCGGAAAGACCACCGCCTACCAGGTGAATATATGAGTTTCAGTAATACTCCATCCACACGCTTATTAATTTCACCGGCCAGCCAATTAAATGGGCTGGAATTAATGAGTTAACAAACGACTCAATCTGCACCGAAAAAAAGTGATTACAGAGTAATTCAAAAGGAAAAACTTATTTTCTTGCTTAAAAAGAAATTTTAGCTTTAAAAAATACAACAGAAAATTGTTCAATACTATTTAAAACTATATTATTTTTATTTATTATTATTATTTTATTGAATACAACAGATTTTGGCCCAGACATTGCGCAATGTTGCCAACGACGAGGAGGCGACGCTGAAGGAGTTCCCGGTTGTGTTCCGCATCATCAACCCGAAGGGCATCACCATGGGCCAGCTCTACGGTCGTTTCGACCCGGTTTCCCACGAGTGGTATGACGGGGTGTTGGCCAAAACCTTCAGGGAGCAGGTGCAAGGACCCAAGGGCGAACGAGCCTGGGTGATGTTCGATGGACCCGTGGACGCGGTGTGGATCGAGAATCTGAACACCGTGCTGGACGACAACAAGAAGCTCTGCCTGATGTCCGGCGAAATCATGCAGATGACCAAGCTGATGAACATGATGTTCGAGCCAGCGGACTTGGAGCAGGCTTCCCCGGCCACCGTTTCCCGATGCGGAATGATCTACATGGAGCCATCTCAGCTGGGATGGAGAGCCCTCCACAAGAGCTTCACCAATGTCCTGGTGAACAAGGTGGGCCTGAGTGATATCTACATGACTCTGTTCGAGGACATGACGGAGTGGCTGGTGCCGGCAGCCCTGGAATTCCTTCCTCAGTGCAAACAAATGCTGGAACTTTCTCCCATTTACCAGTATCAGACTTTCTCCAGGTTTTTCCTGCACTTTCTGGAGAAGCACAAGAACTTCAATCAGGCTTGGTTCCAGCAAATGTTCCTCTTCTGCTTTGCCTGGGCTTACTGCTCAGCCCTCACGGGTCAGGGTCAGAAGACTTTCGATGCGTTGCTGAGGAAGGTTATCTACGGTTCTAATGACAACTATCCGAAACCCAAGTACTTCTCCCTGAATCGCGGTCAAATGTTCCCCGAGAAGTTGCTCTTCCTCGACTACCGATTCGATGAGGCGGAGAACTGGTGGACCTGGCAGAAAAGCGATGACAGTTCGGGAACCACTGCCACATTCCCCGAAAATGCTCAAATCAGCGAACTGATTGTGCCCACCAAGGAAACGGGTTATATATCCTATTGGCAGGATTTCTGTATTTCAAAATCATACGCCATGTTGGTCGTCGGACCCACGGGCACGGGAAAAAGTGCAATAATAACGAGCAACATTTTGGCCATGCCCAAGTTCGCTAATCTGGTTAACGTCATCAACTTTTCGGCTCGAACCTCGGCTCAAATGGTGCAGGATACAATCATGAGCAAGTTGGACAGGCGGCGCAAAGGAGTTTATGGACCTGCCCTCGGCAAAAAGGTTTTAAAGGCTGCTAATTTGTAGTGATTTGCACTAATAACCTTTCTGAAAACCCCAATTAAAGTGCACTGTGTTCTGCGATGATGTGGCCATGCCCTCGAAGGACACCTATGGCTCCCAGGCTCCACTGGAGTTGCTCCGCACTTGGCTGGATCACGGATATTGGTCGGACCTCGTGGACACCACCAAAATCGAGCTGGTCGACATGGTAGGTGGAGTTGCCAGTTGACAACTTATTCCGTACATAAACTGGCCGTAAGTTATCTGAAAAGTTTTCATATTTGCCTCCCCGCTCTCCCCTTTCATCTATGATTCGCCGGATTCGCCGGACAGACTCTGATATGCGCCATGGGCACTTTGGGTGGCAGTAACTTCATTTTTCCGCGTCTCTATCGCCACATGTTCGTGGTGGCCGTCGATTCCTTTGAGGACTCCACCATCGTTCGAATATTCACAACGATTGGTGATTGGCATTTTGCCAAGGGTTTCCCAGAAAAGGTGGCTCTGCTATCCCGCGTACGTACCTCAAACTCCCAGCCCAAAACAACAATACACAGAGAGAGAAACAGTTTTAAGGGTATTCTTTTCATATCAGTTTGAATGGAGTATAACTTAGATAGAATTCCTGGATAAAAAACATGTAGATATGTATCTGCCATTATAACGTTTTATTTCAGACAATCTTTTTGCGATAGAAATCATACACCAACATTTTTGTTTGTTTAAAGAAACGGCTTTCTTTTTTAAGCCTTTGCTCTGGCCAATTTGTATTCGTGTAAAAACCACACGCAGAATGCGACCGGAGGATGATTGTCTGGTCAGCGGAGTCAATGGTCCATCCATGTGTCGTCTGGCGTGCTTGGCTGGCATCCAAGCGTTGGGTACATAATAAAATTAAAATGGCGTATTTTATAGCTCCATTTCCCCAAAACTTTGACTGTTTCTCTTCCTCCGCTGTGTGTGTGTGAATGTGTGTGTGTTGTTGGGGCTGTTTTTATTGTACCTTTTGTGGCACGGGTGTTATCCTTTCGCAGGGCTTATCGGAGGCCATGGTCAGTGTGTACCGCGAGGCGATTCGCAACTTCCTGCCCACGCCGGCCAAGTCGCACTACTCCTTCTCCCTGAGGGACATCACCCGCGTCTTCCAGGGCATCGTGATGGTGCCCCCCAAAAGAATGCCCGATCCCGAGAAGCTCGGTCGCCTGTGGGCCCACGAAACCTATCGCGTCTTTTACGACCGGTGAGTACTCACACCTCCATCTGATAGATGGTGTTTAATGACTTGGGAACTCGTTGTTTTTTAGTTTGGTGGACCAGCGGGATCGAGATCGTCTGCTGCTGATGGCCATCGATGCCTGCAAAACCAATTTGCGATTCCCCCTGGAGCAGGCTTTTGGCGAACGCATCGAGCCCGGCGAGAAGCTCACCGACAACGATCTCCGCAACCTCTTCTACGGCAACTACATGGAACCGGATGCCGAGCCCAAGTTCTACGATGAGGGGGAAACCTACGAGAAGCTGGAAAAGCTGATGAACTACTATCTCAGGGAGTACAACTCCTTCTCGAGCACGCCCATGGATCTGGTCATGTTCCGGTTCGCCATCGAACATGTGAGCAGGTATGTTGATAAAATAAATTATGAATTCCATATCTAAAATATTTTGCAAAGGAAATGTAATGATTACTGTATTTGCATACTCTTGAAATTAATATAATTTTATTTATAAATGTTTGGCTAGTAATTTTTCGTTATTTTAAATTTATAAAATGAAATACAAAAATGTCTCTATGTAGTAATTTCAAAAATGTAATTAATTTATGGCGGTCTAGTTTTAAATTTAAATAAATAAATTTAATTTTTTAGAGTTTCCCGAGTGCTGCAGATGCCGCGTGGCAACATCCTGATGGTGGGCATGGGCGGATCAGGACGTCGAAGTTCCTGTCGTCTGGCCGCCTATATAGCCGACTGTCGATTGATGACGGTTCAGGTTTCCAAGAGCTACACCATCATGGATTGGCGCGACGACCTGAAAAAGATTCTGATGTCGGCCAGCTTCAATCTGAACCACACCGTGTTCCTCTTCTCCGACGCACAGGTGAGTTGAGTGGAAACCAATTCTTGTTAAAAGACAGAGTGGTGGGTTAATGGTTGATGTGGATATGCTAATCCATCAGAACGGCGTTTTAATAAGGTTGTAAATCGGCTCGACATCAAAATTAAACCCTGACTGGGAACAACAAACCCATAAAGTCTCGACTCCGACTTCTCAGTAATCTGAGTATGTAAATTGATAAATTAAATTGACATTAATTTGAATACTCTTTGAAATACAGCCGAGTTTGAAGAGAGAGAGAGGGAGGGATTGGTTATCTGCCCCAAAATTTTGTCGCACGAGCGTCGGGTCAATTAAATTTGGCTTGATTCAGTTTTCAATACGGAAGCTCTCATTGTTTTGGCAAAATTTGCATTTATAATTAGGTTAATTGTTGAACTAACTTGATTATTGCTCGGCAATTTGTATAGGCAGCGGCTCAAATTATGGCAAATCAAGAGCACATGAGTGGGCTTCAGAAAATTGCCAACGAAACAAAGGCCAGCGTTCGGTGTCGCACCCTGCGTCCATATTAAATGTTGGTCAATAAATTAGCATGGACAAATTCCAATCGATACGCATGCCGAACAATATGCAGGTGTTTACACATTGTTGCTAAACATAATAATTCTCCGTATTCGCCTAATGCGCCCTTTGTCCACCGTAGCCGCTTGACCATGAAGCGTGACCAAAAGTAGAAAACCGTATACGAGTCTAAGAAGCCATTTGACCGGATTAAAACTGCTTTAATTCTGTTTGCCCAAAACTCTGCAAAGCCATTGCCATTGCCGTTGCCGAGACCAAATCGGATTGAGGCCTCCCCTTGTCGGTTCGATCGAAACTCTTCGGTGCATTAGAATGTTTTCGGCATCCCTGGGCGGTCCAATCAAAGATTTATTTCCCCTCCGCAGTCGTCTGTCTGTGCCAACAAAGCCCCATGCAGATATTAATTAACAATTACACCGAAATGACCAACGTGTGCCGACTCCTCCTGCTCAGGGCTACCTGCATGAGTCCTGAATCCTGAGTCCAGGGACAAGGCCACTTAGGCGAATGCAAAATGCATGTCCCAGGATCCCTCAGCAGAAGGGCTCTCCGGCAACATAAAAATGCATTTGGCCAGCAGCATAGCCCAACTTCCAGCTTCCTACTCACTGCGAAACTACCTTGCCAACTTCTACTTCGACTGCAACTCAAACTGCACTCCGATTTGCATTGCCCAGTTGTGAATTCTCCGTTTTTGTTTCTCCTGTTTTCCCCCCTGCCACCACCGACCACAGGCAACGGATGAGGGCTACGTGGAGGATATCAATGGCATACTTAATACCGGTGATTTGCCCAATCTCTATCAGCTGGAGGACAAGGCAACCATCATGGAGAACATGGCGAATGTGGCTAAGCAATTGGTGAGTGAGAAAATCAGTAGTGAGAGTTGTCACAAAAAAGCAGACATATAATGTTGATTGAATTGGTTTATAAATCACTGGTGTTAAAACTATTATAAACGTTTGGTAACCCCAGAAACTTTCTATAATATAAAATGGTAACAATTTTTGTACAATAAGCATTTGAACATTTTGTTGGTATAAAATGTTTGATTTGGTTATTAAATGTCTAGTTTTGGCATCACTGACAATAGGAAAGGTAACTGCATTTTTGCCAAAAATCAATATGCATCTCCCTTTGCTAAATCGCCTTTCAAACCGAGATGAGTGTTAACTAACCCGAGATGTGTTGCCGTAGGGTAAAGTTCTGGACACGCTGCCCAGTGAGGTTTATGCATTTTACATCGATCGGATTCGAGAGCAACTACACATTGCTTTGGCCTTCTCGCCAATTGGAGACTCCTTCAAGGAGCGTATTCGGGTGTATCCTTCGCTGATCAATTGCTGCACCATCGATTGGTACATGCCTTGGCCGGAGGAAGCCCTGTCCCGCGTTGGAGTTTACTTTGTCAGCTCGATGCACCTGAATCGTCCACATGGAGAGGAGCCACAGGAGCAGGTTCAGGCCAAGGATCCTGCAGATCCCGATCAGGAGGAGGTGCGTCGCGAAACAGTTGACGGGGATCGAGAATTGTCCAAATTAGAACTGGACCTCGTTGACTGCGTCATGTACTTCCATCAATCCGTGGTGGATGCCAGCGAAAAGTGCTACCTAGAATTGAATCGCAGGAATTATGTTACTCCCTCTGCCTATTTGGAGTTACTCAAAGCCTTCCGAACCTTTTACACGCGAAAGCTGGATGAGATTACCAGACTGAGAGATCGTTACACCACCGGTTTGGAGAAACTCGACTTTGCCGCCGGTCAGGTGGGTGAAATGCAAACGAATCTGTACGATTTGCAGCCCAAGCTGAAGGTTCTTTCCGAGGAAACGGATCGCATCATGGTGAACATCGAACGAGAAACGGCGGAGGCTGAGAAAAAGAAGGAAGTGGTGGGTGCGGATGAGGCGGCGGCCAATGAGGCCGCAGCTGCTGCTCAGGCCATCAAGGATGATTGCGAAACGGACTTGGCCGAGGCCATTCCCGCCATGGAGGCGGCCCTGGAAGCCCTCAACACCCTGAAACCAGCGGACATATTCATAGTGAAGTCCATGAAGAACCCACCTTATGGAGTGAAGTTAACCATGGAAGCTGTGTGCGTGATTAGGGGCATCAAGCCAGACCGAAAGCCGGATCCCAGTGGCCACATGGTGGAGGACTACTGGGGTCCCTCGATGCGCATGCTCAGCGACATGAAGTTCCTGGACTCCCTAAAAACCTTCGACAAGGATAACATACCTCCCGCCATCATCAAGAGGATCCGGGAGAAGTACATTGCTGATCGAGATTTTGTGCCGGAGAAGATCAAGGCGGCTTCGATGGCCTGCGAGGGAATCTGCCGATGGGTTCGGGCAATGGACGTGTACGACAAAGTGGCCCGGATTGTGATGCCCAAGAAGGCGGCGTTGGCCGAAGCTGAAGGGGAGCTCTCTCAGCAGATGGAAAAGCTGAACGCCAAGCGGGCCGAACTGCAGGTGATTCTGGACAAACTGCAAAAGCTCAACGACTTCTTTGCGGAAAAGTCGAGGGAAAAGAAGCGACTAGAGGACGAAATCGACAACTGCGAGAAGAAGTTGAACCGGTGAGTCCTGGCTGGGAAACCTCTCACCAATTTTGTCCCTTTTAATCCCTTTCCCCCTTCCATTTGCAGAGCTGAAAAGCTGCTGGGCGGCTTGGGCGGCGAGAAGACGCGATGGTCGGAGGCGGCCAAGAATCTTCACGAATCCATTAGCAACATTGTGGGCGATGTCCTGCTCGCCGGCGGATGCACCGCTTACCTGGGATACTTCACCACGGAGGTGAGTTAACCAGCCTTTTTTCGGTTTCAGCATACGTATGTCCTTGTCCATCCGTGACAGCTAATGGTCGTGTCCACGTCCTCGGTTCTCGGGAAGCTTTTCCATAAAAGGTTTTAATATGCATGAGCACGTGACATTGATTTTTGTCTCCGTGATTTTTCCCGTGCTCCATTCTCTGGGAACTTTTTCAATTTACCCGTGTATAGACGGCTGACAGGACATTTTCCTTGCTCCCCACATGGCTGCTTAAATTAATGTTCATATTTAACATATTTAGCCAACATTTGAACACTTTGTTTCCAGTACCGCGTTAATATCCTGGAGGACTGGAACGCCTTGTGCAAGCGCAAACACATTCCCAGTAGTGAGACCTTTTCGCTGGCCACCACTTTGGGCCATCCAATGACCATTAGGGCTTGGTCTTTGGCCGGTTTGCCAGCGGATAACTTTTCGGTGGAGAACGGCATTATAGTAACCAACTCCAGTCGTTATTCATTGCTCATTGATCCTCAGGGTAAGTGGGTTTTCGTTTAGCTGAAACCTCGTAAATCACAATCCTAATTCGATATAGTGCAAGCTAATAAATGGATCAAAAACATGGAGAAGAACAATAATCTTAAGGTGATCAAACAAAGCGATGCCAATTATATGCAAGTTTTGGAGGTAGCCATAACCTTTGGCCAACCCGTGCTCATTGAGAATGTGGGTGAGTTCTGATTGGGACTCCCTTTAATGCCCACTCCTCATCGTCCTTACCCTTTATCCCAAACTAGGTGAAAAGCTGGACTCGAATTTAACGCCCATCCTGGAGAAGAACATCATCAAACACAAGGGCGGCGTGTTTATCAAGAGCGGCGACCAAATGATAGAATACAATCCCAACTTTCGTCTTTACATAACGACCTGTCTCCGCAATCCGCGTTATCCGCCGGAAGTGATGGTCATGGTAAGTTATGCTCTCCCACAAAAAAAAAGAATAAAAAAAAGGAATTCGGGAATTCGGGATGATGGAAGCTACAGTCTGCAGTCTTCAGTCTACAGTCTGCGCCAATGATGACGTTAGTTGTGTAATAAAACGAGCAACTTAAATTGATATTTGGAGGAGGCGATGCAGCGCAGCCTGCGCTGGAAATATGCAAATTTTCGTTGGCATTGACGAGGATGTGGATGTGGAGGTGGAGGCGGTGGCGGGGGAGCAGAATGGTGATGTACGTGCGAGGTGGCTGCATAACTAGCAGCCAAAGCCCGCCATCGAGGACATCAATCCCTTCGCCTCTCCTGCCGCTGCTCCTTCTCCTCCTGCCCGACGTGTTTATAAAATTTTTCCAGCTTTTCGCTCCTGCTGCCGTTTGCCATCGCTTTTTATGCTGCAACTGTTGTCAGCAGTTTTCCTTTTAACCATCTCTATTTTAGCCACCCAACGCCCACACACCATTTTGGTTCGTTTTTTTTCGTTCATTTCTTTTTTGTGGCACATTGTGTGTTTATTTTGAGTTTTCCTTCCATTTTACGTGCCACTCTCGGTGGCAAAGCCCGGGAAAGTACCACTACCACTGCCACTACCACTACCATCACTGATCCTGGCCTGCCTTCTCCGTTTTGTCTCCTCTGTTTAGGTAACAGTATTAAATTTCATGATAACGGAACAGGGATTACGCGAACAATTGCTGGCGATTGTGGTGGCTCACGAGCGTCCCGATTTGCAAGAGAAGAAGGAACAATTGATTATTGAGTCCGCAAGGAATCGTGATGCATTGTACACCATCGAATCGAAGATATTGGAGGTAAGTCTCTCCGGCTCTTTGGCTCTTCTCGTCCTGCTGACTCTGCTCCTTCGGCTTCTGCTGCTGGTTTTGCTTCCACTGCTGCTGCTGTTGGCATAATAAATGTTTTTATTCCCTCGCATGCTCTTTGAGCGCTCCGGCAGCTTCCATTCCAATCCGTTGGCCATGCTCAGCAGATTCAATTAGAGCCCGGCTAGCAATTTATGCTTTTGTGCCTGGCCAATGACAATTCAATTAACTGGAAGCAGGACGCTCGAATCGCATCTAAAGCTGGGTTTTCCCACTGAAAGCACAGATCATAGCTTGAGCCAGTATAATTTATTAAAATTCTATATTCGAAAGTCATATTAAAATATAAAAAATCAAATAATTTGGTAACTGATTAGATTTTATGTTTATTTCCAAAATCGCAAATCCTTTCCTAGGTTCTCTCCACCTCTGAGGGCAATGTGCTGGAGGACGAAAACGCCATCAACATCCTTTCCTCCAGTAAGATCCTTTCGGAAGACATTCAAGAAAAACAGGTGATTGCGGTGGCCACTGAAATCGAGATCGATGCCGCTCGGCAGCAATATATTCCTGTCTCCAAGCATTCGGCCATCCTGTTCTTCTGCATCAGCGAACTGGCAAATGTGGATCCCATGTACCAGTACTCGTTATCCTGGTTCCTCAATCTCTTCGTAAATACGATCCTAAAAGCTCCGAAGTCCGACCAATTAAGCGAACGTTTGAAAAACCTCAATGACTACTTCACCAAGTCGATATATACGAATGTCTGTCGATCTCTGTTTGAGAAGGACAAGCTGGTCATTTCGCTGGTCATGTGTCTGGGAATCCTGGTTTCCCAGGGTCGAGTGGAGAAGGCTGCACTGCTCTTCTTCCTGACAGGAGGCATTGGATACAAGAGCATTCCGCCGAATCCCTTGACAGCCTGGCTGCCCGATAAATCATGGGCAGTTATTTGCAGAGCCTCGGAACTGGAAGGGTAAGATAGTGGTAACACTTTAAGATATAATAAAATATATAATGTATTTTCATATGTAAGAATGTATTTTAGATGTTGTATAAAAGGGAAGTTTATATAACCAAATCTATAAAAAGTATATAAAACTGTTAAACACAAAATAATTTTACATTCACTACAGTTTTTGTCAGTGCTGACTGATTAATCTTTTTTCAAATTGTTTGGTTAATCCTTTTAAATTCCCTTAGCCTGAAGAACCTGCCGCAGATGATGGAGGCGAACGCGGATGCCTGGCACAACTTCTACGACGCGAGCAATCCCGACCAGCTGCCGCTGCCGGCGCCGCACAACACGGTGAACGACATGTACTTCCTGATCGTCATCAAGGCTCTCCGGCCGGACAAGGTGGTGCCGGCCGTTCGGGTAAGTTGAGCCGCAGTTGGGGAGCCAAAAGCCCCTCGAGCTGGGAGGCACATTTAATATACCCCGTTTTGTCAGTCTTTCATTACGCGCAACCTGGACCGCTCGTTTGTGGAGCCGCCACCCTTCGATTTGGCGGCCTCGTTCGCGGACAGCTCGCCGAAAATTCCGCTGGTGTTCCTGCTCTCGGCCGGATCGGATCCCATGGCCAGTCTCTTCATGTTCGCCAAACAACGCAACATGTACGACAAGTAAGTTAATTAACGGGAGTGCTTCATATTTCCGTGTCCACGGATGGGCAGTGGGCGGTGGGTGGTGGGTGGTGCTTGATGGGTTATGGGTTATGGGAGGTGGTGCCGATGGGGATGCCGCAGGCGGATGAGGAGTTGGTTGCTATGGCTTTCGTGCTGGTGGCTTGTTTTCGATTAAGCGCGACATGTGCGCCTTGTCGATATGCACCCCCAACCCCCCGCATCACCATCCACATCCATTCTCTGCAGTCCGGCGCTTTAAAGAAATTTATGCTAAGCACATCTCGTCCCGAACAGATTGAAAACCATCTCGCTGGGTCAGGGACAAGGACCGCGGGCGGAGAAGATGATTACCGAGGCGGCGCGGCACGGCCAGTGGGTGGTGCTGCAGAACTGCCACGTGGCCATCAGCTGGATGGGCGACCTGGAGAGGATCTGCAACGACACCACCCTGACGGACGGCGCCAACCACGACTACCGCCTGTGGTGCACCTCGTATCCCAGCGCCGTCTTTCCCGTCTCCGTGCTGCAGAACTCCGTGAAGATGACGAACGAACCGCCCAAAGGACTGAGGGCCAACATGCACCGCTCCTTCACCTCGGATCCGCTGATGCGGGACAAGTTCTTCACCAACGCGTTCCTCTTCTCGGACAGCGCCAACAAGTGCTGGCTGCGAGGAGTCTTCGCCCTGGTCTTCTTCCATGCCGTTGTGCAGGAGCGGAGGGAGTTCGGACCCCTGGGATGGAACATCCCCTACGAGTTCAACGAGTCAGACTTGAAGTAAGAAAATATTTAATTTAAATGTGTATTTTAAATATGTTCTTAAAAGATTTTTCAAAGATTTGTAGGCAAAAACTGGTTTAATCTTGTTTTCGTTTTTTCTCGCTTATATTTAAGTCAGAGTTCACATTTAATTGATCCATTTTATAATTTATTTTATTAGTTAGAAAAACGTAATTTGGTAAAGTGTAAGCTGAATACTAATAGCTACTCAAATGAGACTGGTATCTGACTCAAACAAACTTGTTTATAAAACACTTAAAGATAAAACTGGTTGATGCGACTATGATGTTTTCTAGACAAAAAACATTTACTTCTCACTAAACAAACAATTTTTTTCTTTGTAGAATTTCCCTTTTGCAGTTGAAGATGTTTATTAACCAAAGTCAGAGTATTCCCTTCCGTGGACATGTTTATTTGACTGGAGAGTGTAACTATGGCGGTCGAGTCACTGACGACAAGGATCGTCGTCTGATTTTATCACTGCTGAACATGATATACAATCCAAATACCATCGAAGTGGATAAGTGCGTTAAGCTCGTAAGATTACAAAACAGTTTTTAATCTTTTATATTTCTTAGTTATAATCTCTCTCAATCTGGAAACTATTTGGTGCCCTTGAGCCCAACGCGTTTGAACTCTATAGAGTACGTTTCCAGTTTCCCACTGAGTCCACATCCCGAGGTTTATGGATTGCACGAAAATGCTGACATCAATCGCAATGTCAAGGAAACCAATGCGGTAATTTCTGAGATAATATTCCTCCTAAAATATTATTATTTATAATTATTTTTAAACCCTTTCCAGCTTATTAGTGGCGTTCTGCTGACGCAGACCGACCTGATGGCCTCGGTGAAGGCCAGTTCCTCGGGAGGAGCAAAGGAGGACCCGGCAATTGCCATTTGCAAGCAGGTGCTGAGCCAACTGCCCGAGGAGTTCGACATCGATGAGGTGTCGAAGACGTATCCCGTGATCTACACCAATTCGATGAACACCGTGCTGCGTCAGGAGCTGATTCGCTTCAACCGGCTGCTCTCGTACATCCGCAAGAGCCTGGTCAACGTGGGCAAGGCGGTGGTGGGCCAAATCGCCATGATACCCGAGCTGGAGCGAACACACGCCTCGATGGTCATTGGCAAGCTGCCGGCGGACTGGCTGAAGAAAAGCTATCCGTCGCTTAAGCCATTGGGCAGCTACGTGAGCGACCTTTTGGCCCGGTGAGTTCAGATTCAGCTGCCCAGTCTTTTGATGCAGTCATGTTTCGTACACTTAAAGGTATTTCCAATATGCAACTTTGATTGAATTTCTGCTACAATATTTATTTTAAATCTAAAAATTTGATGCATATTTATATATACTCTTATATATTTAGAATACTTTGCGTAAATATTTCTTTTATAAGGAGTAATTTTTTTCAACCGAATATTTATTGCAAGCTAGAAAGACCTTTTTTCAAGTGTACTAGTAGCAATCCTAGACATTCGGACGGCCATCAATGGCATTGTATTGAGCTGAGTTGCCTGTTATGCGCCGCGTGCTCCCAGCTCAGAGTTCTTTTCGTTCGTTTCGTTCTTTGCCTCAATTGTGCAAATATAATAAATGTATACGGCACACACATCCGATGCTCTTCCTCCTGCGGTTGCCACTGCCACTGCCATTCATGGCAAAAATCTTATTTGCTTTTGACATCAAAGGACGACGCTGTTTGTGTGTGCTCCTGCTCCTCTTCCTGCCAAATGCTTTGTGTGACCTCCATCCCCGGCTTGCCATTCGCCCATTCCCATTGTTGTCGCATGTTTAATATTTATTAATAAATTGAAAAATAAGATAACTCGTTGCCATTCGCAGGCTGGCCTTCTTCCAGGATTGGATAGACCACGGCGAACCGATGGTCTACTGGATATCGGGCTTCTACTTCACGCAGTCCTTTATAACCGGAGTGCTCCAGAATTACTCCCGCAAGAATCGCTTCCAAATCGACATGATCTTGATCGAGTTCGCGGTGACCAAGTTCGAGACGCAGGTCCCTGGAAATCCCGACTTGGGCGCATACATCCGGGTAAGTCTATTAGCCAACTTGTTATTATGCGGACAAAACACGAGCAGCCTCGGCTAAACGAGTTTTTAATTTAAATCGTTCCCACACACGCAACAGGAACAAAAAGAGGTCAATGATGAGACCAAGTTTATCCAAGTAAGACTATTTATAAAACACAAGTTTCCTGCACTGCCTGCTAATTACCATAGACAGTAGCAATAAACAATTTGTTTCGTTAAAATATAACCCACTTTCTCAGTTGCATTTCATTAATGAGATGGTTTAACTAGAAGCAAAAAGCATTAACAAGGTTTTTAAATTAGCTGTTGATTAAAAGTGTCATAATTTAAATAATTTATTACTCTCATTGGCACTCACCAAATCGTTATTACTTTAATTTGCACTTAAAATTTAATTACTTAGCTTGGCAATTATTTTTTTTAACATTCTTCGAATTTTTATAGTATCATTACAAATTCAACGGATATTATTTTAGATAAATAGTGTTATTTATTTCTTACTAATTGCTTATACTTCATTTAGGGCATTTTTATTGAGGGCGCTCGCTGGAATCGCAAGACCAAGGAGGTGGACGAGTCCTTCTCCAAGATCCTGTTCGATACCCTGCCGGTAATTTACCTGCGTCCCGTGCTGAAGGCTCTGGAGGATTTGCCGCGGAACACTGGCGGCGCGGAACCTGAGACCGTCTACGACTGCCCCGTTTACAAGACGAGCGAGCGGAGAGGCGTCCTCTCCACCACCGGACACTCGACCAATTTCGTGATGTACCTGCAGCTGAGGTGCTCCCGGAAGCCGATGCACTGGATTAACCGGGGCACGGCCTGCCTGTGCCAACTGGACGACTGAGGGGCACTGGGACTTGGAGGGGGAGTGACCGAGGGCCAGGTGGCGATCCAGAAACTGTGCCCATTTGTGTTCTTTTTTTTTGGCGGCACAAAGGGCCGCCTGTCGTCCCATCTATATGCAGATATATATTTTGATTTTGTTCCGTTTGATTCCCCATCCCAGAAGCCCCAGGAGCGCAATGTCTTGTTTGTTTTTTGGGCCCCCGCTCTCCGCATTCACCGGTCGGATCTGGGCCGCCGGCCATGTGGCAAGATTGAGGGGGCATTCGAGGGGGCAGTGGCATTTTGATGATGATGATGCTGATTGCCAGATACAAATTAAATATGCACAGTACTATACAGCCAGGCTGGATATATATTTTTTATGTGCGCCATTTACAAATGAATAAACGAAAGAATAAAGCCCCCAACGCTCTGTGTGAATATATTTGGAATTGAGCCCGTGTTTTTTACCCCGCGTGGCGCTGACCAGGAAATAAAGTTAATGAAAGAAAGATTTCGGTGTTTCGTGCGCAGTTTAAATCCGAATTACAAGACCGTACGTTCGTACACTTACACAGCATCTGTGGTCAACAGGATGTAATACACGATGAGCTAACGTTAACCAATTGAACACAATGGGAATTATAAAAAGCACATTCCGTTCTATTCTTATAACCCATCTACATATCGAACAAGCCACTCGGCGTTCGAGAGGTGCTCCATCATCCGTTCCCATCGCCAGAATCGATTCCTCCGAGCATCGAGCGCTTTGTGTGGGGGGAGATTGCCAAGCCATTTTGGCTTATCCGTGAGATTTATGGCCTGCCCGCCGCTCAATTGGAGCATCCACGCCATTTAAACTTAAAATTATAATGCCGAAAGATGGAAAAGTCGAGGCGATCTCTTAAATCATGCCGCTATTAATAGCCGACTAATGGAGCGTGGCGAGCGAAAACCCAAAATAGCAACACTCGACTCGAGTCTCAAGTCCATCAAGCGCGTATCGCATCAATCGAGATGGCGTATAAACTTTCAACCGATCTTGGCCTTAAGCTAAGCAACTCGAGAGCCTCCAAAAATACATTGGCCAAAGTTCCATCGGCGGTCCGGCGGCGACTTCCGCTTGCAATTACCAATGGCTATGGATTGTCACACATGTATCCGATCCATTCAGTTCAGATCGATACCCAATATCCAGTTCTATATGGCGAATAGTGAATACCGATGCAAATAGTCGAGACAATCGAAGAGCCCTCGACCATTGTTCCATCTGCCTACGAATCGGACGAATCGCTGGCTTTGTTTACTTTCGTTTTGTCTTCTGGCAGCTGGCCGCGCTAATCATCTTATATGGCCGGCCAGCCGGGGTTCAATTGGTGCTTGAGACACTTTTTGACAATAGCAACTAGCAATAGAAGAAGCCACCAGCACCACAACTAGCACCACCAAAGACTAGCACCACCGATCGATGCGGTAGTCCGCCGCTCGTTAACCGGTTTCCCCGGCGATCATCGTAGCTCATCTCAGCGCGGCTCATCTGATCGCAAAGTGAATGGACATCGGCCAGCCGAGAACTTTTCGCGCAGCTCGTGTATAAATAGTGTCGTTGGGTCTGGTTTGGAAACAGAATCAACTTTGGATTAATCTAGCAGACATCGTCTTGGATCTTCTGGAAAAATGGTTAGTTCTCCGGCAGCCATCCTGCAACCAGGACTAATCGTCTACCATCTTCTTCCTCTCGTAGAAATTCTTCGTCATTGCCTTTGCTGTGATCGCAGCTGCCTCGGCGGCTTCGATTGCCACGGATTACCTGCCGCCGGTGGACAACAACCTGGAGGCCGCCTCCGACATTGTCGAGCTGCCCGCCGAGCAGGGCGTTCTCGCCGACGATGGATACCGCTACAAGACCGTGCGCCGCCTGAAGCTGCGCCACCGCCGCGATGTCTCCGAGCTCTCCTCCGAGTACCTGCCCCCAGTTCAGGAGGCTGCCTCCGAGGCCGTCGCCGTGGAGACTCCCCTGGCCGATGATGGCTACCGTTACAAGACCGTCCGCCGAGTGATCCGTCGTCGTCGTGACGTCTCCGAGCTTTCCCCTGAGTACTTGCCCCCTGTGGAGGAGGCCGCTTCCGAGGCTATCGCTGTGGAGACTCCCCTGGCTGATGATGGATACCGTTACAAGACCGTGCGTCGCCTCAAGCTGCGCCACCGTCGTGATGTCTCTGAGCTTTCCCCGGAATACCTGCCCCCTGTTGAGGAAGCTGCCTCCGAGGCCGTCGCTGTGGAGACTCCTCTTGCTGATGATGGCTACCGCTACAAGACCGTGCGCCGTGTGATCCGTCGTCGTCGTGATGTTTCCGAGCTGTCCCCCGAGTACCTGCCCCCCGTTGAGGAAGCCGCCTCCGAGGCCGTTGCCATCGAGACTCCCTTGGCCGATGATGGATACCGCTACAAGACCGTGCGCCGAGTGATCCGTCGTCGTCGTGACGTCAACGAGCTGCCCTCCGCCGAATACCTGCCCCCAGTTCAGGAGGCTGCCTCCGAGGCCGTGGCTGTGGAGACCCCTCTTGCCGATGATGGATACCGCTACAAGACCGTGCGTCGCCTGAAGCTGCGCCACCGCCGCGACGTCTCTGAGCTGTCCCCCGAGTACCTGCCCCCCGTTGAGGAAGCCGCTTCCGAGGCTGTTGCCGTCGAAACCCCTCTGGCCGATGATGGCTACCGTTACAAGACCGTCCGCCGAGTGATCCGCCGCCGTCGCGATGTTTCCGAGCTGTCGCCCGAGTACCTGCCCCCTGTGGAGGAGGCCGCTTCCGAGGCCATCGCCGTGGAGACTCCCCTAGCTGATGACGGATACCGCTACAAGACCGTGCGTCGCCTCAAGCTGCGCCACCGCCGCGATGTCTCCGAGCTGTCCCCCGAGTACCTGCCCCCGTGGAGGAGGCCGCCGCCTCCGCCATCATCGATGTGCCCGCCGAGCAGACCGTGCTGGCCAACGACGGATACCGCTACAAGACCGTCCGCCGCCTGAAGCTCCGTCGCCACTAAGCCGCCGATTGCACTGATTCCCACCGCAGCGTTTGAGATTGTCGAGGATGCTTTTCCAGAAGAAGTCCTGCCGTCGAGAGTCTCACGATGAAACTAACCATAAGTCGAGCGTATTAGTCAATTTGAATCCCCTATGAAAAACCCGAGTACAAACCCCGAAATAACCATAATAAACATTTTTAAAACAAAACTTGAAAACTCTTCTCCTTTTCATGAAAAATATTTGCCTCAAGAATAAGTTCTCATGTTTCTTGAATATATTTATAATCTATAAAAAGGTTACCCAAACCATGCTTAACTGAAAACATATTCAAGAACCAGAAATGTTTCCCAAGGCACAAAAGAACTTAAAGATTTGTCAACTAGTTAAACAGCCGTTTTCGTTTGGATCAAAAGTGAATGGATTTGATTAAGAAAAGAATAGCAAAGCATAAACGAACCCGTATTGATTTTGTTGAAAAACAATGAACAACCTAGCTTTTCATAAGAATGAACAATATTTATTCAAAATCGAACTCATTAAATGGTTAAAATGATTTTTTTAGGTTCCGGAAACCCATTTAACTTATTGAAGGTGTATATTAATCACAGTTTTTTTGCAGTGTTGCTGACCTCAGATTGTATATACCTTAAGAAGAGTGTCCTCTAATCTTATCTGCAACAGATAAGGTTCGCAGCGATAAGATACTGGCACCTGCCGTTGAATGCAATCACACACAGGTTTTTAGTTCCACTTTGGAGTTGACGACGTGCGCGTTACAAACTTGGCTAACAGCTAAAAGCGAACAGAAGTTTTTCAAAACGAACCAACGAAAAAGACGGAAATGAAGTTGGCTAAGAAGTGCTCCACCTATCTGCTGATATGCCTGGGTAAAGTTCTGCATACTCGTTTGAATCTGTACAGTTTTGAGTGCCAACCAGAGATACGCAGAGTATCTGCAAGATACTTTTCGTGTGTGTGTTGTCGGTTTATTGTGTACCTGTGAAACCAAGCTGCATTATAATGTGCAGAGGTGTGGGATTTTAATGACCCAACTTCTGCAATTGGAGAGTTTAACGATGAGTAACTGGGCCAAGAGTGCGTCATACAATCGCCCACAAGAAAACTCTACAAAAATGTGTGTGCTTATCAGTGCGATTCAGATAAGCACTGTTTACTCATTGTTGCCCCATCACTCGGAGTGTTTATTTCAGGGCGTGGTACATTAGTAAGCCAAGAGAAAATCAAAATTTTCAAGCAATTAAAGATTTCCCCCAACTTAAATAGCTGACTTAGATAATTATAAATAAATCAAAAAACAATCTCGTCGGTTTCATAAAACTTTGATTAGGCCAAAAGAACAATGGCCCAAATCCGGAAGTAGCATAAGCTCGGTAATTATTTCGCATATAAATTATGAAATATGCCAGGCAAAAAATGGATGAAAACAATTAATTTTGGTTAGTGGCTGGCCAACGAAACTCGGTCGCATTTTTAGCCACATCCATTTGGCGCGTTGGTTTTTGTCAAAGCCCGTCTCCATGAATCACCGCCTAATCGAATCGGAGGGAAATCAAAATCAATACTGCGTTTTCCATATCGACAACTAAATCCGTTTAATATTTCATGCGCAAAATATGCCGAATGAGTTGAACCAAAACAAACAGATGAATACACACAGAAAATATTAATTAAAAATACATTTTGATCATTCTACGTGAAATCGAATCTGACATCCGCAATGGAACAATGGGGAAGAAAACGCCAGCTCGCATTTATCATCAAGAGTTGGCGCGCGCGCGCGATTTTGGCCAAATCAGAATCAGTGTTTTTTTTTTTTTTTTTTGTTGATTTTGACTTGGCTTCGTTCCTAAGCATTTTCTCAATAATTAATTGTTAATATCTTAACAAGTCTTCGCGCAGCTGAAGATCTATATGATGAATGGTCCGGCTGTTGTTTCAATGAGCTCCGTTCCGAGCGGTTTGGCTCGCTTTATGGCTTGGGGTTGATGGATGCTTCAAAGCCAATGCCGCAATCGCAGCGGGCCACCTTCGACCACACGCGGCGAGTTCGTTAAATACATATATGTTTTGCGTCTCGGACAAATCACTCCCAACATGCTCGAGTGCCCCCTGTCTAATAAATATATATTTTTTATGTTTTTTTTTTCGATTTTTATTCGCAGTTCTGCTGGCCTGCTGCCTGCAGGAATCGGAGGCCACGCGGCGCGTGAACCGCGGTCGTCGCACCCTCACTCGCAGATACTTCAGTAAGTGGTGGCGTATACGTGATATATTCCCTAGGGTATTACTCATCCGCCTCGTTTCCTTGCAGCTGGCTTGGCCATTCCCGGCTGGGCACTGGTCGTCTGCATCGCCTTGGCTGAGCTCCTGATTGGCGGAGCCCTCTACTTCATCCTGAAGAAGGTGATCCTGGATCAGGAGCCCGATGAGACGGCGGCCACTTCCTACACTCCTGCGAAGACCCACGACCCCACGGCCACAACTTATCCTGCGGCTCAAACACATGAGCCGGCAAGCACTTACACTCCCGCCCAAACTCATGAGACGGCCAATGTGACTCCCACGCCCACACACGCCACTGCAATTGTTTGAGGAGGAGCGTTTTAGCCGGAAGTGACCACCTCTAGTTCACAGCCCAGTTCAAATTCCCCTTAAAACTAGCTCTATTGCCATTTGATTAATTCACACTTAAGACATGTAATTCGAGCGCCCTTTGTTTGCCTTCATTTTCGAATAAAATCATTTGCCACTAATCCGGCGCCAACTAGCTCACACTCACACGGTTAAATGGTCTTAAAACGACCGATTCGATGGCTTTAAGCATTTTATTGCACCGGCTATGCGGCTCAATATCCGCCCATCTTCGATCCAGTTTGTCTACTGATTGTCTGCATCACACGCGACTCTAATTAAATTAAACTGGTTTTGGTGCTTAGAGTTTTCTGTAGTCTACGCTAGAGATAATAATAGAAAATAGTGGGCAAATACAAAATATTTGTAGTATAATTTTAGGGTCAGATGACAAATCATGACAGCTTTTTTCAAGCTAAATAATTTTATTCTTTTTTCCGATTTTAATTTACTTGTAAAGAATTTATTAAGCTCCATTGCAATACTCGAAGTATTCCAAAATTTCTGTACTCCCAGGAATGCATTTGATTACCCCGATCTTAACTAAAACTCCAGATTCGGAAATATAACATAGCTGTCCTCGATTGGAATGGCTATATCTGGGCTATATATCTGACTGATTTCGCTGCCATTTGGAATGCGACGTCCACTTGATGCCGGTTCCTCGCTTTGCCGCTGACAAATCGAAATTTATTATCAACGCAATTGAAAAATCCCCAGCGCACCACTTGAGCTGGATCTCTAAGCTGCAACACAGAGGAGATTCCGGGGAATCCCGGCCAAGTCAAGGGCCCGGCAGCCAAGTAGCTGTAAATGCCAACAATTGGCGCAACCAAAAGCTTTTCCAAAGCAACGCGCCGGGGGGGAGGGGGCGGTAACCAAAGCGGATTCCTAAATTGACACAAAACAGACAAAAAGCGAATCGCTTAGGCGCAGCCACCCGCAACCGAGTAGCCACCATCTCCATGCCCCAAGCCCCAAGCCCCGCATCCCCACATTTCGATCCCCAAACTCAGTCACGAGGCAGCCAAAAATTGTGCAACTGGAGCGAAGCTAGAATGCAGCACTTGGAAAAATACCTGTTTAATTTAAAGTCCATTCGAAAACTTGTTTAATGTCTCTGAACCTCTTCAATGACATAAAAAGTGTTGATCGGGTTTGATTTCAGTTAAGAAATATAAAGATCTATGAAAATTAGAAGCACACATTGATGACATTAAACGAGATATTTATTTAATAATTTAGAAATGTTATTTTAAGGTTCTAAAACATCATGTTTTTACCCGTATTTTCTGTGAATATTTTTGCGAGTGAAAAGAGTACTTCGCTGCGCTAGATACTTGGGCTTTCGCAGAAAAGCCACACGAATAGTCCTGTATGCAGACTATGCCCCCGAAAGGACTTTCGCCCCGAACGGGAATGCAAACAGTGTGCATACGGCCAGCGAGCGGCACTCCTGCAATTGTTATGGGTCAGCTGGAGCCAAAGGCAGGAGCCTCTGGTCGGAGGTCCTTCGACGAGCAGGAATCCCGGCGATGGCACTTCTCTGGGCACTTGGCCGGGTTTATGCGAGTGTTTGTGGGGTGTTAAAGTTTATCAACATATCGTCAACGTTGTTGTGCTCTTGTCTGACAACAGTGGCTCATATTTATTTATGGCTCAGCTGCCACTCATACCACAAACGTACCTCCACATGACCCAAACTGGCCGCAACTCGGATGGAGAAGCACTTGCGGTCGGACTTTTGGACGCAATCCTGACAGTTTGGCAGCAGCAGCTTCGCAGTGTTATCGGTTTTTTTTTCTGCCTTTGGTGCTCCCTGTACAGCTCCGCTTTTCTGGGATTTAGACATGTACGCTCGTTGTAAACAACAACATTAACAAGGGTTTGCCAGGACACACTCATAAGCATTCATTGGAAATCCTTTTCGATTTATTTGCGTATTCAAACGGAAACATTTAAAGTGATTGCGGATGCAAATTTCCCATCCAAGTAGGCAGCTCGAAATCGCTCTGATGTACAGCCATCCCATTCGACCCCGGGAAGCTTTTCCTTTCTTTCGGTTCTCTGCTTTCCCTGCTTTCTTTCATTGTGTGAGTGCATGTGTGTGTGTGGATTTTCAAGATCCGAGCGCGTGCCTGGCAACATTTGCGGTTTTTGCGCAAACTTCACACATTTTCTTATGTGGGGCCTGCTTCGCCTTACCTTTTTATTGTTGCCAGCGCCATGAGAATTTCAATTTTCACACAGGTGCGCTTGTGTTTGTTGAAAAAATAAATATCAATCATACGCCCCAGTGGCCTCTGTGAGTTTTGGCCCCCCACTAACCACTTTTATGAGTTCTGTTTAATTTGATATGGATATTTGCTTAAGCAATTAGTCGAACACTCTCCAGACTTTTAACTTGAGCTCGGTAATATTTTAGTTTTCGAGTTTGGTACTCTCTGCAACTCGGGCAGCTGATATTATTTTTGCGGGCTTAAATTTTCATCGGTAATAATTCTAACTGAATAAAGTAAGGCTCATAGAAACCGTTCTTATAAAAAATTCTTATTGTAAGGAAAAAAGTAGTTTTGTTGCATAAAAAAAGTAGTTTTGCATTAAGTTACGCCCAAAGAGTGTAATTTAAGCATCTGATCTGAAACCATATCAAACATTTGCAACTGGAAGCTTTTGGCACTTGTGTGCGACTTGTCGTGTTTTTTATGCCCATTAAGTTCGCACTAAACCACTAAAAAAGGCTGTTAATCAGCTGAAATTGCTTGAACAAACCAAAAAAAAAAAGAAAACAAATGGATTGAAGGGGCTCATCAATGAGCGGTGATCTGCGATCGAGTCAGCTGCTCCACTTAAGCTGTATTTTATTTTATGATCGTTCATTTCGGCTGTCAGCATGTTAATTACTATGAGGCAACTACTGGGTACGCTCGATTAATTGGTATATAGGCCATTCCCTGCCCGAATCGCCTTTGTTTGAGTACATTCACACTCAAGGCAATTGCCACTTGACCAGCACCGAGATTGCGGCTTATCAGTCAACAAGAAAACCCCCCTGAGTGGCTTAACCGATTGGCCCAGAGTCAATAACGACACTCTGAATGGGAGAATTCGTTAAAGTTTAAGCCACTTTCACCTCTCGAGCAATTCAATGGCGTTTATGCAAATCGTCCGTCTGCACATCTAAAATGCAGGCTGAGGATAAATTTGTAACGAATTACCAATCAATTGACCAACGAAACAAACAAACCAAACCAAACTAAACCGAACCCAACCGAAGCCAGACTTTTGGGTGGAGAGACCGCAAAAGAGGTCTGGGCTGCCTTGTAAAACGATTTGGAATCGGAATTGAAATTGCAATGCAACTAAAACAAAAACAATTTAAATATAATGGAACCACAACGACTCGGTCTCCAGAGGGGCTCTGTGAATAATTCAGCAACAGCAAGAGCCGGAGCCGGAGCAGAAGCGACTGCAAATTAAATCAAATAGTTATATCATGCGAGTAAATCGCTGTGGATATCGCACATACGCCCCGTTGACCGCAGACCCCAGTCGCAGCTACTTACACGCCGCGCTCATCGCTCCGGGCATCAGTACGCGCCCAGTGCTCAGCCGCAGCAGATCGTGAATGTGAACGTGGATATATATAAAGCACCGTGCCCCCCCATGTCTGGGAGATAGAGCCGAAAAGCACATAAATATTTGCACATCCCCGGGGGAGAAAGACTTCCTGCCCGGACTAAATTCCCCGTACACGTGCTGCATCGTCTGCGGCTGGGATCTAAAAGCAGAAACTCCCACTCCTGCTCCGACTTCGACTTCGACGCCAACTTCAACTCCGTCTCCGGTTTTTACACGAGCTCCAATCAGGAGCCGTTCCGTCTAGTTTTTTCGTGTGTTTTTTGCCCGGTTTCGCCACCTCCTGCCGCCATGCATTCGCCGACTGCCAAAGTGTCGGGCTACGTCGTCCTGATGATTGTGCAAATAATCTTCCTGGTTCTATTCTGGCTATTCGTGCGTTACGAAAAGACCGCGCTGCCCCGGGCAATCGACGCCGAAGACGTTGGATCAGCAATGGAACACGTTTCGAAATATCCGCGTGAGTAGCTGGGCTTTTACCCATCCTTCGAGCGTTTATGGAAAAAATGTTACACTTTTTACCGAAGCCAGTTCTTTTTTATTCCCTCGGAAGAAACTTTTCCAAGCAAAATGTTTACTATTCATTAAACATTTATTGGGATTGTAATTACTCTTTATAACTCTGGCTTAAACACATCAATTTTGCAATTGCTTTAATCTCAATGTTCCCCGCAAATTCTGCTGGTATCTCACTCTTTTGTAGTTTTTTGGCTCATAAAAAATTCAACTAAAATTATCTCCGCATCGCCATATAAAAGTTAGTAATATCACAAATTGTTTATAGCATAGCAATATGCTTCAAAAACGCCCAACTTTTGAAAACCTTCAGATTTGCCCCTCTTAAAAAACCCACAGAAGTGCGAAAAGATTTGCTGACTAAACTGTTTTCTGTAGGACATACATTTCAAGTATTCTCTTTTTGTTTAATTAGCTTGCGATGGCTAATAGGTTTCTGTATTTAAATATACCCGCCAGCAGCTAATCGAATTATTATTTATTTACGAGTTTAGTCGAGCTATCATTTTATTGTTACTATTTTTGCAATATTTTTCTGTTTGTTAATTAGCTCGTTTTATCTAACAAAAGCCCCAAAAGATTAGAATGCATACAAGCAGTACAAACATTTCAGACTGATACAAAAAATAAAGAAATTTTATTGTATATATTGGGGAATTTACATAGCATCCCCAAAAATTGCACCTCTTGTGTGCGGAAACTTGTCATGTGTTTAGATTTACCCCTCTGAAATAATAGAAAACGTGCAAAAATATCATGTTTTGTAATTGAAGTGTCCACATTATTTCTATATTATTTCAGCACTTGTTTGCTTTGAAGTATTTGTGTAATAAAAGTCACTGTGTACAAACGATTGTGGCAAGTGCACATCTTAAAATACTCAAACTAAATGGAGACTTTGTGTATACTTGTATAAATGTCACTGGGCTTAATTTTAGATTTGCTCTTTAAAATTAACCGCAAATGTGCGAAAGTTTGCAATAGATAATTTTCTATTTGTTGAGTTTTTAAGGCAGTATTTCTTGTGGGCAATTAGCCACCTAAGTCTAATGGAGGGCACTAAATATGCGGAGGCTTGGCAACAGCTAAACTTTATCATTGACTATCTGCACAATGTGTTCCTATTTTTATGCTGTTGTGACGGAGAAAAAGTTTAAAATGGATGATTAATAAAGAGTTTATTAATAGAATACAGAAAATACTTCTGATCTTGAGCCGTCGCAATGTTTATAAATTAAAAGTGAGTAGATATGATGAGCGAGGCAAAAATAAAAATAACGAGAAATGAGTTAATCAATTAAAAAACAGTATACCAATTGTACAACAAGTGTTTGAGCTGCTCGAAATTATATATTCCATTGACAGCCAAGTAATTAAAACAGTAAAATTGCCGTAGAGTAGAATTCAATGCAAAATGGTCAAAAACAATTAAAAGGACACCAAGTTGGAGCTCTAAATCAAAGCCCACATAAAGCTATTACCCATGCTAACCAACATGTAGATAGAGACTCTATTCCTGCTATTTTTTTGGGGGTTCGAGAAGGAGTCAGGACGAGAGCAGGACCCGCATTGTTTGCCAAGTGTTGGCGGGTCATAAATAAATGAAGTTCTTTTTCGCACAGTCTCCGCAGTCTTTGGGTCCCGTGGCACCAATTCCATTAATTACTTCTGCCACTGGAATACTAGCACATTGTACAGGGGACATTGTGCCGAACCGAACCGAAACGTACTGAACCGAACAATGGGACACACACACACACAGACACACACACGCGCACAAATGAATAATTAAAGTCATTAATTTCAATTTATGCAAATGCGTCTGTAAACAACTTGTTGCAATTCATAATAAATAAATTAAACCGTATTTCACACTAATTGCACCCGCGCGGGCACACATACGCACACAAGGGGTTGTTCGTGAGGGGGTGGTGGTGTAATGCTGGGTGGAGTGGGTGGTGGGTGGTGGGTGGTTGGTGGTCGGGTGGCAACAGTGGGGCAGCAGCCACTGCGTCTTGGTGCCCTGGTGACATCAATCTCAATGCAATTGACTTTTGGCAGCAGACAATTGGGCGGTTAATTGAAACGACTTGGGTCTATTAATTGCCATCCCAACTGGCCAAGACCCACTCCTCCTCCTCCTCCCCTCCTTTTCCAGGACTAACCTTCTTGATTCCCCACAGAGTTCCAGGACATCCAGGTTATGATCTTTATTGGTTTCGGCTTCCTGATGACCTTCCTGCGGAAATACGGCTACAGTGCCACCGGATTCACCTTGTTTATGGCTGCCCTTGTGGTACAGTGGTCCGTCCTCATGAAGGGATTCCTGCACATGGAGGGCGGCAAGATCAGGTGAGCTTCTGACTTGACTCCAATTTATTAATTGCTTGACTTCAAATCCTGAGCGAAACTGACAGTCAACAAAAAACAAATAAGTTTGCGATGCGAAATGAAGAAAAATATCCCGGGGCTGGAAATGAATTCAAGCAATTACTTTAAATGAAGAAGTCAACTCGAGGAGGCAGAGCTTCAGGTGGATTCCTCTACTTATGCTAAGTGAAATGGGCAACAAACCCAAGTCAAATGGCAAACAAAGGACGAGCTGCTGTAAAAGGAGCTGACAGAGAAATATACTGAAAGAAAAACAAAACTTGATAGGGATATAGTGTTTACATTTATTTGTTTATTTTAAATTCTCAGAGGGACTAAGCGGCTTAAAAATTTGATTTGAAAATACATTTTTAAAGACTTACAAAAGAGAAAAAGAAATAAGTTTCTGTGTATAAATGTAAACTGCCTGGAAACGCCTTAAAATGTATTCCATTTCATTTGGCGGCCATTTCTTTGGTTCAAATGCCTCCATTTTTATGCGACGGAGGGCGTGTCACCTGTCGCACTTCCATCTCATCTTCGTCCTCTTTCTTTTTGCCACAGCCTCTCCCTGGAGAACATCATTGATGCAGATATTGCCGCCGCCGTGCCCCTGATTAGCATGGGAGCCCTGCTCGGCAGAACCACGCCCATCCAACTCCTCTGCATGTCCATCTTCGAAGTGGCTCTCTTTGCGGCCAACGAGTACCTGGCCCTTCATGTTTTCAGTGTGAGCTTAAATACTTAAATTAGAGAATTTAATTTAATACTTATATCGAATAGAACCATGTACTAGTTTAAGTGAAGCATGCAACGATTTATTTTTGGGGAAATCCCATTAGGAAATATTATAATAATTTTTTGTTTTTGCCCAAAACCGTTTTATGGAAATAGGTTAGAAGTTATTGCGACAATTGGGTCATAGTCATGCCATATGTAAAACGAATTAAAATGCATGTTAACTTTTGGCAATAATTTTATGCTGTTAGCTATATCGTACAAAAAACAAATGATTTCCATAAGCTTTATCAAAGCAATGGAATAAAGTTTAAAATAAACGTGCATAATATTTCGCTAGGGATTGACATTTATGAATGCATAATTTCAAAATGAAATTTGGTTTTAATTTTGTATATTTTATTTTCGCAAACTCGTTATAAATTGGAAGAGTGATTTTCAAGAGCAATCTAACATTTTACTAGCAAATATTAAGTTAATTTAAATAGTAGGTAATTGTAAAAAGATACATTACCATAGGTTAATTAAGAAAATCTTTCTCGCTTAGGTTGCAGATGCTTCTGTTTTTAAAATAAGGAATTTAAAATGTGAATTTAATTTGCACTGCAGTTTTTTCTACTATATAAAATTTCCTTTTTAAATTGTTGTAGTTATTGAATTTATATATTTATTTATTTTCTCTGACAGATCTGCGACTGTGGCGGCTCCATCACCGTCCACGCCTTCGGGGCGTACTTTGGATTGGCGGTGGCTCTGATGCTGAGGCCCGCCGGCGACCAGAACGAGGCGGGAAAGCTGGAGGGCGCCAGCTACACCTCGGACATATTCGCGATGATCGGCACCACCTTCCTGTGGGTGTACTGGCCCAGCTTCAACTCGGTGCTGGCCGAGGGAGCCGGCGGCGAGCGGGCCATTTTGAACACGTTTCTGTCATTAGCCGCGGCAACAGGTGAGTCACGTTCCCCGGCAATTAGCCGGCTCGAGTGGAGGACGGCTGGAGGACATTCCGTCGCTCGCCGTCCATCGACCATCCACCATCGGTCGACATATCTTCCGGCCATCTTGGCCCACTCGCACATATCTTCACGCTCGGCTGGTTCGTTCCAGCTCCAACGGCTCCTCGGGCCTTGTTAATTATAATGTTGGCGGGCCTATTAGCACGGATCCCGATGAAATTGAAAAGGCTCGCAGGCTCACAGGCTCACGGGCTCAAAGCTACCGGCTCAACCCATCGCCCTTTAGGTCCTTGTGCATGCGACTCACAAACTAATTAAATGTCAAATAGTTTCGTTAACACATTTGAAAATTTATTTTGAGCACGTAGCGCACATAAAAACGAACCGAATGGCAAGCGGCCAGCCTGTCCGGCATTTGCTTAGTCCTTAGTTCTCCTTCCGGTGGATGGGTCAGTAGTCAGTGGCAAATCCCATCCAGGTCCAGTCTGTCCAGTCCGGGCCCTCATAGAAAATGTGCTAAAAGCAGCAGCCCGGGGTCGGGCTTTGGCCTGGTTGACTCGCTCGGTTAATGTAAATAACAAAACACAAATTAAATGTATACAAAGGACGCCCGGCAGCAGCGTCGCCAGCAACAACAAGGGCTTTAATAATAGTACGGCCAGCAGCCGAGATAAGCCAAGTTGGAAGGGGCGACACTTGGCTAACTGTGGCCAAAGTCTCGCCTGGCCTGGGCTCCGCTTCTCCTGGCCATGGTATTAAAGCCCTCACGTTACAGCGGCGGAGGTAACACCTAACAGGGCACATGAGTTGCCAGGAGATGGGCAGAGAATGCAGTACAACCGAAAAAGAAATACTCTAGAAATGATTCAAAATATAAAGAAGCTTATAAAAATAAAAGTTCAAGTCTTCAGTTGTTTAAAATATCTCATTGCTTGATTTTTGACATACTTCTCTATTTAATTTTCAACATAAAACTGGAATTTATTACCAGTAATTATTAAGCATAACCCAAACGTAAAATTTTTGCAACTAGAAAACTTCAATATGATTTTTCGCATTTTGATTGGAATGGGAAAACCAAAAAAAAATGAGTGAATCATGTTCTATATTTCCAAGAAAACCACTCTTCAGTATTTCATTTTGCTCTATTGCCTAAAATATTCTTTGCCTGAAGTGCTTTTCTAGAGTACATCTTAATTTGAGTTAAAAATTCTCGTCTCAATAAAGTGCATATTCAAATTTAGTTGCAATTCATATGCGAGCGGAGGAAACTTAATCAATGAATTCCAATCTGGGCATCTGAGTGGGGTGACCCAGCCCATAAATAGACATCATAGAGTATCCTGCAGGAGGGGAAGGTGGCAGTCTGGGCGGGCATTTTATGCGGAAGGATGTGCGATTAGTTGAGTCAACGTGCGGCTCCGTCCGTTGCAGTGGCCTAAACCCCCCACCCTCTCCCCCTCCCCCTCCCCTGCATCCTGCCAACGTGTCCTTGTCCATTCAGTGGCCGGTTGCTTGGCTCACTAGTTGTTGCCTTAATTAAACTAAAGCTGGGGTTCAGTTCAATGCTGAAATTAGAGGCGGTCTGGTGGGTGTGGCCACGGTCCCATGTCGGCCATGCGGGCGGACATGCATGGCCTGGCCAGCAGGATTGGTTTTCGGGAGGTAACACAGTGGCAGGAGCAGGAGCAGAAGCAGGAGCAGGAGCAGGAGGGCCTCGGATCAGACGACGCCATTTGGTGTCCGAATGCGGCGCCAACAGCAAAAATACGCCCCAGTTGTTGTTTTCACACCAGGCACAAAATGAGCCGGAGCGACGTCTGGACCTTCTCCTGGGAATACACTGAACAGTTTTAATTAATAATTAAATAACAAAATACTTTAATAAGGTGGATGGCAGGGATATTACTAGGTTATTTATTTAAACCCAAAGAATATATACAAACTTATTGATTTATGGTTTTATAATAAATAACTAGGTACACATAATTGATAGGTATTTTTCCTGGACATGTATTGTTTTAACATGTTAAAGTAGTTTTGTTTTAAACTAAACGCATTATTAAATAACAGAACATTATCCAAAACCAAGCATTTTACAAGCCATAATATCAGTTATTAAACTTGAAAAATATATGGCTATTTGGTACTTTTAACAAAGCAGATAATACACATTTTCATATGAAAATCAAGAGCAAAATGAATTTTTTTTTCTTCTGTGTGCTTTGGGTTTGGGCCTGGTTGGAACTCCAGTCTGGTCAGTGAGCTGGGTTTTCCGAAGGGCGGGGAAAGGGGGAGGGGGCTGCCCGCATTGGCCAACAACGCTAAGCACAAAACACATTTTACAGTCGCAAGTGACACCATTGGCGTTAATTTAAATTGTTTAATGTTCGAGCAAGAGAAGGCAAAAACAACAGCAGCAGCTGATGTCCTGAATCTCGGATGCCTCTGGCTTGGCTTCGCTTTGGTTTAGGTTTAGTCCTCGAGCAAGAGGACGAGGAGCGGCTGTAAAAAAGCTGTTTAATTGATTTTTAAGCCAGAATTTGCTGTTCTCGTTGTTTTGCGTCGCCCGGACAATGTCAAAAGCTGTTTTGAAATTGTTGCGGTTGCCGCTGCTGCTGCCCTCTGAAATGTCCTTGTTTTGGCCGCCGGTTGAGATTTGCCTTACTTATTTGCAGTGGCCAACCGCCGCTTGGCCCCAACTAATTTATGCAAATTATTATGGCTGCAACATATGCTCCGCCATAAAATGGAGATTTTTAAGTATTTAGTGTTATTCAGCCGAGATTTATGCTGGCAGCCGGTCATAAACTGAAGCGTCCTTGTTGTTTTGTTGTTTGGCTGTTGTGGCCAGCAGAAAAGCGGAAAGGCGACAAAGCGCCGGGGGGACAGCCGGAAAATCCTGGAAATCCAACGGGGATCTTGTTTACATTTTTATTAGTTTTGTGTTTATTGCAAAAGTGTGGTTCAGTCGTTGTCGCTGGGTGTGTCATTCCTGCTGCTCGAGTGATTAGCGATAGCAGCTTGTTGGTCTTAGCACAACTTGAGGGGAAAGTTTATTCATGCAGAGGATTTTATCCTGCAACATAGTTTGCCTTGCTGGAGAAACTCGGAGCAGTGGGTACATAACAACGGAAACGAAGACTTTGCTGTACAACAAGTCGTGTACGTGATGTTTCTGATTGACATGAAATTTGCGATTGATTGACTATTGGAAAAACTGCTTACCTCTAGAAAGAAGTGTTGAATAATATAGAACAACTAAGAAATAAATAGATAATTGAGGATTGCGTGATACTTTAGTATACTATTCTAAAATAGATTCAAATTCATTTTCCTCATACCTCAATTCACCTTTTTTCCATCCGACATTTTCAACGCAAACTCGCTTTTCCGCATCCTAATGAACTAACCAGAGACTCATTCAAAAATGCATTAAAATCATGTAATTAAGCCAGGCGCATTCGAAGTCCTCCACCTGCATTCAATTCGCCCGCCAACCATAAATGCAAGCCGCAGCCTCTGCGCCGCACTTTTTGGCCGTGTTCCTTTCTGGGCCACTGGTGTAACTCCACTCCCTTGGTATTTTGCAGTGACCACCTTCGTTGTATCCGCACTCGTCAGCCACGAGAATAAATTGGACATGGTGCACGTGCAGAACTCGACCCTCGCCGGCGGAGTTGCCGTTGGCACCGTTTGCAACTTGCTGCTGGGCGCCCACGGAGCTGTCTTAATTGGCATTATCGCCGGCACGGTCTCGGTGCTCGGCTATCGCTATTTAACCGTAAGTTCGCCAAGCAGAAACTGCACAAAAAAGCCCAAAAATAAATTGGGGAATGGGAATCTCTGTCCTCCATAAAATCCCGCCATACAAGCATAAGCCCGCTATTCAAATCGCGAATCCAGGAACTAGAACTAGCTTACGGTGGCTTCGCTTTAATTAGTGCGCCTAGGAAAAATGCGACGCTAATGAGTAAAGTTTGTTGCCCGCCGGTCAGCCGCAGCCGGACTCTCTACCCCGCCCCCCGCTCTCCGGTTTCCCGTACTGCCGGATTCCGGCGGACTTTCATTTGCATTACGACCACGCAACACCGAAATCCGTGAGGTTCCCGCTCGCTGGAGCAGTAAATAAATTTGCACTTTTCAAATGACACAGTGAGGCAGTAACTGGATTTTACTTGCTTTTAATTTAATTCGGGCACTGGCCATTAATTATTTTAAATTTAGTGACTGCATCTTGGAGCCAGACTTGTTGAACGTTTAAGGAAAATTAATTGCTTTATCACTTAAGGTTGCCCTAAATGGATTTATTGCACATAAATCAAATACGTATTTAATAATAGCCAACCTTGAGAGATTTTAAACTTAATATTCGATTTATTATCACCGTTATTTATTAAAAGCTTGAAGAGGTATATTGACTTAAATGGTTTTATATTTTTAAGGTCACTTGAAAACGAAAAACTACATTGAAAGAATGCTTTAAAATAGGATATGCTTGGCCATAAGACAATTAGTTTTCCGCATTTAAATTGTGTGCCTTGTATTTTAACATTTTCCTTGGCTTTAACGTGGTTGTCCATTATAATTCCTTTGTTTTTTCAGCCCTGGATGACAGCCAATCTGAGGCTCCACGACACCTGTGGCGTGCACAATCTGCACGGAATGCCGGCCCTTATTTCGGCCATTGCCTCGGCCATTTACGCCTCGATGGCCACTGTGGGCGACTACCAATCCGAGCTGCAGGACATATTCCCAGCGATGGTGGGCACCAACGGAACCGAGACCAAAATCATGGGCGTGAGTGTCCGCGACCAGAAGTTGCCACGCTGGAAGCTAATCCCCTCTGAACCCTTTTTCCGCAGGGTTTGGGCCGGAACGCCACTTCGCAGGCAGGCTACCAATTGTTTGGCATTGCTGTCACCCTTCTCATAGCCATCGGCGGTGGTATTTTGACTGGTCTGTATAAAAAAGTATTTGTGCTTTTATTCAAGGAAACAATATCAGTGCTTAAAATTTTAATAGTTGCCTAACCAACAAAAAAGACAAGAACTCTTTTCAGCCTAAACAGATTCTGCTTAAGGGATTTCCTTAATATATAAATTAACCTTTTTGTTTCTTCATTTTAATACCCATCAGGTGCGGTACTGAAGTACACAAACTTCCGGAACCTGAAGAAGGACGAACACCACCAGGACGAGCACTACTGGGAGGTTCCCGCCGCGGAGAACAAGGAGGAATAGTTAAGTGTTGCGCCTGCCAGATTGATTACAGCTCACGCGTCTCTAATGTGCCTTGTCTAACTACTTACGACTTCCTTGTTATTATATTTACATTACCTTATTGTACGAAATGCACGCGTTGCCACTGTGCCTGCCTTCATCCAGCAAAAGTTTGCCAAATTGTTTGCCATTTCCGCTTGCCTCGCTTTGCATTCGCATTTAGCTGATTTGATTTGCCGCCTCTTTTGCAGCGAACTAGAAAAAGTTGACGAGCTTTTGCTGTAAGCCAAATAAGCCAATGCCAAGCCAAAATGCACAAGCAAAATACCATAGCAGCAGCCACGAGGAGCGCTCAGGACAATGGGGTCCGGCCAATCCTTTTGTTGTCCCTGCCTGCTTCGCTTAATTTTTGTAGACATTTGTCGCATTTAATTAAAAACTCCAACAATTTACACATTTAATTAGCGTCGAGCACAGAAAGCAAAAATAACAAAAAAAAAAAAGTATTAGCAATAAAAATATTTTAAACGTGACACCACTCTCTTCGCAACCCCTTTGTGTATTTCGCATGCCGGTCGCAATTTTTAATGGAATTAAAATCATACACATAAAATCCAACAACGAACGCCGGCGCAAAAAGTTTAAATATGCTCGCCAAACTTTTGGATGACGACACTGCCGCCAACTCGAATTCCCAGTCTGCCGCCAACTTTAATTGGCGCCCATTTCTGCTGCGCAACTGGAATGCAATTGTCCCCGCCAACAATTTGTATGTGCGCGGAGCTCTGCACTAGGAGCCGCTAATTAAGTGGCCCTGGACAAAGTGCCGGCTAATTAGCCGACTTTTGGCCAAGACACCGCCTCTGCGATCAGCTTTGCTTTCTTGGCTTTCTTAGCCTTCCCCAGCTTTCTTAGCTTTTGCAACCTGGACAGCTTAGCCGGCGATTAGGCCACCTGGCGCCGAAGGCCAGTAATCGCCGGACAAAGGCGAAGCAGGAATAATGTCTTTCGAACGACTCACAGTCGCACCGGACTGGCGATAAGCTGGCGGCCAACTACTTAAGTTGGCTTTGTCACCCCACAGACGACGCACAAACAAAGCCCAAAAGGCAAACAATTACCGGCAAAAGTTCAACAAGTTTCAATAAAAATTGTCAGCCAACGTCTTGGTTTTCTGGGCTTGGGTTTTAACTCATTTACAGCAGTGAAGATGAGCCATTAAGATTGTTAGGCCATCGAGCTTGTTCCCGGATTCGGAATTCCATGATACAATGGTCTGCTGAGTTTTAAACATTCAAAAGTGGAGTACGCTAAATGAACTTAAATATTGCCTGTTTTATTTTTAAATAAATTGTACTAAATTATTGTTCCCATCAATTATTGTTATAAATGTTTTTTACGGAAAAGGTGACATTAATTTCGCACAAATGTGTCAGTGGAACTCAGTTGTTATTATTTTTCCATTTTTCCTGTTCAGTATGATAAATACTTAAATGGCCATTCATTGTGTTTTTAAACGTTTTATGTTTCATAAATTCTTTCGATTGCGTAAATATGACATTCTGAAAAAGTCTTCGTTAATAGTTGGGAACGAGTTTATGCTACAATAAATCTAAAAAAGAATCTTATTTTGTGAATGTTGAAATCAGAACACGCCTGTAATTTGTCGAAAATCAATGACACTTTATGGCCGTCAATAAAAGTTGTATACAGCAGTAAATAGCGCTTTTTTCGATATAAAATTCTCGTAATTGGCTTTCTCATTTTGGCCTGCCATTGAACTGCCGAAAGTATCTTTGCTTCAGATCTATGGCAGTCGAATAATACGGTTCAAGCCTACTGTTTTCCGGACTAAGCGGGCTAATGTTCCACGACGACAAGGCCGAGTAGTCAAATGAGTGGCCAGAGCTTCTGTTTCTGCTTCAGTTTCGGCTTCTGTCTGATGGCCAGACCAGTCTGGCAGGACTTGGGGAAGGACTCCACTCCGACCGGAGGCAGAAGTTTGGCAAATACAGGGGACGGGAGACTGAGTAGATTGTGCAATTTGGCAAAGTATTCCCCGGTGCACCGTACCACTCTTTGGGCGGGACAACGTTGACGTCTCTGTCCCCCATTTGCGGTTGTGTATGAGTTTGCACTTAGAACAAACTTTGATGAAAATGATTTTATATATTTTGGTTTTTTTTTAAGAAAAAAGCATTTAAATCTTTAAAATAAGACAGTTTTATTTAAAAATAAATCTATCTAGAAACAAATCTATTCAACTATGGTTAACTATATATTTATTTTAAAATAATTAAATAAATGTTTTAAACATTTTGATACTAGTAACCTTAAATATTTGATGCATTATATGAAATAGGATATATTTTTCTTTTTAGTTCCTTCGATGTTATCTTTTACCAGCAAGCATTTAAGTTTACAAACTTCTTTCTCCATTTAAATTTTTGTTTGATAATTTCATGGTTTTTATTTTGGTGTCTTTTTCTCGCAGTACACGTTTGTGTCTCTGTCCAAGTCTAAGTGCTGTTTTATTGCATGTGGTTGGCTGGCCGCCCGACTCCTTGCTCCTTCTGCCTCCGATGGTCGTGTGCCGTTTGCCGATTGCCAGGCCAGACAGGCGGACACTCACACGTCTATAATAATAATTAACAGCCTGAAACTGAAAGGAAAATATGTCGTCAGTCCCAATTTTATGCTGAGCCTTCTCCCCCTTCCCCCTCCCCTCCCCCTTCTGCTGCCCCGAAATCCCCTTGTCCGCCTTTGAGGTCTTGTGTTCCTTGCTGCGCCACGAAGTATGCAGCATATTTTATGCATGCCCGCCGCTAAAGGACAACTGTCGACTGTCGACTGTGGACTGTCGCCTGTGACACGGCTGCCATAAAAAAAGTGCAGGAACAGGAACAACAAAAACGACAACAACAAGGACTGCAATTAAGGCAACTTTAAGCGCGTTGACAACTCTGCCGGCATCCCGACATTGACTTTGTACTTCCATTGCCTCCTTGCTGGCTCCTCTTTGGCAACTCAACCCGTTGCTGCAACAAATTGTTGGCCATAGTTCTTTCCATTGTAGCTGCCTTTTGCTCCGGAATGTTGGACGAGCTGAGCAGCTGGGGATTTGCCGGCGTTAGTGTTAGTTTTAGAGCTCCTTGTTCTCGTTGTTGCAGGAAGCCTCGGACTCGAGACGGAAGCTTGTACAGCATTTTGCAACAGTAATTTTTTGGGTGTTGTTTCCGCCGGCGCTGACAGTTTCCCCCTTATCCCTCCCCCGCTCCCCACCCCTTTTATGGCCCGACAAATGGTCTGGTCTTGGCCCGATTTGAAAGGGTCGCCATTTGGTTAATGTTTCATCGAGGATCGGGCTCCTGCTGCCGTGGGCCGCTTGCAAAATTCATGATTTACGTTTAAGTGTCATTGGTGTTTAATTATTTAACCAGCCACGGGTCGTTTAAGCCGCCTGTCACCCGGGGAATCGACTGCGTTGCAGGTGCCCCAAGAACTCCACGATACGTACGACTACATGCGAGTTGTATTTGCTCGCCGGGGTCGAGGATTCACTTTGGCTGGGCTGCTGCTCCAGGTGGAGCGCTTTCCATTTCGATGCGAGACAGGCACTCAAAAAAATCCTAGTTCTAGTGCCCGAATCTTCAAACTGTGAAAACAAAAGGAAAACGTTAAAGTTGTGCTTGAAATGTATATTACACATATTATATTACTCTTTTTAAATAAAGCAACTTTTTTCATCCTGATTTTACCTTAAACTTCAAGTAAACTTAATTATGTGAGGAAATGTTGGGCAACTAAAGTTAAAAAGCAAACTAATGAAAACAATAATATAACAATAATACAACAATAATTGCAACAAGGGAAGCATGTGACTTTTGCTTGTTCAAAAATGCGCTCTTTAGGTAGTCAACTTTGGAGAGGAGTATTTCTCTCAGTGCGTGGGCCAGGCGACTACCGAAAATTCGAGCGTGTTCCTTGGCTTGCTTACATAAATATGCGCACTGGGCACGCAACGCCGGGGGAAGTGGATGGGCGGACCCCAAAGGAAGGGGCTGGGGTTCGAGGAAAGTCGACCCTGCACAATTTGCAATACTCCAGGGACTTTTCACTCCGCTGCCGGTTGATATGGATATGTCTGTGCTCGCTCTGGGATGAGGTTTTTTCCGCAGGGGTGGGGGAGTACATATGGGAGTCCTGAGTGCGTCAGGTGGATGAAAGTCGGGCTGGTGGCTTGGCTTCCCTTTGCATGCCCGGCGCACATTCCGTGGGCCAGTGTCAGGGCAACAAAACGTTCAGAAAAGTGAAATTAAATAAATTTTATAACATAATTTAAGCTATCAAAACATGCACTCCCCTGGCATCCCGAGCCACTGCACTTGTCGGGCTTAAATGTGTGTTTGTACATACGGGAGTTGGTATCCTGGGACCTGCATTAACCTCCTTTCCCCACCCACCGACCCCTTCCAATTTTTCGGCACTGCCGAAAGCACTGAATTGTAGGCTTCAATTAAATGTTAATTTTACAGAGCTTAAGCATGAAATTCGGTTTTATCCGGCGGGGATGGTGGTGCGGCTTTCACTTCTTGCCGGCGGCTTTTCATTAAGGCAATGTGTATAAATTGTGTATTTTATGGCTGCATTTTAATCTTTTTTATTGGCAGCTCACTTTTCAGGCGCACGAACGAGCTCATTTCTTTTCAGCCAGCTTACCTGGCTGAGAGATAAATATGACGGGGGATTGCCTTCAAATGCTGTTCATAAATGAAAATAAATTTTGAATAAATGGAGGCTTTTATTGGAACGTATTGAACATTTTGTTTATTTATATGAAATGCAACCGATTAAATCTTTCTTAAAAATTGGCTAAACAAGTTTGTTTTTTTCCATTTTATAGACAGTCTTTTGTTTGCTTCTCTGTTTTGTAAATAAATCATTCAAAGTTGTTAAAAATGGAACTCAATCTTTTAAACTGTCAACATTTTAACTCTTTTCTGTTTAATGCCAACGAGTTAGATGGCTGAAGAGAATATTCTCAATTTCGTTTATATTCCCTTCGTCTCTTTGAATTTTTCTAGCTGAAAAAATTGTTTGGTGACCCACTTGAAGATGCTAGAGAGCATCGCTTTGCACTTGACTTCACCTTTTAGCCCGGCAATTTTTGAGCATAAAGCATGTTGCAAATAAAATGCATTTGCCACTTGTCCGTGTCGTTTGTTTGTTGCCTGTGCCCCAAAACACATTCAAAACACGCTGCGAACTTGAACACGCTCGAGTGTTCATAAAAAAGCAGACCCATAAAATCCATATTGACGGGGGAATGGGTTCGGTTCGGTTCGGTTCGCTTTGGTTCAGTTTGCCTTTGCAAAAAAGCCACCATTGTAATAATGTCCAAAAATATGTTACCAACACGTGTAGCCTGGCATGCGAAAAAATATGGAAAATAAACGAAATGTAAAACATTCTGCCCCGTGGATGCAGCACAAGGGGATTTTCCGCCACCGAAGCCCCCTTTAATCGATGCAGGCTCTGTGTTTTATATAGAACGATATTTTATTTAACGCCAGCAGCTAGACGGCCGGGCAGACCGAAAGGACCCCCTCCAGTTTTTAGCCCCAGCCATCCAGACAGACAATGTCAATGCACAGGCCGCGTTCATCATCGCCCAGGGGACGTTAGACGGGCCTCTGAGCCGGCATAAAAATATAAAAAAATATGCTGACAATAAAAATTTGTTGAGCGGCTCAGCAGCATGCAACATGCTGTTGCACGACGCCGCCAGCAGGTCAGACGGAAGTCACCCGCTCGGTTCACCTACATATGAGGAAAAAAACGGATGAAGAACTGTGGTGGGAAAATTAAAACGAAAAGGGAATACCCTAAAAGATTATAGCAGAGAGCAATACTTCAACAAACTAACAACTGTCAAATAAATTACTTAATGAAAAGCTGGTTTACTTATAATAATTTTATCAATAATACAAATACAGAATTTCACTATCACTAGAATATGCACTCATAAAACCCCTTCTCAATGCCAGTGAATTTCCATTCAAGTCCCTGAAGCCATTAGTGTAGTCAGAAGAGAAATCTGCGGCACCCGGCCCTCACAAGATCATTGGGAAAAGTCTCACAGTTCAATGGCTGTCGGACTTCAATGGAGTTGCAATAAAAAGCGCGGAATTTGCCAGTGCAATAAAATAGAAACAGCCGTGCCTAAAAACCACTCAAGCATACACACGGGCAGCAGGGATTCAAAGGGGGGCTCTGAAAGGAGAGGGGGGAAGGGATA